ATCACCACTAGCCTTTTCGTCCAAGCGAAGATTCACCAAGCTTCCGTGAATCTTCTCGTGAGAAATCTGCATGAGCCTCGTAACCCAATAACGGTCTGCCAATGTGTAAACCCTGGCGTGGTGCACCAATGGGTTTGCACAAACTTTCAATGCCCTGTCGACTTCGGGGACTTGGCTGGGGTATTCCCACGAGGCCTGAAAGTCCTCCCAGAGTGTTGTTTTACGGACTTCCCAGCCCAATTTCTTCTTTTTCTTCATTCTTGCAAGGGATGGATACCGAGTGGCAGGAGGTTTCGCTTCAATATAATCCTCGGAGGTAGGTTCAGCGGCCGCGACGGATTCTTCTTCAAAGGTACTCATATATACTTCATCAACGGTGGGTGTTTCTTCGATAGGCTCATTGCTGAAAGGTGTTTCAGCAAGCGGCTCATCATGGTTGTGCGCCTCTTCTTTGCCCTTGCTGGAAGTTGTCGTGGCTGGTGGCAACGGTTCCGGAGTGTCGTAGTCCCCAGTGTATACGAACTGCCAGAAGCTAGTAAAGACTATCTCGTCGATATCGTCCCACTTGACAGAACAGTCCGATGACTCTTTGAATTGTCCATTCACAAGTGCCAAGAGAGCCGGTGACTGATGGCCAACAAGCGCAGAATGGATGGTGAATTCTGTTCGTTGAGGACCAACGATAAACTTGAATGGCTTTGATGTAGCGACACTATATACGTCGGTAAGCATGGTCTTCTTTATTATGTTTCCTGCGTACACTTACCTTTTCTTCGATATGCGCTCCATTCTCTTGGGTTTCTTTGCCTAATTGCAGTATTAACTTATTTGAGCCATTTTCCTCAATCTTCTAAAATCTCCTGATCATGGAGAGATACCCAACTGGTTTTGGCGACCCTACCCCGCTCTAAAGTTGATGATTTTATTGATTGTTGATTGGGCCTGCTCAGGCGTGGTTGGCCGATGCGTGAGCCTGGTAAGGGTCACGAGGCATGGAGCGAGCCAAAAGTTGGTTGGCTGAGGAAAGAAGTGGGGTACACGTGATGTAAACGCTGGGATCGTAATACATAATCTAATAGCGGGGCTATCATAAACTTCCCCAGAAAGCTGCATCAATTCACCCGTTACTTAAAACCTCCCTCCTTAGCTACACATACCCTCTATCACTCAAATCCGCACCAAGCAATGAACAGTCTACCTTCTCTTCCCAATGAAGTCTCTCTTTTTATTCTTAACCAAGTCCATCCGCGGGATTGGCTTTCCCTTCGGCAAACATGCAAGGAACTAAATACAAAAACAGCTCACCTCGTGACTGACTTCTTCTTTCGAACGCGTGTAGTCATGCTCGAGCGGAGAAGTTTGCATTGTCTCGAAAGTATTGCAAGGAGTGAGTCGCTCGGGCAGTCTGTTGAGGAGCTTGATATTTGCACCAGCCATCTACTACCACTCGATGAGGTGGAAGAGATCGAGCCACCACATAGCGAGTATGAAGGCATGATGAAGCACCTAAAGAAGAAGAACAACATAGATGCTATCCTCCACCTTGGCATAGAATACTATGAAGAATGGGTCAGAAGGTGGCCGATTAATAATGGGGAGGTGGGGGTTGGTGACGAGGATGAAAAAGACGACTATAACGGCCAAGATAACCAAGAGATGGGTTCTGACATCGGCGATGACGTCAAAGCGGCAAGTAGCCGACTTGAGCAGATTAACCCGCAAGAGTACAACAGACATCTACATGATCAAGAAGATATGATGCGTGCAGGCTACGATGTGAAATGCTTGGCAGGAGCTATGACATACCTGAAACGTTGCAGAAAGATCAATATTAGTACAAGCATACATGCCTGGGGAATGAGACGGCTAAGACAGCGGATTGGTATCCTGCCGCAAAGGGGACTTACATTCAAGTCGAAAGCAAGCATCCGACAAGTACATCACATCGTCCAGGTTGTTCTCGCGGCCATAGCCGTCAGCGGAATTTCGGTCCAGTACCTGGATATCGAACCTAGTATGATGCTTGAGAATGCCAATCGGATTAGCCCTTTCATGCTTATGGGCCCGTCATCGTCTGTCATCCTATCGAGATCTTTCCCTACCAGTCTGCGCCAACTCCAGATCTCACTGGATCCGGAGTCTCCTCCAGACGACACGATTTCAGGAACAAAATGGGGCCTTGGTCTTCTTCAATTTATACACCTTCTGCCCGAGCTCTCCGATCTCGAGCTTAGCTTTGAGCATAGGGATGAAGCAGGTCGATTCTCCGAGATTGCCAAGGACCTGTACATCCCCAAACTGGAAAGTATAACGCTTCACTTGATCGATACCACCAAGGAAGATATCGCAATCTTACTGCTGTGTCATCACCGAACGCTCCGGAGAGTGGTTTTAGAGTCGATCCAGCTTGACGGGGACCTGACAGCCTGGCGCTGGCTGATTGAGGTTGTCTGGAGGAGCCTAGAGCTTGATGAGTTCTGTATTCTGTCAAGCTGGGCAGAGAGGAAAGATGAGGATTTTTCTTTTGCAGAATTAGAGGATATTACAATAGTAGATAATGATAGCTATAATAAGGTTATCGGAGGATTAATATAGTATTATAGTTGAGTTAATTAACTAAGTTAGTTATAGCTAGCTATTTTTATTTATTTGTTTATTTTATTGTTTTATTTTTTAATATACTGGGGAGCCGCCAGAGTTTATGGACCTGTACCTGTGTAGCGGTTTCACTCAATCCGGAACTTTGCAACTGAGTATTCCTTCCCATTTACTAGACAGAGTGCAAGCAAAGACAAAAGGAGATTGTTTTCACCTTCTTGCAATGTCGTACTGTCAAAACCAAAAAGTCCTACTTCCATCCTGTAGGTCAGCTCAAGGTCAATTGTAACGAGGCTTATTGAGTCATCGGAGCATCTAGATTGATGGCAGCTTAAAGTGGGTCTCGTCAACATTATGGATACCAGCCAAGGTAATATCCTAGTTTCTAGCTCCTTCCTTTGAAGTCATCCTCCAGCAGACGCATACCTTCAAAGATCTTACCGATATCTGTCTTCTCAATTGATCCACAATCATGCCGGATCTTTTCCATAAGTAGTCGCAAGAATTGAACGGGGCTCCGCGAAAATACTGACTTATTGACGACACTTCCTTTGACGCCTGGAGGAATAAAACCATCTGGACAGAGGATAACAGACTCATCCGCAGCATCCCAAGCCAGCCCGAGCAGATCGCAAACATCGGTATAGTCCTGAAAAGACGATAGGTAGAGTTGTCCTGAAAAAAGGTTCAGGAACGTGACAACACTCCTTGGGGTAGCATCCAAAGTGGGCTTTCCCGATAACCGATAGAGTTGTAAATGATCAAGCGACTGGAAGGCAAGGTTTACCCTGGGAGCATAGAGGTGGAGAGTCACATGCTGAGACCTTTCGATCAGTGGTAGTAGCTCTTGAGCCTCAAATGGGCTTATAATCACAAGGCAAACTGATTCGGCTTGACACTTATTGGTCACGATCCATTGGACAGGGCGTTGAAAGCAGTCTGAGTAGTTCCTGGCCCCGAAGGTCCCTTTGACTGTCTTGGCGAAATCCAATGTGGCACGCACAGTACTCGGAAAAGCTTGAACGTTGAAATATTGAGCTGCCGATGTGTTGTTCAGCGTCTGGAAGGCTGGCTTATGCTCAGCCTGGAACAAAGTGATATCGATTGAGGAAGAACCCTTCAGTATCCAATCTTTCAGAGATCGACTAACAAAATGAGTTTCTGGCTCTGCCGCAGGTGGTTTCTGAACTTGTCGTTCTTGCTCTGTTTCGGGGGAAAGCTCTCGCTCTTGCTCTTCTTGTAATGATGCTGTATGAAGTTCAGTCAATCCAAACTCATCGCAGCGGGCTCGAAGCTCGTTAGTCATGAAGGCGCCAGCTTTGTCCAAAAGTGAATTCAAGGTAATGCGGCCGGCTCTTGGACGATAGCGTTGGTCCAGGGTCTGGGCTTCCTCCTCGAGAAACTGCTCAGCCCATCTGGAAACAGCATCGCCTTTTTTTTGTGACCAGAAGACTTGGTGTCTACTGAATCGAACACCCTGATTGAGCCATAGGGGAATCGCATTACGCAGATCAAGACACGTTTCGGTAATGACCCAACTGAGAACGTCAGATATGGCGATCCCACGTCTGGCAGCTTTTTCTTGAGGCTTTAAGCGGATGATCTTCTACTCAATCTCCCACGGCACGCAAAACTCTACGCTTTGTCCTTTCCCGAGTTTCCGCATTCGCATACAAGCTGCAAAAGGATTAGCAAAATTCTAGCAGGATCTTGTTTCCACATACCCTGAACCAGTCGATCCTTTGTTAAACCGGCACCCAATGTGACTACTGCGCGGTAGTTTGGGGGGAGCTTGAGATCTGTCCCTCTGGTATGCGACTCATCTAGAAAGACAAGGCATCGATCCATATGTTCAGCAAATGGTGACGTTTCAAGCTCTTCAACTTTGCCTGAACGATCGAGTACAATAATCTCGTCATCTTCATTGAAACAGACGACTGCTAGGGTGTTGTCATCATGCTGATAACGAGCCAGCCACTGTTTTGCAAACTCTAGGTTAGTGAGGTCAATTACCTGAGCGCCAACATCTAAGATCACACGTGTCTGCGTGTTCATTCCCGATATCATATCTAGAAGCATCCGGCTGTTGAATGGGGTACCTTTGGCTTCCTGCGGCACTAAAGCGACCCCATTTTGTGATTGTAAGAGATGGCTAAGGACGAGCGCATTGGTGTGTTTCTGCTCCGGAAGGTCTAGTTGCATGATATCCGTAGGGAGAACATATCTTGAATCATTGGTCCCGCTAAACCCAGTGGTAGGATTGTCTTTAATCTTGGCTAGATCCCAGCCTGACGCCGACAATTTATGCGGAAACTCCTTCGCCTCCTTACTGAAAACCAGGTGGCTCAGGTAGTAATCGATCGCCGACTTAGAGAAGCAAAGGCGGGGATATATCTCTTTTTTGAACTGGGCCCGATCTCGCAAATTGACCCCTTCTAAGGTTCTGAACGATAATGGCAGGTCCGGAGCGGTTCTGGTCCACTCATGGTATTCCACCCTGGCATTGTCAGATTTGGTAAGAATTGAAAAGGCAGAGAATAGAGCTTCTTCGTCCAGGCCACCGTAGTAGTAACTCAGGCAAGTAAGGGTAATCACCACGTCAGGGTGGCTGAACTCTGATCGTGGCGTTGGGCTATCCTTGGCGCGAAAAGGGACAGCCAACTTGGTCCCAGTCTCACGGTGCGGATCGATTCCATAGTTTACTCTCCATCTCTTCTGACCCAGAGCAAAAGCGAGGATACCACCTGCGAATAGACCCCGCAGGAGTAGAATGCGGCCGATTGCTGCTCCGTCAAAGAACAGGCTGGTCTCGACCAGCTTCGTATCTGCCTTCTTGAGCTTCCATCGAGTGATGTAGTGGTACACAGCAGTCCGAATTTTCTCAGGCTGGTTTGAGATCGGCAGTCCCCGCATACCAGTCTTGCAAATTCTCTTGATAACACGATCGAGAACTACTTCGCCAGCGTCAGCTTGGAGAAAGCGTACTATGGGATATTGCCCATCGTTGCGATCAACAAACTCAAGTGATTTCGAAAACTCAGATTTGGCTTCACCAGCAAATTGGGCAACCAGCCCCAGCACTTCTTGAATGACCACCCATCTGCTGGGGCTATCTTCGATTGAGCACTGTTGCCCCAATGTGTATATAAGCTCAAATTTCACACTAAAGTTCTCGTCGCTTTCATCAACAATGTCTCGAGACGCATGGTCGAAAAGTTCTCGGATTGAACTCAGTCGTTCTGCAGCTTCTTTGTTACTGCTGAGGTGGCATTCTAGCTCCATCAGCTGCAAGGACAGCAAATGTTCCGGCTGAACCATCAGGACACCACCTTCATTCCTGCATCTTGTGACTAATCGATGAATCGCTTCTGCTCGTTGCGAGTTCATACGAATGTCTCTGGAGAATGGTAGTAGGTAAACTGGGCGATCGAGTAGACCAGAGAGTTTTGAAACAAGCATCCGATGCATCTGCTTTGCTTGAGGTTTGGCAACGATGACACGAATTATCTTTGAACCATCCGCAAGAGCTGTAGCGACCATTGGGACGATAACAGTAGATTTGCCCTCACCCATGTTCAGCTGCATAACTGCATTTTCGTTCTTTGGGGGGTTGATCATCGTCTGGGCGATTTGCTGTTGCACGTTTCGAATCATGATCTCGCTCTCGCATTCTAGTAGCAACCATTCAGGATGATCCCAGGCTTCCCACGCATCATGACCAGGGTTCTGGACCTCGCGGAGAAGATCCACAGGGCTAGATTTAAATCGTACCAGTCGTTTGGCCCGCTGAGTAGCAGTGATGGCAATCGCGTACTCTATAATAGCCACTTTCCATCTTTCGGGCAGACAAGAAAAACGTGATGACCGAAGTTGTTGTAGTAATAGAAGCGGTGTAACTCTAGGAAGGTAGCTCGAATCTTCGAGAATAAGCTTCACCGATTCCAGCACTTGGACACCAGGCTTTCGCGTCAAGATGTCAATGATTGCTCGTGATAGATACTGATAAACCGTCTTTGCGTGTTTCGTGCAATCCTCCAGGTTTTGTTTGAATAGGGGATGAAGAATTGCACGCTGCTCTAAATCTAGTTCTTGGTCGTGCCGCTTGCTCAAGTTTGAGAGACTTTGACGCAGATCGTTCAGATAGCGATGCTCGTACGGCAACTTTGCCTGAATCTCGAGGCTGATGATGACCTTGGTCAGCTTTTTCACAGTCCTCGAGTCCGTCTTTGTCATTCGAAGCAAAACATCTGGCTTTGGTATCTGGCCAAAGGTAGACTGTGGAACTTCAGTGTAAAACAAGTCCTCGATAGATATAAAGCCCGTACGCCGACTCGGTGGGGAAATCGTAACCCTCTCGGGTTGGGGCTCGAGTTTTAGACCTCTTACTGGCACCTCTCTTAGGCGATCAGAGATCTCTTGAAGATACTCCTTGAACTTCCAATTCATATACCACGAATCCCATTTGGGATACAAGCTCGCCATCACATTCTTACATCTCAGGTAAGTGTCGACCGTACCCTCCGACGGGGTACGCAGGGCCGGGCAAGGCCACTGAGAGATGATACGGTCAACAAAAGTATCAACCGCATGTCTTTTGTTTTCTTCAAAACGCCTCTCGCGTCTTTTTACTAGCTGCTGGGGAGATTCACCTCGCGAATAGGGGAGTGACGCTTCTGGACATGAGGCAATAGGATAGACTTCATTTTCTGTTAACCTCCTTATCTCTTTGGCAATAGCAGTGCATCCTTCTGAAAGATCATACAAAGATTCTTCCGGCAAAGGTACCTCGAGGACTGAAGAGCACTGGGCTATCATCAATAATGCCTGAGTTATTTGGGGGTTGTGGTGACTTGAATACGACACTGTTGCAATCCAAGCCATCAGTTCGAATTTGTTCAACCAGTCTTGCCTCCTGTGAAAAGCATAGTGTATCTTACACCAATCTGACGCAAGAAATGTCTCTGGCTTTTGGAACCACTTCGAATCGTACTGCATCATGCTCTTGGGTGGCATTTCACTTGAGTTGAAAACATTGCTCGCAGTGAGAAGTTGATAGAAGACCTGGGCAAAACAAGGATCGACTCTCTCGATAATGTAACACTGAGAGTGGTAAATACGGTAAGCGATCTCTTGAGCGCGTATGCCTCGATCTGACGGTATTCCCTGAGTCCTCGCGGTATATCTAACATCGTGCTGAGTCGTAAACTCTTCGGCACCGAAGCCAGCAACGTGTCCCCGGGAAGCCCTGTTAATTGCCCTTTCAACCAGACGAACTGAGGAGAAGTCTGGAGAGTCTGGTACTTCGCGCTTGGGATGAAGAAAACTGATCTCACGAGATCTAGCAAGTAAATTACATACGGCTCTGTAGAAGCGATCGTCCTGGGATACGTAACTCAACCTGGAAGACCACCCGACGACTTGCATAACTTTTTCATTCCTTGGATAGAAGGAACGCTTTGGTGATAAGCTGGAGATTGAGTGCAGGATATCATACGAAGTTTCCGTCAAGACGCTGGTAACGCGGACTATCGCAGATCCCAATATATCCAAAGCTTCTTCAGTTCCTGTTCGTCCTATGAAGGGGTCCGGGAGACAGAACGAGGTGAGGCCGTGGAGGTATGCCAGGTAAAGCTTGCTCTCAGTTTTGGTGCTACCTACAAGGCGACCGAGGAGATCGTCGAGCCTACAAGCCTGTACACGACGAGCGCTACCGTGGACCACCGTGACCATCGTGTGTTTATCATGATGGTTGAATGTGTTCATCTCATGTTGAACATCGCCTTCAGGGATAAGGACCATCCTGCTAGGTGGTTCCCTGCTGCTGGATAACACGAGTTTGCTTTTGAATCCCATGAGTGTTCCTATAGATTGATTTGGATCAACGTGCATGTCACGGAACTGCCGGGATTCGATGAATGACTCCCCCGATCTGAGAAGAAACTCTAGTCTCAGACTCGGAATTTGGATCTCGGTAGCCGACTTGGCAGTGCTATAAACCAAGTGAAGTCCCAGTGGTGCTTCAAGAGGGTTGAGGATCTCTGCGATTCGCGTGGCCAACTCGCTTGAGGGGGCAACAAGAAAAGTACCATCATGACGGCCCAGTTTCCAATGGCCCTCATCTCGTATAAAGCGCCAGTTTTTCTGATCATCCAAAGCCCAAGCCGTGTGAATTTTGCAGAATTCTATGCTTTTTGTTTCGCGATGGTACCAATGAGAAAAATTGTCAGAAAACTGATAAGGGACTGTTCCTTTCAGCAATCTGGACGGAATCAGATCCAACGTTGATCCAGGTTTGTGTAATTGCACTAGAAGGTCTTGTTCTTGCATGCCAAAGTGAACTGTATAGCCTTGCAAATCTCGGGTTGCGCTGAACCGCATGCCTGGTACATCACTTGGCATGACATCCAAGATCATGGATCCAAAAAGCCTCCCATAATCTTCGTGCATATTATAGTCACGAGGTAGACGAGTTAATGGGGCGCCATTGACCAGTAGTTCGCCCGTCAGGAGGTTAAGGTCGACTTGTCTTCGTCCAGAGTTTGTTTCAAGCCAATAAGATGTAGAAGAGGCTATGGACCACTCTGTTGTACGAGAGAAGTCTGGCCAGCTTCGCTTTATAGCCAGATCGAGGCATCCATTGCCGCGATAGATGACCTCATTGACAAGGAATCGCTGGGTGCGGTGCAAAGTGTATTTGGTTCTGTCCTCCATGATGCTTTGAAGTGGGCTTTGGGTCTCGTTGTTGGCAAGACTGGTGTTGTGGATGATGATAGAGGATTCAACAAGAAGAGACGCCTGCTGTGAGTCTCCGAGGATCTTCTCCAACTGCTCATCGTCAACGTGAAACGTTTGTACACATATCATAGCAACATTAAGGGCCGACTCCAAAAGCTCCCTCCTTTGCATATCATCAACCGTATCCTGGATTTTCCTGATCAAAGTCGTTAACCACTGGTATGAGATACCGCGACAATGACATAAAAGCCCCAAGATATCCTGAGACAGCTGTGGGCTGGCCAGAGACAGAAACCGAATTGTCAACAGTGTGAAAGAACACAAGGCCGTATGGGACTCCCAATTCTTTTCGATCCTTGAAACTGCCTGCGAGAGGTTCTCCAACAGCCGACAACCAAACTCCACGTCAGTGAGACGTGTGTGAGCTTCTCGAGTGACCTCAGAAGCCAACTTTGGCCCAGCTTGCAGGCTCACTTGAAGTAAGAAGATAGCTGCCTCGTCCTGGTTGAAGTCAAGCATGGGCATAGCGAGTTGTGTCAATATGCTCATCCACTGAAGACGGTATCCGTACGGTAAGATAGTCAAGGCTTTGAATTCCCCTAAAGTCATGTATCTAGGACATTTAGATTGACTTGCTATCACCTGGTTGGGAGTCTCTCCATCCGGCTGGAGCCAGGAGCGGACGAGAAAAGGTTGCAAGGCTTGAGCGCGCTCGGGAAGTTTGAACGTACACAAGTTAGAGACGGCCATTGACTGGGTGAATGGGGAAATGAAGCTGCCACTGGCGCGATCGAAATAACGATACACTAGACCATTGTCGAGGTAGACATCGGATACTTCGCTGACTGCGATGGACTTTTGACGTCGATGAGTTTGAAGATGAGGCTTTGCTTCTGATAGAAGATGCACTCGGCTCGTTTCGGAGTTGCACCAGGGGGAGAGACCGCTGTACGAGTCCAAGGGATAAGATGAATCAGGGCGTTCCCCAAACGATTTGAAAGAAAGCACATCATGGATGAAATAAAACGTGACATCACGCCACTCTGCGAATTGGTGGGGGATCCCGAGTTCAAAGACTGTAGCCTGAGCTTCGAGAGTATTGGTGGGTAACGGCCACTCGTGAACTATTATCTGCAGACTACTCGCTTGATCCGCCAAAGAACACCGATGGCAGTAGGGGTCGTGTATGGGATACCTGACGCCCAGTACAGTTTGATAAATCTCTCGGCATGTTGTGGTGTTATACTGTTGCATCAAGTCGTTGTATCTGTCTTTGAGGTGATTGAACTCCTTGATCTTGGCTTGTTTATCCAACTCAGCCCTCTCCTCGATTGAAACCTTCTTACTTTGAAGTATTAGCGACTGTTGGAAATATCGCACGGGAAAAGACATGCTGTGGCCAAAAGAGCGGAAGACGGATGGCCTACTTGGTGTCCTTTTGCGGCCCATGAGATATGTTTCAAGACGCTGGAGTCTTATCATATCTGCCTTCGACTGGAACAAAAGTGCTTGCCAGATCTCAGTGGGTACTTCGGCATTGTATTCCCTGAGCATGGGGTACTTATGCAATGTGGCCTTGTCGGTAGCTATCCAGATCTCGCCGATTGTCAGAAGCATTCGTGATGCAGCTTCTGGGCGGGTTGAGTAACAAGCTTTTGCAGCCGAGTGATAGCTTTCAAGCAGGACTTTGAGTGATGCGCAGACTGATTCCTCATGAAGATGCTTTTCGATCCATTGGTTGAGGTTGTATTGAACCCACGACTCTATCATTGCGAGATTGAACTGGACATAGGAATCATCACTTGGTGTGCGAACCACTGGAAGGTTATCGGCATTCAACAATGAGACATGGGCAATCGGACTGAAAGTTGAGGTGTCATTATTGCGGCCACGGTGCGAAATAGATGCAAGGAAGTTGTCAATCTTTGGAATGGAGAATGAGAGGTGGTCCTTCATCTTAATTGAGGATAAGGATGTGATGTCCAGCTGCTTCTCCGAATGATTACAGATTCGTTCCCATCTCTCCTTCAGGGTTTTCGAAGCTGCTGATACAGCATCACCGACAGTCGAAAGCCACTTGTCGTCGCGCAGCCCTTCAAGCTTGCAGAGGCGGCATGAGATCTTGGTCATCATGATGTGAAGCAGCTCGCTGGGAACAAGGGCTTGGTTTGCTCGAAGGAGCACCTGCGCCATCAGGTAGACCATGAATCGTTTATAGATGTCATCTGATCCATCCGATAGGCGGTTCATGGTGAGCTGTAGACCGACGCGGATGAGGAGCCAGACGGGAGATCTTCTCCATGGAAGCCTACTGCTGCTGTAACTGATTTCTTCGCGAGTATTTTTGCAGATGCCTTTAACCTTGGCCAATTTTCCGAAACTTCTGAGGATACTCGGCAGCAGCTCAGTGACGATTCGTGGATCTGTTGTCTCTCGGTCCTCATGATGATCTTTTCCGGCTTTCCTGGCCTTGGGCTGAGCTTCAGAAACCCTCTGGTGGGACATTTTAACAAGCGTATTGGCCAGGACTTCCTGAAATGCCTGGTTCTCAAAATCCTCTGAAGATATCTCCGTTGCAGTGTCTGGAAACTGACGAATCAGACGACCCTTGGTGGCCATGACGGCTACATTGGTAGGAGACAGCTCAAAAGTTTCGAAGCAGAATGAGTTGCTCGATTTGCGAATAAGCAAGCCTGCGTTCTGTGCAGCGATATGGAAAAGAGCGACAGGGCCTATAAATATGATTGTTGGTTGGGAAGGTTAACACAAAGTAGGGTAAGTACTTACTGTCAAAGGAAAGGCATTGCAGGACGTTCTGAACGCCAACGTGGTCCAGAAATCCTTCCGGGTCCGTCATAACTCGCATAGTTTGTAACATAGAAATGACAGACTGGACGGCCGTCGTGTCCTTCTCTCCCAACTCGATAGTAAAGCGTCGCAGAGTCTGCAGGACAAAGTCCGTCAGGAAGATAGTATTTGCGGCACTCATATCATCACCGCCTGGTAACTTTGGAGGCAAGAACAGGTGATGAAAGAGATATTCAATCTGATCATTGCTGCTGATACTATCCATTATGGAGATACCGAAGATAGGTAAGCAAAAAAAGAATAGTGATAAATGTCTGTTGAGAAATGAGTCAGATAGTTTGGCTAAGCCTCAGTTTGTATTCAGTGATGGATTCCCTTAATAGAAAAGCTACTGAATGAACAATTTTCTTAAAGTCGATTCCACTACCATGGACACAGATAAGAACGCCATCAGTGTTGGACCAACACGTTGAGGCCCAAGTTGAGGGCAGGCGGCTTCGTAGCACATCAAGTCGGCCTCCCGCGTTGGTAGCGGCGAGCCAGCCCGATTGCAAGGGACAATGTTTCGCGGCACAAAGCCAATTTGCATCCGCGATAAGCAACAGCGCATTTAACACGGCGCTGGGTAACATGGCGTACGCATCAGACCATACGCATTTCGTGCATACGCTGGACCGCTGGTCTCTGCCACATTTGTAAAAACCTGCATCATGTACCGTGTTATTTGCTGCTTCGATCCAACAATGCCCAACCCTTCTGTGAGTCTACTCAAGGCCCCTATTTCCAAGATATTATACTAACAACTTGTCTATATCACAGATAAAAGAAAAATGATGACAATTAAGCACCATAACGATTCCGCTTTCTCCGACAAAAGATGATTGGCCTACCAGGATACAAAATTGTTTACCAATCATTTGACTACATTTTGTTTGCTAATTGTTGCCGAATGGAACCTCTTCTATCTGTTAATTGTTATATCATCACACAGATTATGAGAAATTACGTTCGTATGTTGACTGATGTGAGGAATGAGGCCAGCTACAGATGAAACAGTTGACTCACATATGTGGCGTCTGAGCATTCCCACCATGCATTATACAAGCGCAGTAATTGGTCATGCAGGTAAATTGGGTAGAGAAGAGAAAAGGCGACTTTACAGCTCAAGCTGTGCCGACAGAAAACCGACGCGTCGCGATCGGCAGAGCCTCAGATCTGTCAGATATTAAGGTGAATCATGTGTATTTCTTTATTCTGTCGCAATCGAAGGACTATTGAGACCTTATATCTTCGACTGGTTCCTTCTAGGACTTAAGTCCTAGAAAGTCCTAGATGAAAGTCCTACGATCTAAGTTTATGGCTTCAAACTTTAATCCTGAACCTTAATCCTGAAGTTGAGGGTGAACCCTCCAACATTCAACAAGATCAATCCATGCCTGATGACCCATCTCTTAGCCTTTGAAATTGTAGATCATTCCTCGATCAAGCGCTGCGAAGAGCGGGGTAATCAGACATTCATATCGGATTTTCGTATGTGGTTCTGCCTGGTGGACTTCATTGACTGTAGCACAAGACGTATCGTGCTTTCGTCATCGATTATCATTAACGTGCATGATAAGCAAGTGCTCCAGACAAGCAAGTGCTCCATTGCCTTATATACCTTAAAATCCATTTTTTAAGAGCTTATAAAAAGCTTATATAAAGTTAAGAATAGCTATAACTTTAATAGCTTATTTATAAGTTTTAAAATAAGCCATATCATTTTTCTTACATATAAAAACAACCTCTATATAGCTAGTATTAAAAAAATCTATTTACACTGTATAAACTACACTTTAACCCTTGGATATTTTTTAAAAAATCTTTAAAAAACCTTATGTAATAACTTTGAGTATACTATTAGTAGAAATATTTTCTCTAGATTTTAAACTATTTTATATAAAGTAGTGAAGTCTTATAGGGTAGGTGATTTTTAGTTATACAGTGCAGTGGAGCACTCGCTTGTCTGGAGCACTTGCTTATCATGCACGTTAGTCAAAATCCATTCTTCTCATGCCATCCATCTTGACCGCTATTCCACCCCTTGCATGCCTATCTGCTGAAAGCTCCACCACTACATGATCACGTCAATGCGGCTCAATGCAGCAGCGCTATTGCGCAATGGTCCGTAAATCAGTACATCGATATGGGCTGACATGATCTTCTCGTGATCGGTAACTGTAATGCTGGCTAAAGTTAAATCTATGAAGTTGATTGCACAGACACGCAATCAAACCCTAGATTCAACAATCTATCGTTATCGGAAAGCCTCTTTTCTCACAGCATAGTTTTGTTATTCATAAGTCATAGTGAGAATATCTAAATACCACCAAAACTGTGTTCTGGAAATCTAGATTCCTGGCCAGACAGATTTGACTCTCTTGAGTGCTATTAGGTTCTCTTCCCAGTGCATTAACAAGTCGTAAGCCAAGGAATTTGTGTCTTGGATAATGTCTTGCACTCGTTCCTCTTTCAACAAATCTGAATGTTTATAGAAGAAATTGACGATGGTATCACGCAATCCCCTGTCTTCTTGTATTGTTGACTCATATGCTTCTTCCACTCCGTCAAGGAATCGATCTAGTTCCGAGTTATCTTGTATGACTCTGTTGAACTTCTCGAGCGCTAATTCTTTGAGGGCGGGTACGTTATAGAACTCAGCCAGTGCATACACCCTGACGTGAAATATCGGATAGGAATCGTCAATACTGCTTTGTTTCAGTACCGATGACGAGATCGCACCTTCCGCCTCATCAGACCTGGTATCTTCCGCTGCAGGATTGGAGGAGCTACTTTGATAGTCTTGGCGATAGAAGTACTGAACAAGACAATCCACCGCCTGGGGGTCATCCTGCGAGATGTCAAAGCAATACCGGGGCGTGGCTCCGCAGGCGTCACACGAAGGGTCCTGTTTGGTGTTTTGGAATTGGGATTGAAATTTCTTTATTATGACCGGAGATTGTGAACAGACGACGACTCGGTGAGCGGAGTACTGTTTGGTACGTGAAATCAAGGTGAGGTCGGCATAGCTATCATCCTTGAGCGAACTAAAAGTGTCTATAATTAGTACCAAGGGACAAAAAGGGGGATGTGAAAATAACATGAAGTAAACTTACTTTCTCAACCACGAAAAATCGAGCATAGTCAACTTTCTCGGCTGGCGCCCAGTCAGTGATTCCACAGGGCTCTGTGCACCGGGTATATCGGTATCGCGGGGATCTGAAAATTCGAGGGTCACAGCGGCCGGGGAACCAAAAGCAAAAGCACCTTGGCCGATGAGGTACTGCACAATTTCAACGAGCTTCTGTGGCCCCCTAGGGTAGTCCATTTGAGGTAGTAGGGCTGCAAAACATCGGTCTCGTCATACTCTAGTGGAAAACAACGACAGTGTTAAGATAGGCGTTTCCTTTGAGACTCGCTTCAATTGCGGCGTAAAAGCAATATGGCGAGGGGAAGGCACCAAGGCAACCTTGCAGGACGAGTACGTGTTGATGTCTCTCAACCCCCGCACTTTAACAACCAACACGGACGCCTTTCATCTCATTATCGAATTTCCTGCGTCAAAGCTCGTGAAATATTTCTGGCCACAGAAAGTGAAAAGCTTACCAGTTGATATTGACCTTCAGAATGTCGCTATACTCTAACAGGAATGGCGCCAAAGCCGTATTTCACGAGGTACACGTTCCCTACAGCAATTGCGACAGTACGGAAGTAGAACGCAGAGGGCCACGCCCAACTCTATATTGCACTCTATTCGACCGCCTTTGTCCAGATGAAGAGACCATCTACCTGGCACTCAGAAATGTGCAGTCAGTCGGCGTTTTGGGCAGAAGACGGTTCAAGAAAACCAGACTTCGCATTGAGAAGATTGAAGCAGTCGTGACGGAAGCTCAGGACCAACCAAACGTCAAGCCACTGATAGATCTGTATGACACGAATGTATTCAGTGCCGTGGTCAAGAGGCTATGGATGAAAGAAAGATTCGACTAGATATCGGAAACGTGACCGAGGGCTTGAGCCGTAAGGAACAAGAAACAGAAGATCAGCAAGAGATGGAGCTGAAGCAAATTGCTGAGGAGCGAAGGAAGTTAGATGAACGGGAGACAAATGTTCAAAAGGATCAAGAAGAAGATAAGAGGGAGTACCGAAAGTCCGTGGAGTTGGATGTCATAAAATCGTTGGACGGAGTAAGGAAATTACTTGAGGGGAGGACATTTTTTGTCTAATTGGCGCATGCGTAATTGAGTATTGCTAAATATGGGTTTCCTTTTCTTTTCTCTTTTTTTCATTTTATTCTTTCGATTTCAGAAGGAATACTGTGGATCGGGTTATCCTGAAACAACCGGCGTACAAAAATGGTACTATTCGAAGAATTTCCGAACCGTGCCACATCTCTGATCTCCTCAAATTCACAATGCAGAAATTCATTCATCAGGGGCTAAGCAGCCTTTGCCAGTACCGATCAAGCCAGAATGGAGACGGTGGTACCTTGTATCTGTCTACATTTGACAAAGATCTCGCTTCTTACTGGAATAAATTTGAAGCCGAAGCAAGAAATCTGGTCCATCAGAAAGATCCAGGCTCAAACTGGCTTTCAGACCTACGGTCGAATCTCAAAAGAGACATAGACACATGCTATTCGTATTGGGTCGAAAGAATGTCTGGCCCAAATGGGAAAGCTAATCTTTTTGGCCAAAGTTGCTTCTATGCACGAAAGATTGGATTCTATATCGCCACAGATTGCCAACAGGTCTGCTGTTGGAGAAGCAGTGGGCAGGATTCTCACCAGCCCATCGAGTCACTCGACACAGCTAGGGACTTGGCAGCTTCTCAAAGCAATTCTGAATTTCAACATAATAGCCCTAGCAAACTTTTGTGGAGCATTGCAGGTCGTCAACTTCAGTTCATCAAATGTTCCAAGGCCAGGGCACCAATTCTAGTCCCACCAAGAACATATAAGCTGTTGCGGCCAGATGGGAAGCGAATTCATCAATCTTAGGTCGATGAAGACCGAATGGCAGCGGAGGAAGATTGGCGTTTCGTGAGCAACATCAATATTTTGGACCAGATTGTCTCTTGAAAATTCCATTTCCCCCCGGTATATACGTAAATTCGGTGATTATCGATCCACCACCTTGAGTAGATACTTCAAGGGTTCTCCCACCGGCTACTAGACGTTCTTTATCCGGGTGGGCCGCACTACCCGCAAAGAATTGAACATTGAGCGGAGAAACCTTGGGCTAGCTGCTTATCTTGGCCCCCGGCCCTCGGACCTTTCACAATTGCCAAGTGCCAAGTGGCACATGGCTTGTAGTCGAGCTTGCTACCTCCCTTAGTCCTAAATGTCTCACTACCCCGCCTTGCTCAGTGCTCAAATGACGACGGAATTGATAGCTTCCGAGGGTCACAAAGCATATTTCAGGGACCATTGCAGTGTTCCGAGTAGCCGTAGCCTGTTTTTATCCATGGGGGTTGAAAATATGCAGCCGCTTCCCTTTTCATTCATGCCCAGTGCGGCCGCACAACCAACAATCGTATTTCGATGAATCATAACGTGATTTGATGTAAACCAGTCCGGTTGTATCTTTGCGCTACAGGACCGCCCGTCTGCACAACAATGGGTAGAGGGCCTTAGTGATTATGCAAGGTGCATGATTCGTGCCTTGGTATGTGTTGACTCCCTGTGGTGGGCCTCCTGGGATGAATGCTATCCCCTCCTCCCCAGGTTGTTTCTCCCCGCTCTTCCCCTACCACTTTAGAAACCGCCACTTCTCGTACACCTACCATTTTTGGAGAAATAAATACTAAGTTACAACAGCCGAAGATATCCTCATGGCTTCGTCAAGCAAGAAGTCATCCGAGGAGGCGCTCCTGGACTGGTACACAGACTTACAACCACTCACAGTTGATATTGTGGGAGACTTTGCAGGCCGAGAGCTATTCCTAATCCACGGAGAGGCTTTGATGCGGTATTGCCTCGTCGAGGCCAGAGTCGATTTTGACAGTAGGTGCTTCCATTTTGCTAGAGTTGCTGAAATAGTGTCTGATAGATCATTGTAGGAGGATTCCAATTGTTGCACGCCATCCAAGCCGTGGAGAAGTTTCTCGTCAATCTAAAAAATGGGGGCTGTAACTTTGATATAGTATTCTTTCGTGACTTCGAAAATGTCTGCGCATCTCAGGATAGCGCCGGCTCGAAACATCCTTACAAGTTCAAGCTTGCCCGCCGGATTCTCATCCAGCACCTAACCAGATCGATTGTTGATTTTAAGATCCTGGAATTCGATTCCTTCGAAAGTCAGGAGTGCAGAACGTATCTTGCTAACAATGCAATACATTTCATACTCTGCGATGATGGAAGGGGAGTCGGCCTGGAACAGACTGTTCGCCTTCGACATCTTATATGGAAAGTCGTAAACAGCGGGAGGAATGTTGCCATCATCAACTCGATTTCATGGAGGAGCTCAAAGGTGAGCCCCATTGACTTGAATCTGAAGGTTGTGCGTATGCTAATGCGGCCAGATTTTCGTGCCTCTCCTGAGTGGGTCGAAGGGTGTGCTGCCAGATCTACTTATCGACGCTCCCGCATGTGAGACGAAACAATCGGTAATGTATTCACAGGCAGTACTTGATGAGGCGCTAGGACCCTCAATTGAAATATCGAATTTTTCAGCAAGAGAAAAGTTCGCTGCCATCTTCTGTCGCGGTTACCTTGGACGATCCTCAAAGGAGGACGAGGTATCTGGCGCTGACCTCGAGCTTGTAGAGGCGCTGCTTCTTCACATGGCTACTCTCAGAGCCTGCCCTCTTCAAAACCGAAACAGCCACCCAGAGATATTTTTGAAACACGTTGTTAGTAGTTACGACACTGGTTTTGTGCAACTTTTTTGTACTGCGTCCCAAGATTTTGCAGAGAATGGATATGCTGTGAGAGGGCAAGCCGAGTGGGATTTATTCGATCTCTTCGATGGCCATGTATTCTTTTACGTTCTCCACGCAATACGAGTTGGATCCGAGTTTCCTATGCCCATTATTGACCGAGGGAAAGCTCTTTCTGCAATGGTTTTTGGGCAGAGGAGCATGAATGGTCGAAGCCTTTTCACAGCCCTCAAACCGTCGGAGACTTATCTACCTCCTGTACCACCTCATACGGTTCCCACTGTTTTGTCGTTCAACAATCCCGTACTAAAGGAGATTCTTGAGGATGTGTGGGTCAAAGAGGTGCCAGAAGATGTCGATCCTGTTGCAGAAGTTGTTTTCCAAGATCTTCGCCACTGGCATGCCTACAAACCAGTCAACACCGGTGCAAGGACGACACATGACAAAGTCCCCGTCTGGCTGGAAAATTACAGGCGCAAGAGACATCAAAGGCAAATGGCAGATGTCATTTTGTACGCGGCGAGTCTCAGCAACTCCATTGGAAAAGTTTTCAGCCGAGAAACTATTGTCGTGGGCGACCTTGCCAAACAAAGGTCGGCTCACGCGGCATTGAAAGCAAACACTAGCAGCGGAAGGCAGGCAAAGGCAGGCAATCAACCTGTCAGAGGTGGCAAAAAGAAGGCCCTCCTGGCTGCTTGTGCATTGAATGAGAAGAAAGCACTAGCAAGGCAAAACGATACCTTGCATCTCTGGGTCATGAAATGCGCCGAGTTTGAAAAGACTGAGAATCCAGTTAACCGATATCTCAAGGCTCTGAACTTTCTGTCTGATAGATCCCCAGGAAGTCATGTTTCTGTCAGGCCAGAACTTCTATTATACCTCTGCCACACACTTGGGAGGATCTGGGACCAGACGAGTAAACAGGTCGATGAAGATTCCCGCAGAGGTCAGTTCCAAACTCAGTCGTTAAAATAGTTTTTTTATTTGGGCGGGGGGACAAATAAAAAGAAACTACTAACATACTTAGGGTTATACCTTATTTCTATGGTATGGAACTGGCTGAGGGACATTTCGAGATCGGACAAGTGTACACCAGATGTTGCAAGTGCCGCTCAGGGGATCATGAAAACCCTTTCAATAAGCCAGCTGAGGATCACTGTCCAGGAGCCACAACGAAAGCTACCTTTCACCATCATACCTCGGACGATGATGAAAGATGCACCGAAACTTATCCAGGATCATCGGCTTCTTCAGCTTCAACACGGGGGGCCTTATATGGATAGGCGATTTGACTCTCGGCCTGATGCACGAGTACCCTTTGAGCCAGATGCCTGGCAGCGGGACATTCTCGACTCGATTGATGCCGAGGAAAGCTTGTTGGTTGTGGCGCCAACGTCTGCAGGAAAGACCTTCATCTCCTTCTACGCCATGAAGAGGGTACTTGAGGAGAGCGACGATGGAGTCCTGGTGTACGTCGCTCCCACAAAAGCCCTCGTGAACCAGATCGCTGCGGAGATCGAGGCCCGATTCTCCAAAAGGTTCAGGATGCAGGAGGGCAAATCCGTTTGGGGAATTCACACACGCGATTACCGCATCAATAACCCTACTCGGTGCCAAATATTGGTTACGGTGCCTCACATGTTACAGATCATGCTCTTAGCCCCGACAAACGCCAGCAGCGCAACCGCATGGTCACGGCGTGTCAAGAGAATCATATTCGATGAGGTTCATTGTATCGGACAAGCCGAGGATGGTGTCATCTGGGAACAGCTGCTGTTGCTTGCGCCGTGTCCTATCATTGCCCTCTCGGCGACGGTTGGAAATCCGGACGAGCTTAAGGACTGGCTTGCCAAATCACAGGCACAAAAGGGATTTAAAATGAAGATGATTGTGCATGAGGTGCGCTACTCTGATCTTCGCAAATTCATCTACGAGCCTCCTCATACCTTTATCTTTAAGGGACTTGCAAAAGTCCCCATACTCCCTGTGCCAGGACTGGATGAGGGTGACAGCGCCAGTCCAACCTTCAAGTTTGTGCACCCTGTAGTAGCACTGAAAGACAGGCGAGTTTAATTCTCAATGTCAAGACTGAGAGCAGGTACTGACCGACCTGTTAACAGAAACATTGCCGCGGTAGATGATGTCAATTTGGAGGCCAGAGACTGCCTCATTCTCTGGAATAACATGCAGAAAACGTTCCCAAAAGACCTTCTCCGGAATCAAATTGAACTTGACCCTCTCAAAGTCCTGCCAGAGGTCATCGAAAAGACTCATATTGTCGAGTGGGAGAAACATCTAAAGAAGAAATTAAAAGAGGCCATGGAGCAACCAAAGTCTCCCTTCTCCGTTTTGCAACAGAGCATTGACCCTTCAGTGCAAGCTGACAGTGCCGCCAAGATCCAGCATTGCACACACTCAGATCCTGTTGACCATATTGATAGGCTGTTCACTCTGGCATGTGAGCTTCACGAACAGAACGCCTTACCAGCCCTTGTTTTCAACTACGACCGCTCTCAGTGTGAAATGGCCGTCAGAAGCATCTTATCTAAGCTGATAGACGCTGAAGCGACCTTCAAGGGAAGTGACACCACCTGGAAGAAGAAGCTCCGGGACTTTGAACAGTGGCAACGGCAGAAAGGAAATGATCGAGAGATCCGATTCTCCAAAAGCTCGGAAAGTGGGGAGCGGAATCTATCAAAGCTCGAGATCGCCCGCCAGGAGGGGAATGTCGAGATCAGCCCTTGGGAGAGTTTCGATCCCAAGGCCCCCTTAGACCACTTTAGCTTCGCAGATAGCAAAATGATGCAGCAGAGAGACCTCGAAAATTTGGTGCTTCGACTGAATCCGAAGAAAGTCCAGCCATGGCTGATCGATGCCCTTCGACGTGGATTGGGTGTTCATCACGCCGGTATGAACCTGCAGTACCGTCGGATGTAAGTTCAATCTATCCGTCCATTTCACATTCAATCCATGACCTTGGTGGGGAGAAGAGAGAAATCGGCCCTAACAGAATGCAGTGTTGAGATGCTCTTCCGGAAGGGCTACCTCCGACTAGTCGTTGCCACTGGAACCCTTGCGCTTGGTATCAACATGCCCTGCAAAACGGTCGTCTTCAGCGGGGACTCTGTGTTTCTGTCGCCTCAGAACTATCGCCAAGCGTCCGGCCGCGCTGGAAGGCGAGGATTCGATCTGCTTGGAAATGTTGTCTTCAACGGTATCAACCGAGATCGAGTGCACGAGATCATGTCCTCTCGGCTACCTGCTCTTAAGGGGCAATTCCCAATCTCAACCACGCTTGTCCTTCGCCTATTTGTCCTCTTGAGTGGGACGAACAGTAATGAATTTGCCGTCAACGCGGTCAAAGCCCTCCTATCACAAGCTAGATTATACCTAGGAGGACCAGATGCCGAAATGTCAATCAAACACCACCTGCGCTTCTCGATCGAGTACCTCAGACGCCAAAACCTTCTCTCGATGGACGGAGTACCTGTTCACTTCGCGGGACTTGTAGGTCATTTATACTTCACGGAGAACGCCGTCTTTGCATTCCACTCGTTGCTCCGCGGCGGCTACTTTCACAAGTTATGCAAGGATATTGACTGCGCTCGTGAGAGAGTGCTTCGCGAGATGATGTTGGTGCTCAGCCACCTGTTCAACAGAATCCCTATTCAGCAGACTGCAAAGCTCCTAGAAGTTGTCGAAAGCTCTTCATCTGATATCTTCCTCAAACGACTCCCAGCTACCGCAGAGCAACTACTTGTTCGGCATAACCGGGAAACACTCTTAACCTTCAAGGACTATGTATATTCTTACATCAATGCACACTTGCAGGATTTGCCAGACCGCACACTTCCACTAACCAGAATCCCAATTGGGCCAGAGAAAGGGTGCAGACTGACAAGCGACCCTCCGCCGGTCATCCGATCTCCCTTTGCGGCTCTTTCTGGATTCACGGATGAGTTTGACTCGATCAAAGAGATGTGTTCGACAGTGAGAGACGGAGTATTTCTAGAAGAGTCTGCCATCCCTTACCTCCCAATCTGGCCAAACGATACTAGTGTTGAGCTAAACGCCTATCTCTATGACTTCTTCAAGCATGGGAGCTTGAAGGTACTGGTGCGCGACAACCTCATCAAACGGAGCGATGTGTGGTTTCATCTCAAGGACTTTTCTCTCGTACTTAAGACAATCGTGACCAGCCTCAAGGGCGTCTTAGATTCAAGAGGGGGTTTCTACATGCAGGATCTTGATGACGATGACAACATGAGTGACATGAGCGAAGGGGATGACGAGGCTATATCAAAGGTGGTTGAGGTACAGAAGCCAGCTGAAGAATCCGATAAGATTGCCCAAGCGTTGGCAAAGAATAAGGTCAAAGCAGAGGTTCCTGATAGCTGGAATGACGAGAGCGAAGCATCTGCATCTGAGTCTGAAGAGTCCATGCCCGGTTCGGATATTGTTGGCTCATCTGCGGCTAAAGAGGCAGTTGCTATACAGTCCGAGTTTGATAATGGATGTGGATTAATGCAGGTCCTAAGGGCGTTTGAGTTGCTAGAGGCAGAGTTCGCTGACAAGTTCTACAAGATTGGAGCTTGACCGGAGTATGCAAATAACCGCACCGCACTAGGGAGACACGGAGGAGAGCACTCGCGGCGATACCAAAATTCTTGTGTTGACTCTAGATCCCAATCGAAAAGCCTTAGGATTGATTGCCTATGAACGCTCAAATGCAGTGGTAGAATATTGCGGATTAGACAACAAGACACTCATTATAGGGAAAGATAAATGGTGTTGCAGGAGAAATGATTCAATATGTACCACTTCCTTATGCACTCCTCAAGTAATAAAGATAGAAACAAGCCTCGCTTCCCGTTTTGGGCTAATCAATGATCATGGATTTGAACAGGAGTTCAAGAAATTCAAGGTAGGGTCAGTTCTCAAATATGACTCTTCACAGGTTGCGAGAAGGGCGTCACGTCAATCCGTGCTAGCTCGTGTTAACTTCGACCTGGCAAGCATAGCTTTTATTCATCAAAGTTTCATCATCCGCTACCCGATCGATACCTTTCAAGGTGGTGACCTAAAGCTTTTCGTGATAACTGGATCCACTCGCAGGTGATCCTACTAATTAGCAATTTAATATAAGCTACAATAATAAGACATAAACCTATTAACCCTATCACTAAGTCAGTACTGTGCATAAAGGAATGCAGCTCACCCAGGAGCGCCCCAATTGCCTTGAAAACCTGTGTTCCTGTCTTCCCCTTTACTCCTGTGACAACTTCTCGCGACTCTTTGATAGCCAGGCCAAGGTCAATCAAGAAAGGCCAGGAGGGATTATCATCATTCTCGTTGATCACGAGATTGTTGATCAAGATGTCTTTGTGAAGGAAGCCTGCCTTATACAAAGATTCATGTCCCACGATGCACCGCTCAAACGCAGCAAGCAGAGCCGACCGGGAGCTCGCCTTATAGATAGGCATCCCGTAGTCTCGGAGAATTACACGCCGATGTACACGATTTGGTAATGAACTGGAGGCCCTCGTTGAAGACACGGAACAAGATCGCTTGCTAGAAGGAAGAGGAGCGCCAGCTTGGCTAGATGACCGCTTTCTGATGGCCTTGGTGCTGCCGCGACCCTCTCTCGATGTGCCAGACACGACGTTGCTCCGCCGAATTGGTCGTTCTGGACGGTAGTTCGCAGCTTGCGTAATATCCAGCCCTCTTCGAACATTACTCCAGATGTCATCATCTGCCCCGTCAATCTGTGCCGTCTCGTGGTGATAGTATTTGGCTACGTTAACGACACCATTATCAGTCGCTCACGTAGTAGTTCGCCTTCTTCGTCTCGTTCCGGATATTGCCACGAATCCTTAATGACTAGCAGTATCTCGGACCGTCCTTCGGAATGGGCTTTCCAACATGTCGTCGCTCGACCAGCTACGCAAGGCGCCCGCTGCATCATCTCGTCGATGATGATTCGCTAGGTCGAACCATTCTGATTGACCTCGATGAATCGCTCCCCGTTTGCCGTCATGATCGTCGGGTCGAACCCTAGCTGCTCCTAGTTCATCCAGAGAAAGCCAAGGACTATGGACACAAACTGACGCCCATCTTTCTTAATGTCAAACTGAGCTCCAATGCGATGCCCCTGAGCCGGTCAAATGCCCATACCCTCATGAGGGACCCGCAGATGGTAAAGCTCAAGACGAAGCGACGAGTATTTTGCGCAACGAGCACCTCCCTGGCGTGCCTCCCCAGATCAAGCCACGCCATCGAGGCCTTATCGGCGGATGGGTTGCTCTTCAGCTTTCCAGGTACCAAGATCTGCGACCAGCGGCACCGCGAGTCTTTCCCAGCACTCGTATTCTTGACAAAGCCGATGTCCAACTTGCGCTCTCCGGTAGAACCTTGTATTGGCTTATTGGGCTGGGCAAGAGGCCGTCGTCGATGTTGATGCGTTGGGTTTGACTCGCAAACGTTTCTTTCACGACAGCACATGCAACGAATGGCTGTACGCTGGGACTGAATTTCCTGGGGCGCTCTGCCGTTTCCGACTGGAGGGTTCTCATAAACATCAGCGGGGATGTGGTAGTAATTCGGGTGGCCATCTGGCAGCCGGGGGCCTGGGGAAAGGGGGGCTGCTCACGGCTGTAGGCATAATAGGGTTCCGTTCCATACGGTTCTTGCTCATATGGTGGACGGCGGTCATCATAGTAGGCACCTCGTTGGTCTGGTAGAAGAGGAGGATAGGCCAAAGGTCGGGGGCTAGATTGCGACTGCAAAGGTGGAAGATACCCACATCCACGGCACATCTGTTGGCAAAATCAAGTCTCCAAAGCATTTATTCTTCATTGCCCGTGGCCAGAGTCCGCCGGCTTCACGAATTTCGTCCCGAACTGTTGTCCCCGACTCATTATTCTTGTCCAGGCCCAGGCCTGACTCTAGGTCATCGCCTAGCTTGATCCGTCCTCCCATATCGGGGCAAGTAAATGCAGCAAATAAAGCGAACAATAGACAAAATCGAACTATTGGGATTGGCAGATAGTGAGCGTAGCTGAGTGTTGTCTTGGACTGAAACTCTCGGACGTTCTTCACTACGGCCAGTGTATTTAACAAGATCATGAGGAACCATGATACCGGATACGACTGCCAGGCCATTTCGTTTCCTGCTACCTTCTTAGAGGGTAGGGTGAGAATAGCATTCAGCTGCAAGACAAGGACAAAGAAAGGCGGTGTTGCTACCAGTAATGCATTGTCATCATGAATTATCTTGTCAAAGCGGATGGTACTATAGATCATTCGACCACCCACAGGAGGATGAGCGTGGCCAAGAGCCAGATGAAAGGGGCCGTGTTGCGCTCTCGCCCCATGGGCTGCTTTAAGTGGATAGCAGCAGGATGGGCAACGATAACCAAGGCTAATAGCACCTGGAAATCATCGGACACGGCCTTGTCCCACATCGCGGAGTATTGGAAGAATCCTCAGTGGGAACATTCCTTCAGGCAGTTAACAGAACGTTCGAAGAGAGGTAGGTTAAGGAATAACGAAGAAGCGAAAAACGATGAATGGCTATGCATAGAAAATATAAGGTTTTGGCCAGTTTTCCGGGGAAGGATTGAAATGCCGGTCAACGAGTCCTGTTTGGAAGCGTGAGATTTATAGCATTGACCGGCATGCTGTCGCAGCCAGAAGGAGGTACCGCCATGGCAATTGGGAGCGCCACCTGCCACGTCTGCACCGTTCTCGATACGGAGAAACACTCAACGGTACGCTCTCCGAACACCATCGCCATTTGCGCTATCGCTAATGTAATCAGACTTATGGACAGCAACTCCAGCCGGCATTGACGAATCAGCTGTTCTCCTCCAAGTCAATCCAGATAGGTGCCCTGAGCTCAGCCTCAGCAAGGTTCAACAGCTCAAGCTTGCCGTTGAGGCCTGGATCAGCACCATGCATAACCAGTGATGCATGTTGGAGGAGGGCGGAATGCTGCTGTTGCGGAATGACCTAGCATAATGTGTATGTTCAGCCAGAGGTGGGATCGTAATCGAGTTGTCTAGTCGCTTAAGTCGAGGTGGGCTTCGGTCGGGATGGGAGAACTGCGATCCGCGTTGGGGCTAGGAGTTTTGCACGCTCATCCCTATACTGGGGGTCCAACTTGATCGGAGTAGCGATACGCATCTCGTCGCAATTGTCCGCCGGTTCAGTTCCGTAATGGATACCGCGCAAAGCTTCCATTAAATTTAGCACCGGACAGAGATCACGCGATGGTTGCAAAGAGCAAACACCAACAAACTACTTCGTCACCGCTCCTTCGCAAGGCCTTTCCTCTAGCTGCATATTCTCAGGAGATTTTAACATGCGTCTATGAGGTGGTGGTATCTTGCAATTAAGCATCAAGTTTGTCCTGTGTTCCGGATTTGAAGGCTGGTACATGTCTGAAGGCCCTTGCCCGAAGCCACTCCATTCATATGCTCAGGTCTTTTAGTGAGTATCTAGATACCTATTTGATGGCAATTATCAACCTTGTCAAGGTCGAGCACTAATATCAGCTGCAGGATCTTTGAATCTGTGAAGAATGCCTATTACTCGAAGCCTCAGCGGCTTTTTCAAACAACTGAACCTCGTAATAAAACAAACCTCGCCGTGAGTACGGTCTCCTGACCGGCCTCATCGGATGACAAGGTAGACGCTCAAAGAATCTGGTCGGTAATACAGTTGTCCAGTGTATAAAGCGTTCCAAGATCAATACAGTCAAGAAAATGATCCGGATAAACGGTAAGCGGTCAGAGTGGATCACTGGAGTCACTGGGGGAAGGAAATGTGTGCGCCGTTCATCACGCTGATAATGGGGGTTTGTCTCGACGTTTGCCTTGTGATCGCATGGCTTACTGAATTACGTCATTGAGTCAGTGGGGATGCGACAATAACTTTCCAACTATGATTATTGCGGACATCCATTCCAGGTCCATTACTCGACATAGAAAAATCACTTCGGCTTACCCATTATTATATTGATCAGCGTAAAGGTTCACAAGTAACGCGTCCCAGAATGTTGTAATATAAAGAAACAGCATAGTAGCTAGAAGGGTGGCCGTTTAGTATTGTAGTTGGCCAGTGACTTTATACTATCATAGGCCGTGATAGTATATATACAGAAGAACCAGAATCCGGTGTCGTGAAAGCAACTCATCTCAAAGCCAGCCTGCAGCGCTGTTCATGCTGCCTATTGAATACCTCAAAGCCCTCCTCACCACCTGCAAGCCGTAGATCTAACCAGTTTTGAAGATCATGTCGAAAATCCGCCACTTCCAGATAAACTTCCTCAAATGGCTCTAAATGCCTGATTCGTTCATAAAAGCATCCAATGTAGGCGGAAACCAGGATCCGGGCAGGGTCGTTCTGTTGTGTCGATTCATAGAGTACACGGACAACTTCCATGAGCGAGGTGATGTTCTCCAGGACATAACACCGAAGGGCAACCTTTAAATGGTATAGAGATATATGGATCAAAGGTTTGCAGATATTCCTATCGGCGAGAATGTAGACTCGAGCGTTAATCAGAAGATCAGAGTCTCTAAAGACGTCAGCATCGTCTTGTTCGGAAGCTACCCACGTAATGTCGTCAAAAAAGTTTTTGCATGGCCATAATTCTTGGAATGCTTTCACTGCCAAGAGTGCAGCTCCCTCAGTAGGGCGCTTGCGTTTCTCTCCGGTCCTTTCGTTGAGAGGCTCGTGTGAAAGGAAGGCATTGAGCGAACGTGGAAAAGACATAGGTTGGGCTGAAGGAGATTGCACATCTTTTACTGCACTCCCCTCAATCGATGGAGAGGGAGGTAGGTCTTTGAGTGAGTTAGGAATGGTGATAGGGTCCTCCTCGGGGTTCACGTGAGTTATTTCATCCTTCCCCGGCGCGTCTGTGTCCCCGTTACCCAAGGTCGAATTATCCGAAGTGGGGCCAAGAGGGACAGAAGCAGGCGGTAGATGCGTAGCCGCAATCCTGCATACGTCAAGACCCTCTGGCATATCGTAATCACCGTGGTATAAGAAATCCCGATAACAGCAAAACGTTAACTCGTCATCGTCGGGCCAATTCATCTCAAGAGTGGCTGCTTCTGTGAAAGTCCCGTTCAATGCCACTCTGAGTGTGTCTGTGGTTTCGATAAGGAGTTTCTTATGTATAAAAAACTTTTTCTTTTGTTTACCGACATAGAAGGTGACGACTTCACCATTGAATGCCCTTTTCATGTGAGCTTAACCAATCTGATGTATTGCAGTAGTATGCTTACTTTTTTTCCCGTAGGGACCAAAGGTAGTCGAGATACAGGGGCATACCGACGGGCGATAATTGTCTGTAGGTACTAATGAACAGGCGGCCGAGCCTGTGGTACGGTGATTCCGGTATTACAAAGGCGAGTTGGATCTCACGTATAGGTAAAGTGTAAGTGCAAATAAAAGGGAAAGGAAAAGAGATAAATCAGAACGAAATCTTTCCCGCCACCAACAGCCTTTTAAACTCAAAGGCCTAAGATGCGTAGGTCAGAACGTTCCAGATGACCCCTTTTCCTTGCATACTGGAAACACCGAGATGATGCGCATCACTGCACTCAGTGGATTTATGACCACTCCTGTTGCTATATTTAGGTACCTATATATGAGTCTCCCCTCCCGATGGGTCTTGAATAGGAGATCAGAAGGACAGTCAATATCGAAACCAACCCCTTAAAATGAAATATGATCTACCGATTTGTAATTTTATTTATGAGACGATGGATGCCCTAACATACTTCGAGGGAGTTGGTATTTTCCCATGACCGACTTACCATTTTCACTCAGGGTTCTTTTCCAACCAGCTGCTGATTCGCTGGAGCCCTTGTAATGAGTTACTGCCTGGTAGTGATTCAGGCTGCAGCCGAGGCTGCGAGGAAGAGGGTCTCTGGGCAGCACGCAACTGCAGAGATCGGTCAAGGAGCTTCCGAGCTGCAAAAAGCGCAACGAACCATGTGGGATCCGTGCGTCGAGATCGAGGGCAGCAGAGGGCCCAAAAAGTCGAGTTGTTCAGGCAGCCTAAGCTATAGTAGTCGGTCGATGCAGCGGTAAGCTGCCGACAAATGTATGGGTGAGGGTGCGGTGACTCTCAATGTCGGGAAGTACGGGAAGTCGAGGGACACAAAGCCCAGAATGTCGCAGGCTGACGAAGCCGAAATGTCGAGGTGAAAAAAAAAAAAAAAAAGTCGCAGATACCACATATGAAACTGTGCCCGGGAGCGTTATCAAGTGCTCACGAAGCTCAGTGTCGTTGAAGACACTTGTCACGAAGAAAGGTCAACTCTCTTAATCCCTTTCTTCTGGCAACTGTTAGAGTCCTGTTAGTTCCACAGTTGCTTTTATTGGTATGCTGGCCTGCAAAAGTTCTCTGCCCTAGCAGAGCGATGATGTCTACGCTACTTCCGCGATAGAAGGGATCTCTATGCTAAATGTGTCACGGTCTAGTGCGACATTCGTCTTCTTAGACGACCGAAGATGGAGGGCCGGTAGATAAGTAAAGACGGTGATCAGATGCAATGAAGGGCGATTCGTATGCTACGCCGCAGGGCTGGCAATGATAAGAGTCCCTGTCGGCCCAGGTTGAGGTATCGACACTGATGGAGGACAAAAGTTGGCTGAAAGAGGTCAGTCCTGACCATGTTCGGTTGGTTGCCTACAGTTGAACTTGTAGTCCCTTCAAGTCACAGGATGGACTTTGCATTGAGTCTCGCTGCGTTCCAGCAATAGGATAAGCCTGCCAGTGCGTATATGGGTCGTTCGTCTCAGTGTAAGGTGGTAAGGCCATTAGTTCGTGCCGGTAACTAATAACAACTCCATTCACGGCGTTACGCGAACCTCCTTCTTTGGAGTCAGAACCATCCCACCTCGACCTCTGTTCGTGTTCTCCGAACGTCCAGTATTCCAGACGCTCTTGCCAAAATTTATTTATCTCTTGGAAATGGACAGAGTTTCGTCGCCATAATATGGCCATCGATGGGACCTCTAAGAATGCCAGTCGGCTTCTAGAGAACTGTAACACAATACAACTTGCTTTTCGTGCATCAGGTTTTGGACTCGCATCCCCCTGTCTACCGCTGGTGTTGTGTCTTTATCCGTTGTGCTGAGCCGCCAAGCAGCTGAAACAAGACCTCCGTCAATGTTGACAAGAGCAGTGTGTTTTCTTCCTACCTGGACGCCTAAGCCCGCCTTGTATGCCCGCCTGAAAGAATGCAACGCGGTGCCAAAAGTCTGCGGTTCTTGACACAGTGGCCAAGTCGGAGCAAAGGCGAAACTCGTCGATAATGTGACGATAGGTGAGAGTATCGCTGCCAGGAAGACTAAAGACGCCAGCGAATTTTTCAGCTTGAGATCCGGCGAGAAAAACAAGGTTCCATCCCAAGGCGCGACTGACTGCAGTGATGGAAGCGGTTGGCATGATAAGTCGCGGGGTATTTCAAATGGGAACAAGGTTTAAGACGATGCCACCTCAGTTGACTCATCTCATCTCATTTCTTCTTATTATTATTTTTTTTGTGTTGATGTTTGGAGGTTGGAACGTAATCTGGGTGGGGCAAATAAGAAAGGGATAGCGTAGCACGATAATTGGCAGAGTAACGTACTGCAAAGATGACATTAATGTAAACCTCGCCGAGTGGGGCGCACGTCGATAAGATAGATCCACACTTAGCCAATCTCAGCGTGACGTCCTTTTCAACCTAGGGGTTCCACCATAGCTTCCCGAGCCCCGACAGCATGCACGGACGAAAAGAATGTACATATTACGTCGCAATTCTGGGGAAATTAGAGGACGTCTCGCGTGCACGAACCACAGAATGTGCAAACCAGAGCTTATTGATTCGCTGTAATCGATCCACTCCTTTCCGCTGGAGGGCTGCACTGATAAACAATCCGAGGGGTTCAGATGGGAGAAGGCTTTTTCTCTGATGACTTCCTGACAATGAAATGCCGACTTTAAGAGCAAGATAGCCGCGGCTCCACATTACACAGCACAGTCAAGATCTCGTGTCTCTTATTTTCCTTGATTTGACATTACAAGTTCTGCTGAGGACGCCCAATCAATCGGCGCCAATTTGAATGGCCAGGCTCGAGTCGATAACCAATCTTGGGAATTGGAAGCGCGCCCCAGCATTATTAGGGATGCCAAATGGCCACCATTTCTAAAACCCGTACGGCGAAGAAACGAGCATTATCCCCACTTGGAGATCAGAACATCGTCTTGGGTGAGCCTTATGACGGGGACAATGACGAGGATTTTCTCGGTGATAAAATCGGTGGTAATGGTGGACGCCATAAAAAACAGAAGCCACAAACGGATATGAAACAACAGCAACAACAACAAGAGGAAAAACCACCAGGATGGTGGCCAGATCGGTATGCACCTGAGAACCCAGAATCTCCCAGCATGATTTCAAGAATGAACGCGGTGATCAAAAAGTGCAACAAGGCAGGTTACAGCCTAGAAGATTTATGGAAAGACGACGGCTTGATGGTCCAAGCAATTCTCAAAGGTGGGCGACACAGACTCACGCAAAGAACCTTCGACAGAATCGACTATCCTGTTGTTTTCAAACAAAGCAAAAAAGGAGTCGCCACAGCCGGCTATGAACTCCAACGGAACAGCAGCAATGCTATCGAAAGCGATTCACAATACCTAGCGACAGATGCTCCTGCACTCTCTCTACCAGACCGAGACGACTCGGATGAATCGCCTCCAAGCAGTAACCACTCGAATTCCGGCGCTCACAATGACGAACTGCTTACATCACCCAATCGTGCTGTTTCTGTCGACAGCGACAAGAGCTTTCCTGCCCCTCCAACACCACCTCCTGCGAGCGAAACCATATCCCGCCTCAGGGGCAGCGACTGGCTCAAAGACATTGATATATTGCGTTGTGTGGAGCTTTTGAATGCCTCTCCTGAATGGCATATTTCGATTCGGGATATCCCTCGCCGACGTCCAAATTGTCCGAGAGAAACGAGGTTTCTGCAAATAGCCTGATCTTCTTCATCAATGCCAAGTCCCACTGGTCGCTTTGTCATCTGGACAGACGACTAGGGCTGCTCAAACATTACAACTCTCTTCTGTCCGAGATGCCGGTTAATGACCTAAAGTCATGGATACTGGAACAGCCGGCAATTAGGCTTACTGGTGAACTCAGCATCCGCGAAGAAGTATGGACGCGGTTTCATCAATGATTATTCTGTCCTAGGTACTAACATTTGGCAGAAATGCCCTCAACAAAGAGATGGCTTCAATTGCGGTATCTTTACACTGGCTGTCTTGCAGGCTCTGCTGAATGGGAATAGTATCCCATCGGAAGTCGATGCCAATCATCTTCGCAGTCTTTTTGCAGGACAGCTTGAAAGCACTACAAGTTCGGAACTCGCCCAGCCCTCCAGTGAAGCTGTATCTCCTGGAATGCCACCAAGAAGCCGCCGAGCGTCATTTGAGCAGAGCCATTCCGACGCCCACAACCTTGGCCTACTTGACGACCCTGGAGAGCATGGCGTTGCATTCCCCCCCCTGAGCCACTTACAAGAATTTGCAAAGAGCTTGGAAAAAACGGAAGTCAACCTGAGAGAAGATATAAAAGCCCTTGAAAAGCAAAAGGAACAACTGGCGAAAATGTCGCAAGAACGATATTTATTTCAGCAAAAGCTTGCAAATAGTCAGAAGTTGGCAGACGAGCTCACAGGGAAGGTTGAGAAGTCAGAGGCCGATTATAAAGCGGCATGCGAGTGCTTGAGCCAATGGATCACGGGTTGCAAGGTTGAACCTGCAAATACATTGCTGAATAAGATCATATCGGATGCCAAGTCAACAATTCAATCATCGGCGGCAGAAATAAACTCGCACAAGGAAATATTGGAAAGCATGCAAGCAAAGTGCGATGAATATAAGGACACGATAGAAAAACTACAGGCCGAGATTCTTTCCAGCACCAAACAGGGAGACGTGATAGAGAAGAATATTAGGAGAAACAGAGAGAGTTTGACGCATGTAAATCAGGAATTTGCCAAGATTGCGGTGTCACTAGGGTTCACTGAATGTAGGTAATAGAAGGCCAAGATGCTGTAAGGACTGTATTAATATTACAGAGAAAATAACAGTTAAATCCTATCATCGGCGAGAAATTTATGGAGTGATAAATTCTGAGGTGAGAAATCTTGAAGTGATAAATTCTAGGGTGATATATTCTGAGGTGAGAAATCTTGAAGTGATACATCCTAGAGTGATAAATTTTGAGGTGATAAATTTTGAGGTGATAAATTCTGGGGATACACTCTAGGGTAGCTGGTAACACGGAGCTGTTGTCGAGATTCGGTGTCTTGGCTTCTTCCGGGTCTCGCCGGCCATGGCCTCCATACGCTCATTCAATATGGCGTCTTGCCTTGGTTTCTTTGGTTTCAGTTTTACCACTTGTCCTGTGTAGTTAGGGAATGCAGCACCTGCGCAAACCGTCTGCGAAGTTGGCATTGTCCCTCATATTTTCGCCCCGGCCCCTTGAGTTTACCCCTTGGCGTCAAAGTCGATCGTCTAGAGAGTTTGTCCGCGCGCCGATAGCTCGTTTCCTCGAACCCCGTGAAAAGGAGGACTTGGCCCAGGACCGCGTTGCTTTATTTTGCCGCTGCATCGAATGCTCTTTGTATCGAGGTCAGTGGACTCATCAGCTTGCATTTCAGTGTCGTAGACCCTCCTAGTCTGATTTCGGTGTCGAATGAAAAGCAGTCAGATGGCGATGTTGATGCAGTCCACGATATGGCTGCATCGTATCTACAAAACTCTAGAGCCATTGTTCTATCCGTTCTCCAGCAATAATATCGCCAACCAGGGTATCATCAACTAAGAAGCCAACACCCACCTGAGCCCTGATTAACATTCAGGCCGATGTAAATACTTTTATCCTCCAACTCCGCTTCTTCTCCTTCTCCTTCTTCTTCTCCTTCCCCTTCTTCTTCTCCTTCTTCTTCTCCTTCTCCTTCTTCTTCTCCTTCTCCTTCTTCTTCTCCTTCTCCTTCTTCTTCTCCCTTTTCTTCTTCTTCTAAATGGAGCGAAATAAGAGGACTTCCTTGTCGTATGTGTATTGAAGACCGCAGTCGAAGTTCTCTCCCCTGACCTCCGCCAAACCTATACAAATATCGACTCGAGGCTCTACGATTGTCAAGAATTCGACAAAAGCTCAACATTGGACGCCGGCATATTACTGAGTTACTCTCTCGGCCCTGTATTGATTGGATATAGTCGCCGTATTCACTGCCATACGGCTTGTACTAGGCCCTCTTCGAGGATAAAGATCACTCCACTAATCTTGGCATGGGCATCGAAGTTCTTACTGCTCTTCCTTCTAATGTACCAGCAAAGTCCACAAGTTCCAAGATGAAGGTAAGTATTCATACCAAAATCAGAGTTAGGGAGCGACGAGGAAAGGAAAGAAGTATCCGCCATCTTCATTACATAGCCATGCTCTCGCTAGGGTTACGACAGTTGACCAGTGGCAATATCTTTCGGATACCCCATTGAGCCACTCCAAACTGGTACTCTGGCCGCCCAGATCTTGACATCGGGGCTACCTGTAAGAGAGATTAAGCCCAGACGCCTTGGTGGCAATTGAAGCTATCGTGACGGTCTCCTCCGTTTTCGGAGTGCCAGCTCTCATTGTCAAGGGACAAACGAAGCACTTGTAGGTTTTCAATAATTGACTGAGCAATACGACGACGGTGTTTGTCCCCGTTTGGCACAAAGCGCGCAAGATCCAGTTCCCTAAGCGTTTTCGCATGCCTGACGAGGTAGTCTTCCAGCTCACCCTCCCGGCATCCCACCATCACGAGAGTGAATCTCCTCAGCAGAGGAATAGTGACATTCCTAAGGATACCCGCCAATCTGTTGGTTGAAATTTCGCTGTAAGTTTCAAGAGTGAAATCAGACAGTGCCGGAATCTGATGGAGAGATTCGTCGAGGCTTATCCTGTCGCTGAGCCTTTCATCAATGCAGAGGTGAAAGCAGCAAAGGTTCGTAACAGGAGGGCATTCCAGCCGAGGCGGTAGCAGACTAGGGCTAATACAACGGGCATTTTGAGCCAGTAACCGGGTGGAAATATTGAGCCCTCCAACTTGTAGTTGACAAGCTGCTAAAGTAAGAAGAATGAATGGTATAATGCTCTGGATTAATTTGGAGCTAGCGCCCAACTCTGCCCATGGAGGTGATCTCTGTGGATTTGGCAATTTTTCGAAGGGTGAAAGTGCGAAGCTGTGGATATTGTGCTTTTGTACAGATGTCGTAAGGCGAGGAACCGTTGAAAGAGTGACGAGGTTCGCTAGAGCTCGTCTCTCAACCATGATGTAACGGGTATCCAAATAAAAACAACGAACAAACAGGGGGTGTGCTAGACTATTCAGAAGTCTGCAAGTCAGCCGAATACGGAGGATATCTTTTAGTAGGAGATCTGAAAATATCATGGAGATCATCTCAGGCGGTAGAGAAATCAAAGAAGGAGCCATTCTGTTGTCTGTTCACTTGCTGCTGACAGTTGAAATGTAAAGGGATTAGAAAGAAAAGGGCTGTATACGTTTCCACGTGATAGCGTGAATTTATGATGACTTATTTAATTAAATAGCTCTTGCATTAATGGGGGCGAGAAAAATTACTGTCAGTTGATTGCGTTATCCGTACTAGCGTTTTATCGAACAAGGTCAGTAAGTCAGTAACGGGGTCCGTCTCGCGTCGCGTCGGGTCGGTCCGTAGCGAGGCTAGCCGTCATGGCTCAGTATACATCCAAATCTGCCACTGTAAGGTTCTATCGACAATACAGCCAATTTTTTCAGTTATTATTTCCTCATGACCCATATAGGATAGTCTCTAATCGATTTCGGATCTCGGTAGGCTTATATTTATGCCTTTGTTAGCAACAGTAGCGAAGATTAGCAGCAGGTCTATCATAACATAAAGCGCCAATCATGTAGAGAGCTCACCGTCGAGATAGTGGTGTTTCTTAAGCCAGTAAAGGCCTGTATTGCACTGGTAGACTGGCTTTCGTCATGTTGTCAGCTTACTAGCGTTTTATATGATATACTTTGGTAAAGCTGCCACTTTTGATCATGCAGCTTTCAACAGATTGGAAATTGATGATAAATTCAAGACTGAAAGAGGAACAAACAACTGCCGACGGACGGCGTATTCAGTGCCCCGCCTCTTGTCTCTATAAAGAGTAACATCCAGGCAAGACAGAGATAGAGCAAAAGAGCCTCTGAACCTGCACATTACACACAGCTCCTGCGGAATGTCTCGTTTTGCCGGCGATACATACTTCTAAAGCGGATGACTAACCAAACGGTCACACTTGAGGGCCATTACATTTGGCACATGCGAGGAAGGTTGCCATAGAGGAGGAGAAGGGTATAGTACGGAGAGTACTAGTGGAGGTTTGGGGTTGAGGGATACCCAGCCTTACTTTTGGAAACGTCCTTCTCTTGGACGTAATGTATAATGTATAGTCGGCGATAATTTCCTACTATTATTGCATAGGAGGGAATACACAGGGGGTAGGCGACAAGCACGATGCGTTTGTATCTTCTAGATCCAACGAAGCGACATTTCAGCCTGTCTGATTTTGGCCGTGTATTAGTACAAAGAATGCTTTGTTGTTTTCTCTTGGCTTTTATCCCCTGCTGTGCTACTGCGAAGGAAAGTGGGTACGATGTGGATAATATTAGTCTCTTCTTACATGATAATTCACATCTTTATAGAGGATTGGTAAGAATATCCGAGTATCCCAGCAAGATATTAGCAAAACCCCTCTAGGCTGGGCTGCGCAAGTGTGGGTGATGAGGATCCTGTGCAGGGTAAATTGGGAGAACTGTTACATAGAACGGTGCCTCTTGTGTACACTACTGAAGACTGCTTTGCTTTATATTTCTTGGCTCTCAGAATTCCTAATTTAATTACTATTTTGATAATTTTGCTTCCCGGCATTTTTTGCACCTATGTATATTTTTCTTTGAATGCTCTTTGACCCCATCAACGCACGGTACTCTGGCTCCTACGAACTGCTTACTGTCTCTTATTCGTATGCGGTGCTTTCTCCTTCGATGCTCGTATAGATTGTCATAGTGTTTTTCGCATGGATCGCAATTCCCTGCCTTGTTCTCAGCATTTGAGTATTGAGCATCCTGCAGAATGGGCCGGTCTTGTCTATCCTCAGAAGCTGTGGGCCTTTGGCTCAAGTTCGCCAAAGTGCTCTTTGCAGCTTGCGCGTCAATCTGCGTGCCATTATTTGCTGGCGGCTGAACATTGTAGTCGTGTTTTCTGACGAGATGAATATTGAGATCTGTCTGGGCTACCTCTTCACCACATTCAAAGCATGTGACTGGTTTGTGACGCTCGTCTATATGGATTGGGACTTCTGGTCCAGCAATCACATCGTCACAGAAGCAGCATTTCTGGTAACCATGACTGTCTTGGAGGTGAGATGGCATCTCTGCTGTTGTTTGGAATTCATCGCACTCTGAACATCTCGTCATTTTGCAATGATATTCCATAATATGTTCTTTAAGCAACTCAGGGGGAAGAGGGTAAGTTGCGCAAAACAAACAATCTTTCATGCCATGTTCCTCACGTAAATGGTCATCATATGCATGCTCTATGACCATCGATGAGCATTCGTCGCAAGATCGCAGCTCATGCTCTTTCTCATGGTCAGCAAGAGCAGTGTCGCTGTGTGCAAGATAGTCGCAATAAGGGCATTCCTCCCATGAATGGTCATGGAGTAGGTGACGACGATAAGCCCACTCTTCAATGATACATTTGCACTGCAGGCATTCTTTCCAAACATGCTGGCGCATGATATGTTCGAATTTAATTTGAGGACCGCACCCATCACATGCACAGAGCTTGTGCTCCATTATCAGATGGACGTCAACCTTGCTGCTAGCCATCAACTTCTGGCAAACAGGGCATACTCGTTGTCCATGGAAGTTACTTGCGTGGTCGGCAAAACTTTCAGACGACGGATCGCAGCAGTCCCAACATTGAAGTCCATGCTGAGACTGGAGATGTTCTTTCATGCCACTAAGAAATTGATAGTTGTGGCAAAACAGGCATCGCAGCCATTCATGTTGTTTCGCTTCTTTGAGATGTCGAAAAAGCCTCCTGTGCTTTGCCAAGTTCGAGCCTTCAGGACATTCAGGACACTCAGGACATCGCTTCCCACAGTGGTCTGTTTCGATATGGGCGATTAGGCTGCATTTTGCCACTAGAGTTGGGCAGAATGGGCATTCATGGTAACCTCGGTGCTGTCCTATCGTGGAGGTTGGCATGGTTTCCTGACATATTTGACATTCATGGAGTTGATGAGCCTCCTCAAGGTGATGCAGGCGAGTTTCCAAGTCAATCGGCTTTCGGCAATATTGACAGAGCATTTGTTCATGCTCCCCGACATGGGACCCTAAAGAGCCCTGTTTCATGACCATAGAGCACTTTTTACAGTCGACAAATTCCGAATCAATATTTGGCGTTATAAATGGATTTTCCTTATTGCTAGAGTCGAATGTCTGAGGCCAATGGTAGAATTCTCCAATGAGAACATTCAGATCTCCGCCAGCTAGGCGCTTTTCAAGATAGTTCTTTGCATCCACGATATGACGGACCTCGGGAAATCGACTTCGGGTCTCAAGAGAACAAACATCTGGGTGACGCAATAACAATGCTTTCCGGTAAGCGGAGCGTATCTGGTTTTCGTCGAAAGTACTTATAGTCGATATGCTAATACCTAATGCGTCAAAGGGGTTAAATATTATATTGCTTGCCATAACTAATAAATCATGAAGGTAAAAGACAATAAATAAATTGAACTGATCGAGGAGGTGGAATTGAGGAGGTGGAATTGAGGAGGTGGAATTGAGGAGGTGGAATTGAGGAGGTGAATTGTGGAGGCGAGATTTTAATATACATGCTGCACGTGCAAAGTGGAGTTATTTGCGGGTTGATAAATAATGCGCTTATCCACCACACTCAGAACACGCGTTCCGTCTTCCCCTGTCACTGACAGCCCGTTAGGTAATCTGTCTCCCCTATGGTTTAGGGTATTCTGACTTGAATTGTACTCGGTGAGTGCGATTTAGTAGTGCACATTGCTTTCTATTGAGCCCCAAGCAATTCATTAGGTGGCTATTGTACTCCGATACTCTCATTTTATCTAATATGGCTTAAATCATTTTAGCTGGGTTCTCGATAGCTGAATTATCACTTCTCTAATACGGTCCGGCTGTCCTGGCGATTAACATCTGATCATGCATGACGAACACAGGAAGCGATCGCCATACGGTTACAGTCACAACTACCACCAGCAACAGCCATGCAAGTGTCGTGACTTCCCAGCCTCATCTTACCTGCCAGGGCCGCAGGCCTATGCAGTGGCATACAACCTAGGTTGCGTACCCGACAAATGAGGGGATTTCGAGACGTATAAGCCCCATGGTCTTCATCGAATGGAATAGATTCCATTAATTTTTTTTTTTTTTTGGCGTATAAGTTCTGGCTGAAACCTCTTTAGGTACTGACAATCACCAGATGTTGGCCAATATCGTCACGATACCTACATGATGTAGAGGACTCCAATTATCTCTCCGTTGCTTGTTTCAGCCGCGGTTGGGGACTCGGAGGCCAATTACGAGATGAGAGCGCGCTTGTTGGACCAACAACCTTCCAGACTCGGTTTTATGTTTGACATGTCTAACCAAGTATTGCCAAGAGCCGCGTGCTAGTCATTGGTCATATTTGACCAGTGATGGTTATTGAAAACGCGAAATAGGTGCTTGGATTGATCCGATGACCACTCTCAACCACCTTGCGAGTCGAGTGTCATACAACAGAGCCCGTTTCATGTATAAAATCTCAGCGGTGATATGTACAGCAGGTTGATTTGAGAGGTTACTTCTAACAATTGGAGGCCCTGGCCTAGACTAATCAGTATTGTGTAACTCTGTAATCCAATAGATAGATGAACATTCGTTTGACGGCCATGTGCGCAGGGCCAATCATGGCTAGCACCGACAACCTGTTTTGTTCACATGCTTGCCTCGTACACGGAAAAGCCTCCCCGGTTGATGGCCTCACGTCTCCACATTGAGATGCTGCTTCCCTGTCCTATTAAGCGCTGTGGCTGGAATCTGACCAATACTGTCAGCCCCAATGTCGCAGCCCAATTTGGTGGCGTCGCACTACCCACTTTACTTGGGACCAGGTACTGTGAGATAGGGTAGGTACATGGCAAGGGCATCCCAAACACGACCTAATGTCAAGACAGAGTGATCATAGTCACATATCTCTTCAATAGCCCAGCATGTCATTTCAAGGGGCATACGCGAAGTATGTCATTCTAAAGCAGTTTGTTTCCCTGTCAGGTTTTAATTTCGACGCGTGCTACAACAATGAGGCGGGTAACTTTCCTTGGGCACAGGGCTACAACAACGGCGAATCTCTGGTTACGCGGTGAGAGTTCCCCGTCATGTACTATGATGGCCAAGACTTTCCCGCCAAAAGCGCTGTCGGTTGGGTTTCTGCAAAGAATTTACGAGATTCCGGTGTCAAGAGCAAGAATTCGCTTATTCCTCACATACAATCGGTTCGCAAGTTTCTCGAGTCTCGAGTAGCAAAGCATTCGCCAAAACACGAAACAGACGAGACAAGGACTGGAATACCTAACACAACGGAAGAACAACCGATCAAGCTCAACACAAACTCAGCTATGCTTCCAGGTGGTAGGTTTGATACTCTCTCCTAATAGATTTGGTCACTAACCATGCTCAGCCCAATCTGAGCCTCATGAAGCTCATGGATCGACTCCAGAGCTGGGTCAACGAGAATCCGAGCATCCCCTCCTTATTCAACCCACTCCCCTTCTTCAAACAAAGTCTCACGATCTGGCTCCCAAGTTCAATCACAATCACAACCTGGTATTCACGACAGAGAAGAGCGAAACCTTCCTCCCGGCGTTGAAGTAATCTCGATTTCGAGTCATCGGTCAGAAGAGCAGTCTGATGAGCCTTTAGGTATATTCGAGCCTAGACCTCTCACAGCACTTACGAAGGCAATGCAGGAAAAATGCCAAAAGGCCAGTCCAACGAGATTATATCACGGTAGCAGAGAAAATAGAAGCACCGCCTTAGAGAAACCTGTTGAAACTGGGCCATCTGACATGATCAGATTAGCGCAAGCCACACTTGACGTTGTATGTCCTCTAACTTCTCTTCAAAAGGGGCAGCCTTTGGTAAACCAAGGGTCCCAGTCACTTGAGGAGGCAGAACGATGTCGATACAAGCCTGTTCCATCAAGTACGTTCCAACCAAACACTACACCAGTGGCTTGTATACCATCGGCTACACTCTCAGAACAACAGCAACGCACCCGACGTCAGATGGGTGGCACACACAGTAGCCCGTCCATCAGCCATGCCACACATCCATGAGAGGAGAGGTTACCAGTACACAGAAGTCCAAGAGCGGCCAATACCAGCATTGAGAGGCTAGACGTAGTATCCGACGCAGGGCAGCTACGTCCCATATTGCCGACAATTAAATATCCATCTTCAAGTCGGACAGGAAATCTTTATAACCTTGAAGTCCCTAGAGCCTCTTGTTTTTTGCCACCAATCGGTTTCATGTTACAGCAAGATATGGGCGGTCATCTACTACTTCGAGAACTTCACGGTCAAGTGCCTACCGATACTGACCGACTGTTTTCTCATCGTACTTTGTCGATGCAAGCGCCGCTTGTTCCATCGTCGTATACGCGACTACCGACGACCCAACCAATGACCCTATCGCCAGCTGTCAAACCTTCACGTCGTCAACCAGCATCGAATAATCATCCAGTTACTCGTCATCCCATAGGCCAGAACTATTGTTCACTTGGTTTTCAAGAAAATCCTTCAATGCCATCTATTAACCAGTATGACTTTGCCAGTCCAGGAGTACCTACAACACACAGGAATGATGGAAGGAACGCACAGTTTCCTAGTGACCGCGGTATAGCCTACCCAGAGGGTGATTGGTGTGAGAAGCTTCCTCGTGATCTGACTAATTATGTGGAGACGTATCAACATGAAGCAAATGTGAGTGTTGGAGTATGCCTCATAAAGCCTATGATATTGACGTTGTATCTTTTAGGCGAATGTCTGTCCTGATTCTTGACCGATAATGTAGAGCTAGGCACTTCAGTTCCACAAAGGCAATATCCAATACAGCCAGCAAAGTGCATTAATGCTTTAGTGTCATTGCAGATTTGCAGTATTTGAGAGGAAATCAAAGATCCAGATTCAAGTAGAGCTCGACATCTATCGGCGAAACGATGTAAAAGATCCCCATACAGGGCCTGTAATCATGGTACTCGATACCCTGGATGAATATGCTGAAGCGGAGTCAATGGACTTGATACGAAATTCCAAGTTCTGCGTCCCGTTAGACGCTTTTCGAACATTCTATATACTAGGAGAGTGAGAGCCAGAAACTATTAGTCAGGAGTTGTAACACACCGGATCAATCAGCAGTCGATGAAGAAGCGCCTCCCCCATATCAATAGTAGCCTAGAAAAAGGACTACAGGAGGCTACACACTGCAATTGACTCTGACTATACCTTGTGTTTGACTGCTTGGAGAAAGATAACTTTAAAAAGACGTCATGGGAGTTGAATCTATTATTACAACACTTTTGAAGAGTATTCATGAAGCATGTATGCAAATTCTTAACAAAAACCAGAAAACTACCATTAAGAAGATAGTTTAGAAAGTCTCAAATATTATCTGAGCAACGAGTCGACAACTAACCTAACCCTCTCCGAAATGAACGTTGCCATGAATATAAACTTCATATCAGTCCATTTGCGACCTCGGCTTCGAGGATGACGAGCACTTCAAGATATGTCTCAGATCTTGGTGTGGATGGTGCGACTATATCCATCACGGCAAGATGCATTTCCTCCACCAAACAGCTCGCGAGTTCCTACTTACAGTTCCAGCGTCGCCTCACTTACTTCGTCAGTTCTGTGCCGACATCACTCCATCATTACCCAAGACGCACACACGATTCTGGCAGAGCTCTGCGTACTCTATCTAAACTTCTTCAACTTCAACGCCGGTCTACTAATATAGGCATACTCTACAGCTGTATCGGGCCATCACCCTTCGTTCACTTCCTGATATCCGCTGTAGATACCCTGTATTATAATCCGGGCCAAGGCGGGGTTGTTAGTAACATCTCGGCGCTTATTAGAAATTCACGCTGTGATACCAAATCGAACCTGGAGAAGAGTTTCCAAAGACATCAGTTTGATATCTTTCAGCCTAGTTCGCGCTTCAGTTTGAGCTGTGTCGTCAGCGAATAACAATGTCGTAACCCATGATCTGGATTAGGAAGCCTCATGGTCCATGCTAAAAAATAGTTGCCAGGGAGTCACGAAGTGGTCCGCCATTCGAGACTAATAAACTATAGATTTTGGCGGTTTACAGATGCATCACTCTGGTACTCCTACTTTCGATAGCAGTCAGCTACGAGAGACAAGCACGGGGCATTGGCTGCGGACAAGATGTTCACAGCGTAACTACATTCATCGCTACCTCCTACCTGCTGGCACGCCCGACAAGAGGATATCTAGGTATGGATGAACAGCCAATGGGCATGTGAAAGATCCAGCCAAGTTCTTGGTACAGGGGTTCTGCATAGTGCCAGCATCTAAGGCGGGTCCCCGAATCTCCGCGGCGGTTTCAAGCTCAGTTTTGCAGCGATGCGACCAACCCATGTCTGTCTTTATCGTTGTTGTTTGCTAGATGCTACCTAAATCGTTTTGGAGCTTATCTCGGTTATTCTCATTTACTCTTGTCTATATCTACTGCCCTAAGCATCCAGGGTCAGGTCATTTTAGTAACACCATCTACTATCAACACTCCTGTATCGTGAGTTCCTGGGTCTTGCCTGGGACACACATATCCTTGATCTTGGCAGCATTTCTTGCCTTTTTTTCTCCAAGTGTCAGCCTCATTCAAGCCAGATCTTATGCCTTTGCGCATCTCACGGGGTAGAACCGACCGTGAACCAGCAGCTAAAGATACAAACTCTGTACTTAGCAACCAAGTGAGGGTAAGCCCGGTGTTCACTACCCAAAGTACTAAAGGCTCAAGGCTCAAGGCGCTGACATTATATGGCGTCATTCAGGATTTGCCCCTAAAGGTTTCCAAGAGGTATTCCGTGCCTGAACTATGATCTCAACAGGGGCTCAGGACGGCTATATGACCGAGTCGGCCACGACCACCTGTCCATGGCGTCTTGGTAGTTATCAAGAGTGGAAAATTGAGGACAGGAATCCCGTCCCAGACGAACGGCGATATAACGCTCTTGAAAAGCAAGTCAACCTAGGTGCGATCAAGACAACGCAAGATGATGAAGAAGGCACCATCTCGCTGGATTATACATCGGCAGCTTTATCATCCACCTCACTGTCTCGGTCCATAAATACACAGGTAGGAGTCATAAACGCAGGTAAAGTAAGCCAAGAGCACCCTGTAAATATATAGGCTGACGAGCCCAGATTCATCGTTCCGGACGACAAACGCAAGTCTAGAGTCTTCACAACTCACAATATGGAAGTCTGACAACGAGACTGGCTGTGAAGAAGGTAAAGAACGCTCTTTACATCCCGGAATAATTCGCAGTCGCTTGCTGGCTCAATTTCTGTTTTTAAAGTCGAAGCAGGCGTCTTTGGACACCTTGGCGAATTTTCCGAGTAGCCAGGAGGAATTCCTGGACCAGATGAATCAGCCCAATGCATTTCCATGCCAAAGTCTGAGGAATGGAAACTTCTTAGCTGTGGCCGAGTTGGAAAACGGCAGTGAGGAGATGAAAAGTCGAGCACAACCACAGGCTCTTCCTATCAGAGGTCCCAAGCGACTTGACAGCGCTACATCAGCCCAATGTGGTGAAGGCGACGGAGCTGTTTGAAGCAATGATAGATCTGTGCGTCTATAGTGTTATGTGAGTAGTTCGAGGTGTTTGGTCATGTAAAGATAGTTTGATGATGAATAATTTGTGAGAAAAGGCCAGAGAGACAATTGGACCGCCCTATTTCGATGTATTTGCCATGACCGAAGGAGTAGTATACCATGGGAAATTGCTTAGCACGTAATGATGCACCACTTCTCATGTTACCAGTCTTGTCTTTGTGTATCACAGCCTTGCTCCATATATATCGCTGTAGGTAGCTGCCCTGGGATGACCGGGGCAAACTGAGATACTCTGCCTGAAAGAAGCACTATGGCATACTGCCAATATTTAAACACACAAGTCCCAGCTTCGATAGCAACAGCTGTAAACCTTCGCCCTTCCTGACCCGGCATCTCTTGACTCTAAGCGACGGGAAAAGCAAAAGCGGCAACCTGAGGAGTCTTTTCTGGGCGATGGAGAAGTGCGGCGATGTAAGTTGTGCTATTCGAAAAAGGTACGGGTGATAAACAGAAACGAAAAATAAATGCTCTCTTGCGCTGACTGCTATAGTAACGGAAAGTCCAGGGAGACGAATCGCGATAGAATTCCGGGGTCCTGGTGAGAGATGTTGCAGCTGATCTCGGACGTGCCGGCGGAGACTACGATGCCGGCAGCGCCGCCCTCAAATCAAACAAATCGAATCCAGGGGCGTATTTGGAAGATTTGATAACATTCAAGGCTCGAGTTGTTATTTTAAATATTTCAAATCTGACCCTCTGCGTTCTCCATGCTAACATGTCCAATCTCCCATCAGACCTCATCTCCCCCACCTATCGTCGCCCCTAGATTCACCGCACCATATCTGACCCAGATTTTGAGGCATTGTATCTTATCCAGTGTTTCTGCCGCCATCGAAAGCCTCTGCCGCGTCAGTGTTAACTTAGCTTGGCTGAACAACCTGTCGCAATCAGTCGCCATCGCTGGTATCGCGAGTATATCGAGAGCCAATTGGCTAATCATCAGGATTTGTCCCTGGTGAGCCATCCACCATTCGATCAGGTCGTCAGTATCTTGCGGTTCTAGCCCTAGATACCGCTTAAGCTCACTTCCCGTCACCGTAGTCTTCGCCGTCCTGCTCTTACTCCATTGCTTGAATACGCTAGCTTCAGTTGTCTTCCTAGGTACGCTCAAGGATGACGATGTGTCTGTGATCATCTTCTGCTGCTCATCCAACGGCGAGTTGCAGCGGTACCAGCGGTCCAAGTAGTCTGACAGTCCAATCTTGGCATCCCTCACCCACACAAGCTACTCTTTCGATGCCCAGTTCACCTCCAGATAGTTCATGCCAAGTGATGCATGAAGGATGATGGATGCAGCAAACAACGGTGAGTCTCCAAGCTTGGTGTAGTACTCATTCAATTTCTGCCAGGCAGTTTTGATGGAAAGTCTTAAATGGTGCCGGTGACCCTTTCCCATGTCATCAGTTCCCGATGGCCCTGATCGATTGTCCCATCCATCACCGCATTGTCTCAAGCTTCGATCCAGCAAGGAGCCTGCTGCCTAGACCTTCGCGGATGGCTGTCCGTCCTGCAATCCCTGAATCGAGCAGGAAGCTGCCGGTTACGGTCTGGTCACCCTCGAGCCAGCTTGACCTGCGAATTGGTGTCCTCTCCCGCAACCCCGCCTGGGTCAACGTGACAGGACAGCTTCCGAACCTCCAGGTGTTCCAGCAAGTATTCCATACCCGCCATCACTTCTCAGAGCTGCCTGTTACCTCCTTCGCTGCCTCAGCCCTCCATTCTCATAGTCTGCAGATAGAATGGCTCAAGAACAAGTTTAACTTCTGCCAACAGTCTCCAGTCATCTCCCTGCAGCATGTCGACCTCCGGTAGCCATTTCTCCACGTCCGGGTGGACTGGGAACGCCCTGATGCCCCCCTACTTGACGAGAGCTCGAGATATCATGGGGTAAGTGGAGTTCCATCTTGTATCTCCACTTACACCATCTTGTATCGTCATTCATTACGACCTCGACCCCCGTCGTTGACTCACTTGCCAAGAGATATTCTTGTGATTCGTCGTTCTCGCTTGTAATCCTTTTGAAAAGCTCTGAGGGGAAGACCTGATGAACTTGACGATATTGTGGAGCTTTCCCACTGGCCCTTTCTTTCTCCAGTGTCGTAGATCATCCTCCCACCGGCCGAGAAGGTCAAAATACTTGCGATTCAGCCTCGAAGGCCTTCGAATCTTAGCGTAGAGAAAGGCGCGAGCAACCAGGTTCAGGATATGCCCATAGCAGCGCATGCGTCTGGCCCGAACGTCCGCCAGACTCATCGATGCGTCGAGATCTCCGTAGAAGTTCATGAGACAGCTGTCGTTTGAAGATGCGTTGTCCGAGATCACGGTTTCGACTCAGTCCTCTATCTTCCATTCTCGGACAACTTGCTCGAGCGCAACCGCAAGACTTTCTCCGCTATGACACCCAAGCTGGCGACGGAGTGCGAATGGACGAGACTGGTGCTTGCCCCGCCGGTAAAGAAAATGAGCTGTGACTGCCATGACAGCATGCTGATTAGATGATGTTCATAGGCCGAACCCTAGGTGGATTTCGATGAGGGCATCGCAGAGCTCCTGCTTGATCTCATCCTTCTTAGACTTGTACTTGTCATCCAGCAAACGGCCCATCGGTTACTGGCTCCATGGTATCTGGTCAGATAGGTAAGGGTCGAGCTGCCAAGCAAGCTGCTGAAAGAGTGTATCGCTGAAGAAGGAGAAAGGAACATTGGTGTCAATCAGAAGTCCCAGGCTCAATTCTCGAATCCTCTTGACTCTGGCGCGTGGCACAGTGCTATACTACGTTGTCGCTTGGGCCGTTCAGATCCATCGGTTGACGGATGTGGATCAGCTGCTTGACCACTCTCAAAAGTCCCGCGGGACCTGCATTGGTCAATGATGCTCGAACTCGCAACGTCACACTAATATTCACATATTTGCGGAGATGGTCGGCTGCTGAACTTGTAGCAGCCGCGGCGAAGAACTCGGGCTGGCCCTTCGCGTCGCACAAATGACAGGCCCAACAAGGGCTCAGCGGACTGTCAATAGTATCAATCTCAGCAAAGCAAAGTCGATGGTGCTTGGTCCAGCTCTTCCGACCCTTCAAGATCCTCCTGGAGATGGACTCTTCCAAAACATATTGTTTGTTCCTCCACACTGCTCGCGGAAGGTCTGCAAAAGGTGGTCAGGTAATACTGCCTGTATCGTCAGCACGAATTTGACAGATTTGGCGTTGGGTAGAGAAAAGAAAAGACAGAGGGTGGAGGGGGAGAAAGCATGATGTCGTTGGATTCTATCAGATTGGGTGTCGATCAGTGGGGAACGCCGGGACGGTACGCGTTGAGGGTAAACAAACTAGCACTGACGTGATTTGATGCCGTTGGGGCGTTAAGAAACTAACGTTACCTAGGTACTTTCTCTCCAACTAATCTAACGCTTACTGGGGGTACTAGACTACTTGATGGGTTACTTTGATTGGCCGGGGTTACCGTAACTATATGATGTTCCGGGTAAGTCGTGAAAATGCGTATCAAATATCAAATGTTGTTTCAAATTGAAGAACTTTCATTTATTTGATTTATTTGATTTGGGTGCTAGGCTGGACACCAGAGCGCCTTGCAAAGACGGCTGGACCTAAACTTACGTACATTTGATTGCACCTTGCATGTGAGTCGTGCAATTTGGACAACAAAGTCGTGACTGACTCTGACAAATGGACTCTCCACAAGTAGAATTGGTATTAAACACGAGTACCGGCAATGCAGATACCTTAGTACCTAGCCTTCTAAGGCTCGGGCATCCTTTCCTCCTTAGAATCATGCCTGCGACTACGTAAGCGAACGGAAGGTCTACTTCTTCCTCTTCACTTTACGCTTCTGTACTGGCGGCTTGATTTACTCCTTCTTGTTGTTCAAAAGCTCATCGTTAGCCCATTAAGCCTTTGTTTTTGGGCTTCAGAAGTCCTTGCTAGCCTCTTCTTTTTCAGTTGTTTGCGCTCAGCCTTGACCTTGATGTTCAAAAGACCAGTCCAAAACAGCACAGAAGGAAGCTCAAGAACAGGAAACGGAAGGAAATAAGCAGAGAAAAACGAAAAAGAGTTGAAGAGAGGCACTTCGGGACCACCAAGGCAAAAAGGCTCAAGTGAGTGAGAACAGGAAAGGCATCGAGATTTCAAGACTGAATAGTGTATGGGATCAAACAAGTCAGGGAGAACAAAGAGCCTCCTCGAAAGGAGAATTTAGCAGGACGAAATAAGTTCATAGTAGAATTGCCTAAAAGCTTGGAGATTATGCCTGTCCTGCGATATGTGATAAAAGCCTTGATTCTCATCCCAGCATATTGAGTTGCAACTTCCAGATTCGTCGAGCCCCCTGACTGGAGCATACTCGGGACAGCCGTGGCTGGTGCATTGATTATTCAATCAATAACGGAACCACACAGCAGACAGTGAACATTCTCAGTCCAGGACTTGTCACCACCTATCACGCTTTCGCGCAAGTCGCGAATTTCCCATGCTGTGGGGCGGCCGTCTTTCATCTTGAGGGTGGCCTTGAAAAGTCCCTCGTATGGTTTAAGGCCTGCAGGCTTCTTTCTCGCCTTCTTATGGCCCTTCTTGGCAGATTGGTTTGCTAGTGCGGTGGCGATAGCTCCGAAAGGCGTTCGCCCACCCACAACACTTCCTACCTCACGATCGGTTTCGTGAGCAGCCTTCTTGCAGTGCAAGCCATCGTTCGTTTTGTCGGAACGGACATTGATTATTCGTCGAGTTTCTTTCTCCTCGGTACTAAGAGGCGATAGAGGATGGGTGGCTTTGGGCTTCTGCTCCTTGCCAGCCAACCACTGGCTTACATTGGCCTTATCCAGGCTCAGTCGCTCGTGAACTTGCATGAGAATCTTGTGGGTCATACATTCCTCATGCAGAGACTTCCCGCATTTCGAATTTGTGCATTCTAGCACGATTTTATCGGGGCTTGCAGGCTCTTGGCATTCGCAAATGAGTTCGACAGACTTCATGGATATTAGCCTTGTGATAAGGAAGGAGGCACAATGAGACACACCGAAAGTTGCAAGTTGCGGTAGTCGAACGCTTGGCGCCAATAAAGCTCCTCTGGGAGTTCCTTGGTATGGGACTCAATCCATTGATCGACGGTAGCGAGCCCTGTAACACTGACAACATTGATAATATCCACTAGAAAAGGAAAGATCGGTTAGTCGTATTGCGGTATGATGCTGGTCACCATTCTGGAGCATACTGTGGTTGGAAGCAATCAGTTCGTTGACGCCATGGTACGGCTGACGGCCTTGAACCTCCTTCTTGCCGTCAACGGTCTTCGCAGGGAGTTCGTCGGGCCAGTACATCCAGTAGACGCGTGCATAGACGTGATGCTCATCAGAAGCACGGATCTCAAGGATGCGCGCTACCCACTCATCTTTATTCTCGCAAATATCCTTGCCATTATCTTGAGCTTTTTGTTTTTCAATTGATAGCTCGTTGGCAACATACACGAAAACTCCGCTGTAGTATTTGTTTTCGTTGACTGCCAAGAGTTAGCCATAAGCTCCTACCAACTTGGGAGGATGTCGAGATTCCATCGGATGCTCACGGATAAAGCTATTGTAGCGCCTCATATTCCGCCACCGTTTTTCGGGTTCAACGGTGTATTTTAGGTCCATACTTTCGTACGTTTTGAAGCTGCCCTTTGGGTTGAAAGGAGAGATTTGAGACTGAGCCCGGTTGTTCTCATCTTGACCATCGTACTTCCGCTTCTTGTTTTTGTGACCTTTCTGGTGAGCGGGCGAATCACCAGTCTTGTAAGAGACAGTAAAAGGGAATTCAGCGCAGTTATCCTCCCCGACAGATAGTGATCTCTTGCGCTTGCTCATTGTGGTGTTTTGACGCGGTTCGCCCGTGTGTATGACCGCGTTGAGAATGGATAGAAGGATAGGTTTTGCGGAGAAAAAATAAGCTTCGTGGAGAAACGGCGGGGAAAGCAAGGGCGAAATATGAGAAATGGAACGAAACCAGATGCAAGTGATTTTGCGATGATGAGATTTGTCCTAGCTGAGCCTCATAGGTCCTTGAGTAATAATTTGAGGGCGCGCCTGTCGTCCCGTGCGCGATTTCACTTATGTTATCGAGTTTGTCATCAATGATTGGCCGAGAGTGAGCGGAAAGTGGAGTAGCTTCTGCAGAAGAGCAGAAATCGTCGAAATGTCATGAATACACTCTATTCATTTTTCATAGGCTCATAAAGCAGTATAGGGTACCAGATGGTCTGTTGGATAGACGGACTGGGCTTTTTTTATACTGAATGGGATCGAGTCACGATTGTAGATCAAATATATGTATGGTAATATGGCTGACCGTTGGACGTGCTTCTCTACTAATGTAATGGAAGACTTTTCTACAGCCTTCACGAGTTGTTTGAAGAAAGGGAAGCCGAATGCAGTTCTGCACGATGTCTTCTTATCTGATTGGTAGCTTATACCACAAATGCAACTGGGCTTGGTAGCACGATCGGAGTAACGACGCAGCCGCACAAGTCATGTTGGAGGGTGCCCTCATTTTCTTGATAATTGAATGTTTTGACTTTTGTACTGTTTTAGACAAGCTGTGTTGGTTATGACAGAAACCTTTGAGGGAAAGCTGGCTGTAGACCTGGAGCATTCTTCTTAATAAATAACCACTTGGTCTTGTTCTAAGTGTTGCGCTACATTTTCTTAGGTACATGTGTAACCGGTTACTCGCTATGTGCATAAATACCTGTTAAGATGCATAGACAGGCGGTATGTTATGGCATGTTGCATTGAGTGTAACAAGATCCCCGTTCTAAGTGGGGCGAAAGGGTAACAATGGTAATGTGAAAACTCTGTTATCAACGCCTTTCTCTAACACAAGTTCTTTTCTAAGTGCTTAAAAACTATTAACTAATAGTAGTTTGAATCAGAAATGAATTATTTCTCGTTTCAACCTCCAGTTTCGTGAAATAGAGCCAGACAACTCACAAATAATTCCCCCTCGTGGCGGCATCCAGTAAAGTTCAAGAACTGTTCTGCCTCTTTTCTTTGTTTTCTAAGAATTGCTAGCTTTAACTAACCACAAACCAGCAGCAGCTAGATAAAGTCCTAGATGAATCGGCAATAGCTTGCATAACAGCAGCACACACTTTCTGTGGACTTTGCAGCGGCGCCTTCAAGCCAGGTCGTGTTCATGAAGTAATGGCTCTCTGCTCATCAAAGGGTTTGATACTTGTTCAGAATATGCTTTCTGTCTCCTCTGATTGGCTCACTTTCGCTTGATGTGATATTGGAATGGGACTTGGTTCTTTCCGAAGCTTCGATTCCAGCAAGACCTAATCTGATCCCAGCTTCGTGGGGCAATCACCATGTAGGCGATGCTTTGACGCCAGTTTAGACTGGGTCCGTTGAGATGGAACCCTGTAGATCAAGATGATGGGAAAGCGCAGTATAGAATCATTTGAGGTCAGGTCTACCACTGTTGGTAACGACTTAATCAAAGATTTATGGTGTACGTGACGTGGCCTTGTGGGCCGTGGCGTAGATATGTCTGACATCTGCGTTTCACTTGATTGCAGAGGGACAATATACTGACCCCAAGTTCTCTACAGGCCATCCCTACTTTAGCTTGGAGGACGTTACATAGAGCTAGCCTAATCTTGATTCATCCTAAGACTCACCATGTTATATCATTGACTTACAGATGAGCTGATACATACTGTTAGTTACTAGGAATTCTGGCAGTACTGGCTAATATATTGGCTGTACTCCGTATATTCCTACTTCTTTCAGTACCTAAATATGTAACTGTTCGTCGGCATATAGCTAGGGCAAACCGGCATCCATAGTCGCATATATAGACTGCAACGTGCACGATAAAACCAAACATAACACATAAGTAAATGTCTAAGTATCGCGTTACTCCCATGTTGAAGTGAATATCCCTCAATACCATGCTTCATAGAGATGAGACCTGCCTACCCTTTGTGATGTCTACATACTGAATACTAGCAGTGGAGCCGGTATCAAATGTATACAATATGACTTTCATTTGCTTATCTACTGCATTCATTTGCTGTATGCTTTATGTATGTTCACCCGGAAATGTTTTTTTCTTTTAATTGAAATATATATAGAGCTTCTTGGCATATTCTAAGTGACTCAGGCTAGGAAAAATATAATGCCAACCTTTAAAGAAGCCGTGCTTGTTCTGCCAGACTCAGGAAATGTCTTTGTGGTTATATTAATAATTCTCTCCCTGTGGGGTTCTGACATAAGAAATTGTATTTGAAGCAGATGATGGGTTAGGCTTTGTCAGAGACTGAGGTTGCTCGTTGCTCTGAACACGACACCTGGGTTAGACTACACAAGAGCTTCCTGGCTCGATGTGACATGATCACCCACAGGCGCATGCCCTGGGGCCTGAAGATCATAACCAAGGCTGTCTGTTGATTGGGGATGATGACCGCTGCTTCTGGACCCGACATGTCCGTCGCCAACTGTCTTGCCATGTTTGAGTTTCCGCAAGAGCTGTTTCAACAGGGGGATGCATGTAATTGTAATGCCGACGCATTGCATAATCTGAACCAGAACTACTGAAATCCAGATGTCAAATAGAGGGTTTTCTGAGTTCATCGCGCGCTTGTAATAGTAAATATGGCATGTAGCAGGGAGTAAAGACCTATTCTCCGTTAGCATGTCCTCCTGCACATATCTGTTTGCTTCGCATTAATGCAGGGCTCAACTACACACGTACAGGATGCGACAGAGGAAGAGGCCGATGATTTCAAGTTTAGGGCGCAAAGCCATCTGTAGACGCATGAAGATCCTTAGAAATACTCCAGTGACGAGTAAATCAGTGGCAATATGCAAAGCATCAGCGCCAATCCTCAGGGCAATAACCTATGAAACAAAATCAGACAAAACTACCACATATTGATTCAACTAGGATGCATACAGTATTTCTGTCGCACTGGCCGTCAATATAATCCCAGAATCTTGGCAGTGGACAACTGAAGCTCCTCCCTAGGATGGAGAATACCGCCCAAATGAGAGTCAAGATGATGCTGATCATCACGCATGTTCGAGTCTCGCGGGACCTATCTTCCAAAGAACGTATCATGGCAATGGCTGAGAGCTTCGAGGCGGACAACGAGGCGATGAAAAGAATATCAGACGCGTATTGAGCCTTTGAGAGAGTCGCCTGTGAGCTGAAATGGAAGGAGTCGATGCGTGAAGAAGGTTACTTACCTGCAGGGCGTGAGACGCCTCCGAAGGCGTAACATCGTAGGGTTTACCTAGTCCATTGGCCGCTTCAAATAGTGACACTACAATCGATTGTGGGATCATTAGAACCTGTGGCCAGTAGTTCAGTGGGTGCATTCGTGACAGGACGATGGGGAGCCACCGTGAGTAAGGCATAGGGCACAGAAACTACCGTGGATATAATTAAAAGGAGGTCATCAAGCGTATAGAGATTCGACCATTTTACTCCTGCATCTGACATGACGCGCCCAGTGGAACGAATTAGCACGGAGAAGATGGAAATCATCATCAAAGCCAACGAGACAGTTTGTATAAGCCGTGATTTGTCCGTCGGTGTCTCATACGCGTGTGCCAAGTTCATTGCAGTTGTGTAGAATGGATTTGAGAAGATACTGTTTTGTAAGCCCAAGACCAAGTGCGTTGTTAAGACTCGCATATAGCGCTGTGGTTCTTATTCGAGAGTCTCGGGTCTAGAATGGCGTAAAGACGTTGAATGTGTAGGGGAATGTTCAACAGCGGGAAGAAGAATGCAGTGAATAGACTTTTATCTTACTGTTGATCCGCAAGGTGGCCCTTGAAACCTCTGGTACAATTCTTAAATGGTGCCTTACCTGTCCCCGGGAAGAATAGCAGACTACCCATTGCTAGGTTTCTGCGGTGCAACCCCAGCGGCCAACAGGAGATGTCGACTCGAGTTTCGGCTGGAAGCACCCCTTATTGGACAGTTTGAATGTCTTGAAGTTGCCCTGGTGTGACGGCTGGTTGCATCTATTACAAGAACCCGCCCCTTGACCAAAATGCTTCTCATCGACTGGGACTGAGGAGCTATAGCGAGGAGCCATCTAGGAAATCCTTGTGCGATAGATGTATCCGATTGGCTCTTGGCTCAGACGATCAAACAGTCGTATGATTTAGCCCATCAGACTACGTAGGCACTGGAAGGAGTAACCACAGAAGAAAGATTTTATTACAGAGACGTTTGCATTATGGGAGAGGTCTGATGTGCCACCACCTAGTGGCCGGCTCGCTAAGTCGTGAACTCCTTTGAAGTCGCTTCAACCCTTTGATGGCTGTGTTGATCTAGTGTTGATGTGATGTCGGAGAGTGGAAACACAGCCCCCCCGGGTCGACCGTCATATCTTGACCATCTCCGACAAGGTGACCCTTGCAAAATGGTTAGATTGAGCGCTTCTACCAACATTTAGCGGCTGACAGTAGGGTCTTTGATTGGCGACTTCCACATTGACTTTCTGATGCGGATTGCCGTTGTCGACAGGGATTTGATTGGTGACTTCCAGATTGACTTCCTAATTTGAAGCATGGCTCCTGGCAGCAGGTGGGGTATCGATTTGGCTTCTCAACTTGGAAATGAGGCATTTTTCTTCCACGCCCCCTGCTTAGACAACCACCTCAAACATCCACGCAATGCTATAACATGAGCGGCTCATCAATCCACCGGGGCTGCGGGAACCCATCCGTGGGATCCTTTAGTAAGTTTGATCCCAAGCTGGCCCCTGGCCATGACCGTGCCCGTCAACGCACCCATGAAGCTACCTGGGTCAAACTTGCCGAGGCTGTGCCAAAGGACGAGGAGGACTGGCGCTTAGCGAGACATAAGCATGCCTTCAGCACCCCGGCGGATATGGTGAAGACATTAGAAGATCTCCTTGATGGTGAAAAGAAGTCTCAGCTTTACAAGACTGTCTACCTAGCAAGTCGTTACGTGATCCTTCGCGGCGGTTCCTCCCATAGGGAAGCGGTATACACTGAACTTCGAAAGTGCCTGGGCAATGAAGAACTTAAGGAGGAGATGTTAGACATATACATGAAGGCAGTGGTGATGTTCGTCAAAGTCCTCGATGACTTATTTTTGATGGGCCTCTTTCACCGCGCTTTCGAACTTGTCCTTTACAGTAAGTTCTGTCCTTTATTGCTTTCATGTCAGATACGAGAAGGAAGTCGGGGGAAGAAAAAAAAGCAAACACTTCTTATTATTCTCTTCCTAACAATGCATGCCTTAGTGCCGATACAAATATCACACCTGCGTCTTTACGGACCCAACCAAGAAAGATTTGTTACTTACCTCTCGATCCAGAAGCCTCCTGTCGAGATTCAAGGATCCCTGCTACTTTCCATTCCCTTCCTGGTCCGCCGTTTGTTCCCAGAACTCAGGTAGGATCTACATAGCATGTTTATTTCGACGACTAACAATTCTCCACAGCCTTACCAGTATCCAGAATGCTTTTGGCACCACGATCCATAGTCCGGCTGAATATCGCATCTTCGAGAGGGCATTGCAAGGCCTAAACATGCTTCCTCGCCTTCCATCGCGGCCCATTGAAGTCTTGAACATACCCCAGAGTCTGCTATCGGACATACCAGAACTGGCGACAAAACTTCGTGGGTATAACCCCATGCTACCACTGTATGTTCCACCGAGCACCCAGATGCATTGCTGCCAATGGCCAGACGACAAAGATCGTCTAACAGGTGTATTGTGGGAAATCTTGGTAAGATTTATTCGTCTTTGCCTCTGATAATCTACTCACCCATCAGACCAGCCAAAACCTTCTTAACAAAGGGGACCATCGCCTCAGTAAACGATATGCAGTACATCACGACGAAGGACGTCTCCCCACTCCGGATAACCACGTCCAGGTTCTTATACCTATAATTGACTCAACTGTCGCTGAATCCCAGGTTTCGCTGGATCCCGCTGTGCATGATAGAAAATGGAGACATCGATGGGAAGCTGGGCAATGGATCCTCATGCAGCCGGGCACATCTTTACTACCGGAACAACCGGTCGAATACTTAGCCTTGTTGTTCCTGATATCAAGTACCGACCCTGTTCACAGAACGGTAGTCGGGCCATGATTGAGGTCAATGCTACCCAGGAAAGTTAGTTCACAATGTCTTAGCAGAGTAAACCCTTCCCTAAAGTTTTGTCTTTCGAAGCGAACAAGTGATCTGTCGATGTTATCGTCTTGGTGCGTTCCTTCTATATACTCTCTGTACAGAGACCGACCCTGCTTCATACCTTCATGACCGTATACGCGTTACTGCTACTTTCGGCTCGATTGTTTGAGATGTAGCGCCGGAGGACTTGGAGGATTCGATACACAAAACGTCGTTTGTGACCTGTTGTGCCTGAAGGCGAGACGGAAGCTACAGCTGGTAACAATCTTGGAAACGCACCGCGAACCCCTAAAGACCACAAGGAGTACGTGGACGTCGGACGGTAGGCGATTGAGAAACAAGACAAGGACCGCTAACCTCCGAGACTGAGTTGGTCGACAGGAATAGCTATTGCTACTACTGCGTACCGAGACCTGCATGCTTCTGCTTTACGACAGTGGCAGTGAAGAAAACCGTTGATGACTCCATTCCCAAGTCCTGGAGAGAAGCACGCAAGTGTTACAACTACAAGATGTGGTGAGGCATGTTTCAGATCATGCCTTGTTGGTAATTTTCGCCATTCTTCAACAGTGTGATATCACAACTGTATTCCTGAGCTCCAAAAATGGCAAAGAAATCTACGCTGTTCATCCCTACGGTTTTGAGGATGGAATGAAGAGAGTTTGTATGTTGCAGTGAGCTCTGTATCGACTCGCAGCATCATTAGTGTGGCGGGTCAAGAAGATGGGAGATACGGAGGACTTTCTGGGTCCTCGGACTGTGCGGGATTGTGAGAACAGAAGGATCTACATTTATCAAGAACGGTATACAGAAAAGATCCCACACAATTTAACAGACGGCAAGGCTAATCCGATCAACAACCCATGGTCATCATAAGTGGATATACCGGAAAACTTGAACATAAGAACCAGTGATGAAGCTAAATAATTGACTTGAACAAACTGCAAGCCTGAACTACCTGCCAATGAACATACGACCTGACATTTCGTCTATGGTCTAAAAGCTCTTTGAAGCAAACAGCATTTCGGTGGAGGAACACGCTACGATAGGGTAATGATGTATTTGTTCTGTTATCTTTCAAGAATTAAGAATCATGCTTTAGATTAGAAAATGTTGAAGCGCGCTATGATGCCGCAGATGATGCCGCTGCTGTCGTATACTGACTCACGGGATGTAAGAGAAACAGTTCTCAGCAAGTACAACGAGGCACTCGTCACATGTATATACACTGTAAATGCATACGAAATTCAGCGTACGGAAATATAATACTTCAACCTTCAACACGTGAGAACGAACTATATGATTGCTGACAGATTGACAAAGGCGTTGACATCTCACAATCATGCAGGATTCGCTCGCCAGCTGTATGTAAGAGTTTGAGTGGAAAGAGAGTTGTAGTGTAGATCAATGAGGGGATTGAAACAGACTGGCAGATAATGACAGTGAGAGAGACTGGGAATAAGAACCAGTGGACCGATTGGGGCTTATCGTGAATAAGAAGTGGAGGGAAAATAGTAAGCGGAATTGATAATAGCTGTACTTATATCTGAAGAGAACCTCGTTAGGTCAGGCAGGGCAGGCTGAGGGTAGCTCTAGTTATCACGCCCACTTCTTCATCAGACACAGCTCTCTCATCTCAGAACAAGGCAGTGCAACAAAGCCCCAAACAATTTACTTTGCCTCACCCACAGTAATAGCTCAGCGTGCCACTGCTAGTCACAGGGATGCAGCATCTGTGAATTTGTGTAACTGGGCAGACTGACTCACGATTAGTCTGGCAACACTTATTCGTTAGGCGCCTCGCGGGGCTTGCTCCAGCGCAATGTAGGTACCCACATTGCACAGCCCACCAGTTCTCAAGGCATCCTCGAGGCCAACTAATCCACAAGATATAATATTCTCAATCTGACCATCCTTTTACATCTCTCTACCTCCTCATCACCTTTCAGCACCATCGCGTGTCGAACATCAGTATTCCTATCCGCAAACCTATTCATCATGGATCTCGTCATTTATTACAATGACAGCATTGACTCAGACAACTTGGCCGCGGCTAGTGCCTTATTCAACGCCACATACCAGAGATCAAATACCCGCGTTCTTTGGATTCTAGAGCCTCGCCAGGTCCGCTTCGGACTATCTATGGCAAAGGCTGACATGGACAGGTGCAAAGATTTAATATCTCAGTACTTTCCATCCCAGAAAGACCTTTCCAAATGCCTTTTGAACGGATCTCTCAAGAAGGAAGACATTGATGTTATTCCAGATCTGACGCTCGGCGACCGTGAGATTGTAAGCTTTCCTCTCAAAGCTGGAAACCACCAGCGCTGACCATGAAATTAGCTTGAGAAGGCAGTAAAGGCCAAGTACGGCCCAGTCGAAGATGCTGTATTGCATGCACGTCTAAGTGCACTCGACCTGGCATCCTGTCTTGCCGAGTGGTCCAACAATGGCCAGAATGAAGTTCTCGTGGACTATGAGTCTTTGTCAGACGTCGAAAACCCAGTGAATCTTCACATGCATCACCATGAAGAACTTCCCAGCCGGAGCGCACAAGAAGTAAGGGCATACAACAGCATCCTGGGAGAAGTGGGTGATTCCGACAGTCGAGCCGTTAAGATGCGGGACTGGTATGACATGTGTATCAGGCGACTTGAGCACAACACATGCACCTCAAATACAACTGTGGAACCACTTGTTCTGGGCAATCTCGTAAGTCAGATTCAGAATGCAAAAAGCGTTCGATTCTTCGGGGGTTCCTCGTTGAGGATCCTACGCCAGTTTCTCGATAGAGGTGTAGGCAATAGGGTGAGGTGCCACTTACAGGTGGTAAGTTTGGTTTCACAATACTTGTTGACAGAAGACTAACGTTATTAGGGTACCTGCGACATATCAGCGAATCGTTTCTCTGATCAATTCAATATCGCCCTCAACCAACAAGCAGCCAAGATCGTTCTCAGCCGACATGCAGAGTTCGCAGAATTCACCGTCGTACCTTCGCATACAGTGCAAAGCATAGAATACTCAGCCCTGGGCCTGAAGCATGCGGGAGGTCAGTGTATGGAGAAGCGGATTCTTGGTTTCAACTGCCACCAAGAACCAGTCAAGATTGTCACAAACCAGGTATCGATAGAAGGACAATATTCGGACAAATTCTTCCCTATGCCAGACTTGACATCATTCTTATGTGCCCTTGTTCCGGGGAACATGGGCGCGAGGCAGGGTCATATCAAGATCGACGAACAAGAGAGTGGTACACTTCTGTTCGTGCCATCCCACGAGGGAATTCCTATGTTTGACCTGGACGGAGTCAGGCAGTTAGACATGTCCCATGTCAAGGATATTTTTCATTCATTAACAAAGGGCGAAGTATTGCTATGATGGAAACGAGCTTTGACACCCAGCAGAGTATTAGAGGGCAGGTCATACCTTTGATAGCTCCGTTTGCATATGAGCACAATCCTCAGTTAATGGAGAGAAGAACCTAACTTATATCCGTTTCAGAGCATACAGAGTGTCTAAAGTGACTATAAAGACCAAGTTCATGCTTTACTACATACCAGGTGCGACTCATTTTACTGCTGAGGAACACAGAGAACTACTTCAAGCTCTATTTCTTAGTAAGGCATAGAAATCATAGACACAGTCTCTTGGCAAAAATGCGGCCCACGTTCACTCTAGATGCTCGGCCCCGATTCAAGAAGATATCGACAGTAGCACTGATAGCGCTATTCTAGTTTCATGGCCCATAGAGCGGGTCATGAAATAAGCGTAAACCGCCGTTATATATGATTTAAAATCGATTTGCCAACTGAGAAACTCCTCGGATCTTGTCACTATGACAGTATTTGCTTTTAATATTTCTCTGGCAAATTATCAGCCCTTAAAGTCCAACTTTCATTGGTAGTGAGCCTTACTGGAGATGCCCCCCTGTCCAAGGGTTTTCAACGATCCGGCAATAGCCTAACCCGTTGAACCTGCCCTTGAAAAGTTTATTGCTTCTGCGGTACTGATTCTCAAACGACTCTCAAGATATATGTCTGCCGATTATTGGCACTCGGCACAATGTCTCTTCTGGAGCTTCGCCAAGGAAACAGCTCGTGGCAAGGCGACAGCAGCTCTACGAGGATAATGCCGAACCCGTGCAAAAGTTTCCGCTTCCGCAATAACGTCATTTATACATACCCTTCTATCAACGTACATAGGCAATCCTAGACAGCCAAGTCAGGAAAGAAACCGCTCCTTTCCAAGACAATAGCTCCCTGTCACCAGCTACCCTAGAGACAAGCACCTTAGAATTTATCACCTCACAATTTATCACCTCACAATTTATCACCCTGAATTTATCACCCTGAATTTTTCACCTCGGGATTTATCACCTCGGAATTTATTGCCCTCAATTTTCTTATACCCAAAGTTATCACCCCGGAATTTATCACCCAACGGTTTATCACCTGACAATTTATCACCTCACAATTTGTCACCTCACAATTTATCACCTCGCAATTTTCCTACCCCAAAAGCTTTTCAATGATAATAAGATTTAACTATTATTTTCTCTGTAATACTGATGCAATCCTCACAGAATTTTGACCTTCTATTACCTATGCTCGGTGAACCCTAATGACGCCGCATTTTTGGCAAATGTTGCCAGAGGGGAAGCTGGAACTCTTCTATGCTTGCTTGTTGTGATGTAATATACAGACATGCCTTTCCAAGCATCTAGGCGGATAGCTAGCCTGGCCATATCATGACGCAAGCGGAGGTTTTTGTTGATTCCCTGCCGTATATGTGCTATAGTGAAGCTAAGGCACCCTCCTCGAGGCCTGTTCTTTGTGAAGTGAGTGATGATGTTGTCATCAGGATGAATACATGAGACGAGCAAGCCGAACCCGATGGCTACTACGGTGTCGGACTAACAGAGGTCCAACAACCTGTAGCACCACTGTTTTATGGCCCTTCTACTATATTCAACAGGTAGATCAAAATGCCGACAGCAATCAACAGGTGGCAAGGCATAGGTATAGCTGCTTCTTGGACATGTGAATGGATAAAGATATATATGATGAGAAAGACGGGGAATATGAGCATTGGCAACACTGACTTGCGTCGTTACTAGTCCTCAAGGCCACAAGTTGCTAGCTGTGCGTCCTAGAAATTTAGAGGTGTTGTCGACGCATTTTAGACTTTGCGGGGGGCTGATGGTTTTGTAAAGTTGGTAATACAGACAACTCCTACCAACAAAATCACCGCAAGGGACGCAGGGGGGGTGAAAGATGACAAGGCCGGGGTCTGAAAGAACGTAGGCGGGCGCTTAGTATGAGCCGATCTCTGATGAGTGATCGACCTGGACCTGCACCTCTGTGTTCCCGTTTCAGTCGCTGCTAGCGGGGAGTCGTCATCTGCAGCAGCCAGGTTCCGCGATAGCCCGTGTCCGGAACTAAATCCAAGCGAAATGATTGGGATGAAATCAGATTTAACGCCGCATCCAGAGGCCAATGGCAAGGAAACAGGGGTTAATAGAAGTGAGGGATAAATGCGTGTAGCGTGGTCTGAGATCCAACAGGGCTCTATTTATTGAGCAATTGAGCAGTTCTTACCTTGTGTCCTCCGTAAAGGGGGCACACTAACAAAAACTTTGGCGTTTCAGGTGTATATTTAGATACCTAGCCTCGGCAGTAGTACCGCTGGAACTAGCGGCTGTGTGGCTTTGATTGCCAGCCCGGGCGCTTAACGCGCAGCACGAGCAGTACTTATATCTAGAGAAGTCGGAAGGCGTATGTTTTCGTGTTTCTTACATCCCATTCTCATCATCCTCCGTAATTTGTGTCGAATATTTTCTTTCATCAATACACGATGGCGACAGTCACATTCGATGCTAGATTTGTGTTGGTTTTATTGTTCGACAATCATCATATTAGCAGGCCGTACAGGCGCTATTCGTCACATGCACCGATACTCGAATGTTCGAGAACACCGAAGTCTTCAAGCTATACCCCGAAGCCATACCATTCTCGAGCTAGGCAGTCATCTGTACAGCGCGGCCTTGCAATATTTCCTCCACGGCACTCCAGGACTCGTGATCCATACACGAAGGCAACTCGAAGTGGTCGACATGGTCAGAAACTAGGGGCTTCTCCAGTACGGCGAGGGCAAAGCCAGCGGACAAAGAAGCTGAATGGGAGGAGTTGCGGTCAGATCACGATATGAGTCTGAGCTGGATAACCACCGCCCCCAGGAGGAAAATCAAGAAAAGGGGATATAGGGCTTTCAATAGTGGCGTTGCGTTAACTACAGCATATTGTCAAGGGCTGTACCGTTGTGCTTGGGATGCACTGTTACATTTGAAGTGAAGTGGCAGCCAATAGGAAGTAATTCCATTGCAGCTTGGCGATCTGCTGAAAGACGTCCATTGGGAAAGGGATCCATCATTTTATAGAGCAGGCTTCTTCATTGAAGAGTTCACAGTGAAATAGACAATTCTATTCAGAAACATGACTTAGTCAGCCTCAGGACACCAAGGCTGGCACCAAACCTTATTTGCTGGGGTCCATAATATCAGAAGGAGTGGCATAGAAGGCCAAGGCGATGATAATGTAAAGACCCATAAGCATAGCACCCTCGAGATAGTTGGACTTGCCATCCTGAATGGTGTATGTGATGACGAGGACAGATGCTGCGAAGGCGACAGTTTGGACTGTAAGTTAGTTGTCAGAACAGACGGTTGGAGCTGTCAAACTTACATGTCTCTCTCCAAGTGAAGAGTCATCTCAGCATTAATGATCCAGCCAACAATGACAAGAGAAGGAGCAACCAGGAGGGCAATCTGGATCGAAGAGCCAACTGCAACACTCATGGCGAGGTCCATCTTGTCACGGAGCGCAACAGCAACGGCGGTGACGTGCTCTGCGGCACTGCCAACCCTAGGGATCAAGATCAGACCAATGAACCTCGGCTGATTCCCGAAGTCGTGGCAAGGCCATTGATGCCATCAACAAGATACTCGGCGCAGAGAGTAACGAGGACGGTGGTGACGACCAAGACAGCGATAGCGGTGATGGGTCCCAGAGTGGGCTCCTCACACTCACCCTCCTCGTCATCCTCGTTCTGGTTCTCGGTGTCGGAAAGGTTGCTGTGCGTTCGGAGACGATTGAATTTTGGAAGCATGGTCCACTTGCACTTTATTGAAGTTAGCTTTGTGGACAAAGCTCTGTGGAAGGTTGTTGGAGCCCATTGAAATAGGGAAGGTAGAAAGTGCGCTTCATCATCGATGCTGTCCAAGAAACTCACCTTTACTCGCATGGCCGACCACTATAAGACCCTCAAACAGCTATGACATCTATATTTGACCGGCCTTCGAAACGAGCTGTTTTGCATCCCGGATCTGCTTCTCCATCCATACGACGACTTTCGCAGCAAGAGACAAGACGTCGCAAGTGCCAGACAGCGCACCACTGCAACCATGGATGGTCCTGTACAGTCTGCGTTCATCTATTATCTGTTGACACCCAACTAGCCTAGCTGTTGAACGAAGGTTTCCACGACTTACTAATGGGTTTCAACTACTAGCAGTAGGCAACTCGAGCAGGCCGGTGGAGGTTACTCTTTTTCGCCAGGCACGATATTGGTCGAATGGCCATCGTATGGGCTTTGGTGACGGGCGATAAGACCCCGCAATTCGCCTGCTATGGCCATTTAAGGACAGCAATATTGCTTCCGGTAGGCATAGTTAATCAATCTGTTCGTGGACATCGCTGACATTTCAGGGCACCAGAAGACGAAGTGCCATCATATCTGAACCCTCAACCCTGATGCAATTTCCTCCAAGGCCCATGGATCACATTGCTGCAAATGTGTTGGCATCGTGATCGGATTGTCAGATGTCTGCTACCGGGTTAGTTTCTCATTCATGTTCAACTCACGCATCACCAACGTAGCTATCAAAACGGAGCTCTATCTGTTGCGAGTTTGCAACCTCGCTTCACTATCTTGCGCAATCTCACTATTTCCAGCACGTCGTCAACCTCGCGAGGCATGATTCTTCGTGGCGACGAAAGTACGACATGCTCGCCGTGCGCATGCGCGAAGGGGGTATGCCAGTCTGGAGCGTGGCAAGGGTATACAACGCTGGTCACCCTGCGATAGTGGTCCGAAACCTGGAGAAGACTGAGATCTCCATTTATGCTCCCAACTAACGAGTTAGTCCAAGAATTGAAGCATAATTCAGTAAGAGTGGGACAAGGACGATGCCGCACAGGGAGCTTAGCGTCAAGGAGCCATACATGGGCACTTTCGTTCGTTCGTTCATTCGTTCGTTCCGTTTAAAACGTTTATGCATGTTAAATCGTTTAACCGTTTAAGGGTATCCTAAAACCGTTTGAACGGTTAAACGATTTTTCAGCCCTGGCACTCGAAAAATCTTTCAAAATGTCAAGCTTCGGAGACCTTCGCTTAGGTCAAGGGCAAGGATCACGACCATTGTGAATAGGTTCACGGTCAGCGTGAACGCTACACCATACCTAGCGTCAGGTAACAGCCTGCTATCAAAGAAGCTGGAGGTTAGGACTATTAACGCGAGTGTTAGGGATGATTTCACTAGCTTCATCAACGTTGATGCAACAGATATCCCTCCGGATTGTACGCCTCTGGAGTGGTGGTGTCTACCACAGCAGAGAAAGTAGTATCCGAAACTTAGCCGCATGGCTATTTGCATTCTTTCTATCCCAGCAGAGTCATCGGAGCCGGAGAGGACGTTTTCTGGGGCAAGAAGAACATGTTCATGGGATAGATTACGAATCACATGCAAAACTATCGAGATGATTGAATGTACGGGCAATTGGTTGCGTCAAGGACTCATACAGCCTCTGCATGAGAACGGGATGGGTTTAATCGGAATCCCACGGCCGGAGGGTGACTCTCGGGACGTTGACAATGATATAGTGGGCATTATTTCGACTGGTATTAGGGCAGGCGCGGTGGATATTTCTCACCGTCATATAAATCGTTCATTCGTTCGTTTAAATCGTTTATTCGTTCGTTTAACCGTTTGCAATATTTTTGAACCGTTCAAACGTTTGAGGAAATATTCGACCGTTTAAACGGTTTGCCCATGTATGCAAGGAGCTGATCGAGGTATTGATATGTACAGTACGAATCAGGCCAAAGTCTTGCTCCCGACGCTCCTTTAGAGGCGGCTTCCTGTTCTATGACCGTACTATCATCATCTCTGCACCTTTCATTCTCAATTGTAATGCCCTACCGCCTAGACAATCACATCTTGACCGTGGACGCGGATGTCATCCACAAGGTCGACGCTGGCAATCCTCGAGAATATCACGAGCCGCCAAATCCCAGAGAATTGAACTTCAATGTCTGTGGTTATATAATTTCACTTGAAGAAGAGTACGACGAACACGAGTTAGATATCCTGGACTGGCCCCCGGAGAAACTCAACGTCTACGCTCTGACTTTCGCTTGCACGATGTTCCGGTCGCCTTGGCTATACATTCCCATCCAATGTTTGTCTTGATGAGGTTTTAAGCTTTCACTACGGTCTCATCTGCGCATGTGGAGGCAATGCCACAAATGGTGCTGCCAGATGCTTGGATTTGACATCAAGGCTCAAGTCATGCGCTGCAGACTAGCTGCAACACAAGCCTGGAGGCGCAGCCATCCAATTCATCATCAAGTGCTACAGGGCTTCGGGGTGCCGGCAAGGCTCGAACCCACTACACTGCAAATCCACGTGGACCACATATAAGTGGTCCATCTCTATTACATCCACTCGTCGGCGCTCAGATTACGTAATAATCCACTACACTTGGACCTGAAAGTGGATGTAGTGGAGTGGATTTAGGTGGATTTAGGTACCGTGGGATATTCCCTGACCCTGTACGGTTCATAGTACTTATTTTGGTATATAATTGCCTATTAAATCGAGGTAGCTGGACCCAAGTTAGCCGAGATCCATCACCCCTACAGCTAATCTTATAGCATTATACGAGACACTACCCCTATTGAGCGCGTTTTCTAAGATTTCCTGCTGTTGTTTTTGCCAATTTCTTTTTTTTTTTTTTTTTTTTTTGACGATGTCAGCCACCCAGCCAGGCCAACAGCAGCACCTCGAAGACCGTCTTTTTCACCATTTCAGAGGCTGGGCTTGGTCAGAACGCGCTCGTGATACTAGCTCTTGGCTGTGGGACTTTGGCTACGATATTCAACGTCATGGCTTACGCAAATGGGCTTGCAAGGACTGTATCCTCGGAAATCGTCCCATTATCGCGAGTTTTACCTCTTCAGGTCTCCAGAACGCGGCAAATCATCTATGGCGTGAACACAAAACACCAGCACCAGAGGGAGAGAAAAAGAGCACAGCACAGCTGAAATCCGAATGCGTACTGAAATCGAACCAGCCGACTATTGCCTCTGTTTTGAAACTGGACGTCAACAAGCCTACGGAACAGAATATCGCGAATAGCTTTATCTCACGCTTTGATAAGCAACACTTTCAGCGTATGCTAGTCGAGTTGATCGTCAGCAGCAACCAGTCCTTTTCCTTCGCCGAGAACCCCATCCTCCGAGAAATCTTCGGCTATTTGAACCCCTCCGTTTCGATCCAACACGCCAACTTGAGTGCCACCGCTGTCCGATATAAGATCATTCAAGAGTACAACCGCCACAAGCAGAAGGTTATCGAGGTGTTGAGGGACTCCCCTGGAGCGCTTCATATCTCATTTGATGGCTGGACGTCTCGAAATAAGCTTGCCCTATACGGCATTGCTTGTTTTTTCAGAGACGAGAAGAATCGGCCATGCAAAATCATGATTGGGGTTCCAGAGGCTCATCGTCACTTTGGCTCAACGATCGGTGGGGAGGTTCTCGACGTCCTACACACTCTTGGCGTGAGTCCAGAGAAGATTGGCTATTTCACGCTCGACAATGCTGAAAACAACGATACTGCAATGGAGGTCATTGGTGCTGAACTAGGGTTCGATGGCCGGCTACGCCGAGGACGCTGTTTTGGCCACACAATTAACTTGTCAGCCAAGGCGCTCTTATTTGGAAAAAACGCCGACGCGTTCGAGCAGCAATTATCAGGCGCAGAAGCGTTATCTGATACTGAATACGCTCGATGGCGCAAAAGAGGACCAGTTGGCAAGTTGCACAATATCGTAGTTGATGTGCGTATTAGCCATCGGCTGATTTACTTATTCAAGGAGGTCCAGAGGGTAAGCGGTTTTACTAAGTCCTATTCGTCTCATACTAATTCGGTATATCTAACAGGACGAAATTAATCGCGCCACCACCCTTAAACTCCGATCGAAGAAACCACTGAAGCTAATTATCGATAACGACACGCGCTGGCTGTCACAACTCTACATGATCCGCAGGGCTCTACGGTTGAAAACCTCTATCGAACTCTTACTGATCAAGTATAAAGCGCAATGGGAGGACGAAAATCGGTCTAAAAAGACTGGCCAAGTGACACAAGCCAAGTTGGCGAAAAAACCACGCATCCTCCGAGACGAGAATCAGCTAACGGACAAAGACTGGGAGGTTCTTTACCATTTGGAGGCTATTCTGACTGTTTTTGAGACCGTGGTGAAGACGCTTGAGGGTGATGGACATATCCGCAGGCGTAAGCAAGGCTGGACTGGCTCCTATGGCAATATCTGGGACGTGGTGCTTGGCTATGAGTTGCTGCTTAACACACTGGAAGAATATAAGCAGCTTGCTGCTGACTTTCCTGATCCAGAGCACTTCCGCATTGGAATCAACCTTGCTTGGGATAAGCTGGATGAATATTATCGGCGGCTGGACGAGACGCCCATCTACTATACGGCTATGGCACTGCATCCAGCTTATCGTTGGGACTGGTTTGATGAAACGTGGGCTCATAAGCCTAGTTGGGTCGAAAAGGCAAAAGAGATGGTTGCCGACGTCTGGCTGTCCGATTACGCTCATCTCGAGGTTAGAACCAGCAGCAGCAGAGGCGACGACGAGCCACCGGCAAAAAGACCTCGGTTTTTCAACCCCTTCGAGAAGAACAGTCGTCTGCCAAGCTCAATACCACCCTACGCAGCAGCTATTGTTGTCGACGAGTACCAAGCGTGGCAGACGGATCGTGAGGCCAGCGACGGCAACGTTCGTGATCCAATCGGTTACTGGATCACTAAGCAAGGCAGATATCCTCGGTTATCCAGGATGGCCTTGGACTTCCTGACGATCCAGCCGATGTCAGCCGAGTGTGAGAGGTTATTTTCAGCTGCTGGCAAGATGGTCTCGGGGTTGCGTACGAACCTGGATGCTGAGATTATCGCCATTTGTCAGGTTTTACGCTCTTGGTACCGTGCTGGCCTTATCAAGGACCTGGATCCATTGCTTAAGTCGCACCTTGAAAGTAAGCTGGATGGCGGTTGTGGGACTCTAAGCGACGACGAGCTGGCGCTTGCTGAGTCAAAATGGCTATTGGAGGGCGAGGACAGCGCCAGCGAGGTTGACGATTCAACACAGCAGCAACAGGCTGAAGAGTCAGTGTCAACCTCTGAAAGTGAGGCTGAATAGGCACCGAGGAGGTTGTGAATAGCCTCAAAGATCCACTATAAATCCACTTATAAATCCACGTGTGTACATCCATTCCACCCCGGTCGAATATGTGCTACATCCACTATGTAATTGCCTAAAAATCGCACATCCACTCTACTTGGTCCCAAAGTGGAGTGGATGTAGTGGTTCCGACCCTTGGGTGCCGGGCTTCGGAGAACGAAATGAAAATGCAGAATCCAACAAGATTACTGTTCAATATTTACATCATGTGTAATGAGAAACGGGCGGCACCTGGTCGATATATCCAACCCAAGACTCCACCATCCTTGAAATGCAGAGGCAGAATAGAAGAGATGCACAATCTGGAGCGATCCGGTAACGGGACTCCTATCAAAGAAAAGGAGGATCATACAGCAGATGATTCGACCTTGTACAAATGTGAACACATCAGAGCCACCACGTGTCGGAACCTGACCTCCATTGCGTTGGCCTACTGGGGAGAGGTGAAAGATCTCCCCGGCTATGATATCGCTCAACACACTACTGTGTTACGAGTCTGTCACCTTATTTCGTGCAAAGGAATATAAGGCTAGTCATGACAAGGCGCTGCCTGAGCCATGTATCAAATGCATCTCGGAGACCTTTATGAGGAAACAGCTCAAGGGCGGATTGAAATGGGCAATTTCGGAAACCGAATCGCTTCTGTCGCTGCCCCTTTCGCCTCAGCTTAAAATCTATGATCGGATGAGTTACTGCGAAGGAAAACTAAATATTCAGCAGTTTCGCTTTAGTGGGAAACCTCTATTTGAATCTCCTGAGCAGATCATTGCCACTTTGCAATTTATGCCCCTTTCTATTTGGAGGAGAAGGTCTATGGTGTTGTGCGTGAAAGTCCTGAGGCACAGGCTATTTACGCTGTTGCTTGCCTGTCGGACTCGAATTATAGCCCCCTAAACGACCTGAAGAAGCATCACCTCCTCAAGACTTTTGATCAACTCATAAGTCGGTTAGACCATTGGAACACTGCGACAGCAAACGAAGAACACTAGTTGGCTGACTGCTTGGTTTGTCTGGAAGTTCACGATCTGCTGCGGAAAGATTTACTCTCCTTTTCTCTCTGTATTTCCAATTCTCTTCTTTTTCTCTTTAGTACAGGCTGATTGAATCAACAATCTTTTGATACGTTGTTCAGAGATGACACCCGAGTGAGCTGCTGCTATCTGATGTAGATTGTGAATGCTCTCCTTGCCGCTTGTCGTCCTCATATGTGCTGTTACGGCGCATTGCAAGCAACCCAGGATAAAGCAATTTCAGCCAGAATTCATCACAGAGCTGTCACTTTACAGCAAGATCATACTCACAGCCGTAGTAATGCCAAAAAAAAAAAAAAAAAAAAACGAGCACAGAGATGGAAAGCCAGAGAGCGGTCATAGTACCTATGTATGCGAGGAGAGGAGGGCGACACGTGTCAGAGGAATGTCGATAATCGGCGACCCTCATTTCCAGGATCGTTCGAAACTCTTGACCAGTGCCACCAGTCGCCTAGAAGCTCCAGGCTCTCTCCACAATTAGAAGATCTTAGGGGAACGGGCCCCTGATACATTATGCAACCCAGCTCGACAGAATAAGTTTCCCTTTCCAACACAGCCATGAGAAACACAGCTCGTAATTGAGTCGTGAATTTTGGTGCCGATATGAACCTGCCCGTTGTATGGACTAGCAAGTGAATTGAGTCGGGCTTGGCCATTGATTGGAACACTGGAGGGTCCTCCATATATTCAACCTGCTTCCTTTCGCAACCGGGTAGTCCTCATTGGCATGAACTTGATCATCCTTATCAATCAATCCAAAGGCTGTGCTTATAAACCTTCTTGCCCTTTTTCTATGACTTTGGGGTACTTCGCAATGTCATTTTGGTATTGCTTCACCCAGTAGGCGCCACAGGACCGCGGGCGTAGCAGGATTCTTGGTGTGAGGTGGTTACAACCTCCTCTATGTTCGGGGTTACCCTGGATTGCATTGACATTGCTGAATTCCAACTTATTTTGGCCAATGACATGTCTTCGCTGCTGAACACGAAGCTCAAAAAGATCGATTCGTGGCGCCCAAGGGTATAGCGAGGCCGTCTAGACAGAACAGCGCCATGGCTTGTGATGTACGAGACAAGATGATGTAGGAAGCGGCGGTCGCTTCTGGACAGTCACGGCGGACTCGAAAGCACTGCTTCCGTACAACATAGGAATAGTAGCATTCAGACCCATTCAAATTTATGTGAGGAGTTCATGATTATTATGTGATTCGAGTGTTGGTCACAGAGCCATAATAAGCGTAACTGTATAGTTACTAATTGCTCGTACCTTTTCAAACTGAACCATGCTGGCAATGTAATCTTTTGGGGTTGAATTCTTTCGGTTTCGTCAACTGCTTTAACTAGGTGTCGTATCCACTCATCTAGGCCTTTCTTTGGCACTCTTGTTGGCCCTTGCTCAGAACTTTGCCCCTATCAAGCGAGGGGCATTTACATATGTTGACTCCCTCGCCAACCTTGTATCTCAAAAGCAAAACACTGTGGTGCATAACCTAACTCCCTGATAACTCTGCGCCGTTGCCCATGTCATGCGTGCCTGTGATGCAGAGTGAGTCTTCATGGAATCCTAAAGACACTTCAGCCAGCCAAATGTATTCTGCATACCAAATAAGTCCTGTTGCCCTCAAAATTAAACCGTAGGTATATCCATCCCATCTCAGTTTCATATCATACATTGCACGTAGCTTGCTCTCACATCACCACGCCCACAGGTGTGCCCTCGCTTAGGCACCGTTTGTTTGAAACGATTGAATAAATTAGTAAAAAAATAGCTCTTTTCATTATTTAACTTATAGGATCTTTATTATAATTTATATAAAAATTAATTTTTAATAATAAACTTAACTTCAAAAGTGTATATCTTACTATAACGTAGTTGATAAGCGAGTTAGCCAGACAAGCGAGTTAGCCACAAATCTCAACCTTCATATTTCAATTGCCAATAAAAACACCACAACCGATCTGATCAATTAAAACTAATTACTATCCTTATCCTTAGTGACTTCAATTGCCTCTTGGCAAGTCCTTGCATTATGCCCGGCCTTGCCGCAAGTCCTACAATGCCGAACCTTCGGTCCCTCCGACCTTCCCCGACCACCACTTCTCGACGATTCAGCTACTATCTGTGTATCTACATCTATCTGATCAATTTGACTCTGACCAGTCCCTATAGTCATCCTGCCGCTATCTTGTAGCCGGGTTCTTTTTGCTCTTTTCTTCCGGCTTTGTGTTGCATTTGCCTCTCGAAGGTCTTCGACTTCAGCCTCTAGTAGGGCAGTCTTATGCATATTTCTCATCACTGACTTAGTAAGAGACTGAAGAGCTTCAAGGATCGACTCTGGAGAGCTACTATGATGTCTTCTGATCCGTCTCTGAAGGTATTCTGAATGAGAATCGGCCTCGGTGACAGTCCTTGGTGTCTTTGGGGTCCAAGGTTGAGCCCGGCTTGTATCCTCTTTGGGAGGCGTTGGGGTCTGTAGCCGTATATTAAGCTTCGAGATGACATTTTCTGGGTCAAAGGGAGCAAGCCCGGCCCCTCTAAAACCTCCTCGTATATTACTTTCGGTAATAGCAGCTTGGTGGGCAGCATAAAAGGCAGGAAAGAACTGGGTCTTGGTGATGTGGGTTATAGAGCGTCTTATAAGATGCTCAATTTCTCGACCATAGGCCCTTTTCAGCGGCCCAAAGCACCCAATATCAAGAGGTTGGAGTAGATGAGAGGAATGAGGAGGCATATAAAGCGGGATAATGTTCTTTTCCTTGCAATATGCTTCAAAGTCGGTCGAGTGATGACTTTCGTGACCATCGAGGATCAGAAGGCGATAGGAACCAACTGATCGGTTGATTGTATGCTTATCGAAGTGCTTTAGCCAGTCGAGACCCGTCTCATTATTTGTCCATCCATTTGGAGTCGTGGCAATAGCCCAATCGGCCGGGAGGCTGCTTCCTTCATACCAGTTACGAAGGTGATGCTTGCCTGTAACTATGATGAACGGCGGGATTGATTGACCTTCTGCATTGGCTGCCTCGATCACAGTAACCCATTCTCGACTTCCAGGCTGGACTAATTTTGGCCTTCCACGCCTCTCTGCACTTGTAACTACTTTGCCGGCTGAAATCATGCCCATCATAAAGCCGGTCTCATCAAAGTTCCAGATATCATCTAATCGGATACCATATTTCGCAATTGTATTCTCTACAAGCCTGAACCAATTGCGAATAATAGTCGGATCTTCACATAAGGCTCTCTGATAGTCATATCTCCGCTGATAACGCGATTTAAGCTCTGGTTGCCGCTGAATAAAATTGATAGCCCAGCGCTTGCCAACTGGTGGTGCACCGCGGGCAGCAAGCAGTCGATTTGCCATATCTTCAACAACAGAGATGCGACAAGGGAGTCCTCGCGAATCTAGATCAAGAGCATATTGAAGTACAGTCTCTTCTTCTAGCTTTGATAGCTTCCGTGAGTTTGCCATAGTATCGCGTCGTGATTGTCTACCGTTCTTCCGATTCCTTAGGGTATTACGATCAACTTCATATATCTGAGCAGCGCGTCGGAAACTTAATTTAGGGTCGTTTTGGAGGGCTTGAAGAGCAAGAATAACTCGAGCTTCTTTTGAAGGCTGCGACATATTTGATGGTTGAGATTTAATTGATCTGATAGTGTTGATGTAAGGTGAGGGATTTTTGGCTAACTCGCTTGTCTGGCTAACTCGCTTATCAACTACGTTATATAAGCAGTATAAGAATAAAATAAATACTATTACATAGCCTCTTTTTTAAGCTATATAAAGATATATTTTTTACATTTTTTATATAGCTAGTTAGTAGAAATAATTAGGCTTTTAGTAAAATGCTAAGTGTGCAGATAAGGCTTTAATCCCTGACCTAGCTTAGGCACACAACCGGTTGTGCGGGTATGAGATCCCTTAATAGACTGGTCTCTTTGTCAGCACACAGTTTAGTAGCTTGGCCGTATTACCGTCTAATGATCAAAGTCTAACCTTTGTGTCTTGCGCCGTTTGATCCTCCGACCGTCTTACTATCTAGCTTTCTTGACCGTTTTATAGTCAAACCATACGACCGCCGTTCAACTGACTGACCGTTTAGCCATCCTTGTCCTCTCCATTAGTGGTGTTCCTCAATATCAAGGCACGGCGATCAAATAGACAAATCAATCTACAAGTCTTCTTCGCCGGCACAAGTAATCCAAATGCACTCAGCTTGTTTCTGTTGATGTAGGCGCGCCGCGTCTAGCATCAGCAGGTACGCTATGCAAGTCGTTTGACGACCGCATTGCAGTTTGTATCCTCCTCTTCCTCTTCATTGGCCTGCATGGTCAGCGTTCGCGTGGTTCGACCCCACATAGCAAAGATCAAAGCTGTCAAATGGTAGAATGGTCTCTGACCATTCTAAATGTACCGCGAAAGGAGTTGAACTGTTGCCTTCACTGACCTGCAGCTTCCTGAGATTTCGTTACATGGATGGGATTTGTTACGTGGGGGAGGGGGGCGCCAACCAACGGCTCAATGCGAAGCCTCACATGCTGACAAACGACTTTCGAACTCGGTACCCTCAACAATGCAGTGGGCCCGATCTTACTAGACCAATCCACATAACAAAAAAACCTGATACCAACATCCGCTCTCTAAAATCGCTTTTCAGCACAACATTAATTTCATTCATCAAGGATGGATCATCAGAAACACACCTGTTAGCGAGCTCCTACGACAAGCTCAGCGGAAGGCGGAGGAGGCGGAACAACGCGCCGAAACGTCAGAGGCACAAACGCTACCGATGACGCTTGACGGATACATTGCAGCTTATCACACCTTCCTATTCTCCCGCCTTTCATCGAAACGGATCCAAAGCTAGCTTTGAGGGGCTCCATCATAAGATTCGCGTGATATGTGGTGTCCGACTTCCTTGACCAACAGAAGCTCACCTTCGGCATAGTCTACGAATCGTTTCCCACCGAACGCCCTGTTTTCGGAAACCGTAACTTCCTGGCCGTCCGGGGAACCTGGTCGCTCAACGACCGAATGCGACGAGAAGACGCTCGAATTTTTCCTGCATGATAGTGTGGGGGATCCTGTGAAAGCCATCATAGAAGAACTCAAACAGGAGAAAGAGGTCAGGAGGCGGTTCCAGATTGGAGATGGTGTCATCTTCGAGAACCACCCGCATGCCCTCAGTGACGTTGCGGAGGAAGCCATCGAAGGGGAGGCACAATCAACAGCACAGCGGACGCCGGGCCATCGAAGAGATTTCAAACATCTGCGACCGGATTAGATCTGCGTCTATCGATCCGACAATACTGCGTCTTCCCGGCGCACCATGCTCTACATTTCCGAGTATAAGCCGCCACACAAGCTGAGCTCTGAGTATCTGCGTGCCGGTCTGCGCATCACGGACATGCACGGGGAAGTGGTGAACCGCAGGACGATTCCGACTTCGATAGACCCTGGTGTACGCTTTCCATTACTGTGCAGAAAAGCTGAGCCGCGACGCAGACTTATCATTACATGATCGAAAGTGTCCTTGAATATGGTCTGCTGATTACTGGCGAAGCCATTGTATTCCTCAACGTGAATTGGAATGACCCTGAGACCCTTTATTATCATCTCGCAGAGCCAGGTCCGGAGGTGACAGCCCATCCAAACAACCTACAAATGTGCACGGCTGTCGGTCAATATCTAGCGTCCACCCTCATGGCTCTCCGTTCGCCTGGCGAACGGCAGGAGATTTGGCAGGAGGAGCGCATGAAAGCTAGGGAGAATTCGAAGGGATTCAATGAGTCCGGTATAGGCATTGAGGCTTGCGTCGGATGGCCGGCGGGTGGCCGACCTCAACATGCGCTATTTTCACCAACGCTACGACGGGGTGTCTGTCTTTGGTCGTGAATGTTACTAGAAACACCCTTGGAGACGATTGAGTTTTGGAAGCATGGTCTACTTCCGCTTTATTGAAGTTAGCTTTGTGGACAAAGCTCTGTGAAAAGTTGTTGGAGCTCATTGAAATAGGGAAGGTAGAAAATGTGGTGTCATCGATGCTGTCCAAGAAACTTACCTTTACTCGCCTGGCCGACCACCATAAGACCCTTAAACATCTGTGACATCTATGTTTGACTAGCTTTTGAAAAGAGCTGTTTTGATCAGTCGCTTATATACTCATTGAAACTTTCGATGTGGCATGCAACATAACACTAAACCCGTTTCCATCCCGCACTCATGGTTAGGCAGAAACTCTTCCGGTCCGCTTATCTTTTCTTCTCCAGATTCTATGACAAATCGTTTTTGTGGGTGGCTCAGGATGCGTGCTACGTTACAAGCTGCATGTTTTACCCTGGCAGGCGCTGTTACCTGAAAGGAATGACAGAGCCGCAGAGACCTCTTTCTACAAGGTGCAAGAATAACCTAGCCGCCTAGGTTTCAGCCATCCTATTTGGTGGGTAGGAACTCAACTGAAGGCCGCTGAGCGTATTTAAAGTACAAAGGGAATACGTTGTAGTTGGCCAACATTTCAACGTTGCAGCCAGCATAAAACTAGGACACGTAACCGCGGCCGCTGCTTCATCTGGGACATCAGGCTACGCTCTCAGGGCTTGCTCCTTTCTGTACACCCTAAACTTGCTGTGGATTCACCGGAAGCCTCACCAGCGACTTGCAATATCCAAGCCAAACATGGCAACCCGTCCTTACTTGCCATGTGGATACGGTTGGATGCACGTTTGTCACAAGCCTCAATTTCGACCCTAGTGAGGTCTGCGTTGACTGTTAGATATCTTCACAGTATGATGAGAAAATGGAGCGATCCATTTGATACAACTCTATGGTAGTCTGGAAATATTGCCACAAGATCACTCATATATTGTCTGGTACATCGAGTCCTTTCGATACCCGACGCTCCTTCCCTCCTCATACCAGCGGGTGTGCTATTACAGGCACTCCAACCACTTTCATTGCAACAAATATCCAAATCAGCCTCGATCAATAGCCAGCAACGTAAAGCAGCCACCGGTCCATAAACCATATGCATGAAGCGTAAGTACATCCCACAGGATCACTTACGAGGTTACCTTCGGTACACAATGGCTATCAAGTTAGGCACAGTATCTCCTCTTCTGCTTGGAGGACCTTTGCAACAAGGTGTTCCCACCAAGGGTACCTCTTACCGATATCTTTGGAGAGAGCAGTTGGATCTCGTGGGATTTGTACTTCTTCGTCAATCCACCCCCAGGTGCGCAAAAGTGCGTCGTACAAGGGGAGGACGCTCTGAGGTGACAGGCAATTAGCCAGCCTGCGTCTTGCCATAGATTACTGAAAAATGGGAGGTTTGCGTTTCTCTTCTTTGCACTTACACTGCGGACTGGCGTTTGAACCACTTGTTCGAACCAATCCATTGAAACATTCTTGTGTACAGTTTCAGTAGCGAGCAATCCCAGAAAAAACACTGGTAATAGGGGTGCTTGAGCTGTAAAGTGAGACCCCGATGTAGGCATGATTCGTATGCAACGGGCAAGATCATCAAGATTGGCAAGAACTCCCGGGTGGTTTCGAGGCAGCCTAATGGAAGGTTCAGTCAGCGAGCGCTCTTGCCGTTATGATTGTCAACGCATTAAGGTAGGCAGGGTGGCAGGGAAGGCAGGCAGTGCTTCAGTGTTGAACCGGTAGAGGGGGAAGGAGTGAGTTGAGCTGTTGCAAAATCAACGCCCATTATCCCAATGGATCTCCAACTTCCTTCTGTTTGTCCACTTCTCTCCCTCCGACGACTTTTTTTTCCCTCTTCATCGCATATTCGTACCTCAGAAGACGACATTGATAATAAATAATTGCGGCGATCCTCCATGCCTCAGCTGTAACCTCGGTCATGATTTGGTTCGAATCGATTATGATTTCGTCTGCTTTGTCGCGCACCCAGTCTATCGTTGGTGGGTACTTTCGAGCCAACTCCCAGTCTTTGTCCTCACGGCTCCATTGGCGCATTTCTGATAGTTCACGCAAAAGAAATTTGGCCGTGATTGGAACGATGGTGGATTCGGGCTCTTGCTGCAATCGACCTGCACAATACGTTACTTGGCTCATGAGGTGCAACAGTTTCTTCGAAAAGCCACATCCTCCATGGATTTCAAACATATCCTTCTCTGTTCCGTAGAGTAGCCAGCTGAACCTGCCTGCTTCAGCCTCGGGGTTAAAAGTCTGCGGTGATGGAAGGGCCATCATAGGTTGAGCGAGAATCACTGCCCGGCCAACGATGATTGATTGAGAGATGCGGAGTTCGTTGTACTGGACGTTGTTGTTTTTCCAGTAGCGAGCGCCAGGGTCAGTTGCCTGCAGAAAGTATTCGCCTTGCCTGAATCCTTCCAGCCATCGCGGATTGTATGGCTTCTTGAGTCGTCGTTCCGTGAGGACAATCTAAATATCAGTCAGTGTTACGACGTAACACGGCATGACAATAGCAAGAAAGGTAACACAATCATACGTACGTCTAGCATCGAAAGAAGCACAGTCATGGTGATAGCTTCCTGACCTTTCCCGACTTCCCTGCTCTCAGGTGCGTTGAGGTGCGCAATATAATTTTGATCGGCCTCGACATATAGCTGATTGATTCGCTGCCGAATACGTTCGTCTGGCACATAATCATAGATGTAGGTTCCCGCCAAGCATTTGATGGCCTGCAGGATGCCTTCGTTCCCGTGCATCGGGGCCAGGTCCTTCAACCACAAGTTTGTGTCCCTCAGCACACTCCTTCCTGGGCACCAGTTCTTAATATCTGTGAAAGGATAATCAGCAAACGCCTCATGAAACCCCAGGGCGCCGGCAAAAAGAACATACAGAAGTCAAATAACCGTCTGTCAATCTTATCCATTTTGGCTTGGAATCCGAATTGAGATGGTAGCATTCTCGGTTCACTCGTCGTCCGGGTCAGTGAAGCGACTTGAGAGGAAACTGGCAGGCCTGTCATCGATATTGGCGATGAAGCACTTGCTCGACACCCTTCAATACTACTCAGGGACACAGTCCCCACTGGCGCTGGAGGTATCACAGGCCAAGTCACAGCCAGTGTTGATACGCTGGGCCTGCGATCCGGATGGTGTGATCGCGTTATGTTTGCCGTTATGTCTTCCACATCATCCTCCGATGGCAGTGGTACGGGTTCAGACGGTCGTCTCGATGGACCTTGCGAAGGCCAGTTGAATTTGACATACCCGTTCACTTGTCCATTCTCTGGGCGATCATAGCGAGGGGAAGCAGACACAATCAATCGATCTTCATCCACAGTGAAAGGACTAACAACGAGTCCCTCTACTGCTTCCCCGCCTCTCTTCTTGGAGTCTTGCGACTCGACAGCCCGCCCTGGGAGAGCATCTGGGGCCGCGGGTAAGAGACGAGGCGGTTGAGGAGGAGGAGGAGGAAGAGGTTGAGGTTGAGGTTGAGGTTGAGGTCGAGGTCGAGAGGCTATGGCCTTTGGAAGTTGGGGGTCTACACGGAACGTCAGCTCAAGAATCGGAGACCACGATGGATGAGACGATGAGTGTCAATCAAGAGGGGGAAGAAGATGAGTTCTGTGTATTCTGAACCCACATGTCCTCCGAAAGAAACGTTTTGGCCCCTTGAGTCCCCAATATGGACACAATAGGCATGGAAAGAGTGAATGTGGAAACGAGAAAAGGACAAGAAAACATGAGAGGGAGGTGATCTTCACAGCCTTACCTGGAGATTGAGGGACCCAGGAGCGGGTGCCGCAGCTGTTGACAGTATCTGCCTGAAGCAAACACAATAGGGCATCCGTATTTTCGCCCTCACTATTAGGGGTTATCGGATAGCATACCACGTCTGCGTCGCAGTTTGGGTCTTTTCTTGGTTCGCATTTGATGCGCTTTGCGGTCCCTGGCTGCTCGGTTCCTCTGTTTCTTTTAAGCATGGTAAGAAGTAATGGCAAGTGTGGACCTCGGCAGAGACAACAGGTTAGGCTGATTTAGCCCTCGGAAAGAGAATCGGGTATGTTTTTCGCTCGTCCAATGACTCTGCACCAGATGTGTTGGTGGCAATTGGTTCGCTAGGGGAATGAAAAGTCAAATTTTGTGAAAGTGCACGTTACAACAAGGCAAGAAATGAGGAGACAAGAAACAATTTCAAGGCGTCAAGGCAGCCGCAGGACCAGCAAGGGATCAATGTTGATTTTAAGGTGGGAAATGCATTAGCGACCCGAGATCCCTAGCAAAAGCAAATCCGATGACTAGCCGCGTATGCATCTAGCTGTGGGGACGGCCTGTAAGATCCCTTGCGATTTTGACAGGGTTGGCCAGATGCATCCATGACCCTGTCTGCCCGTATGCACCTTGACCCCATCGAGGCAAGACATTCTCACATTAGCACAGCTACGTACCGTTAGGGCGAGTAATTTAAAGAGACAGGGCTGCTGGGGTCTACGATTTAGTGCCATCGCCCCAAACGCACTGGCAACAAATCCCTGAGACACACGTCAATCAGCGCACTATCACCCCACATGCCAAGTCCCCATTGAACAAGCATTATCATGTGGCCCTAGCTCCCGCGAACCATCCGTGCGTGCACTGTCAGGGCACTGTGCCTGGTACCTTTGTTTTGCGCTAGTGTCACCACCACTTGCAGCGTCAGCTTGTCGCTTTCCCCGCAGTCCGCGCGCTAACACCCAGAGCTAAGCCGTCACCATACGCAAAGCGTTGGTGGACCTCAGACCTCACGCAACTTCGGCAGATATACACACACTGGAGGAACCGTGCCAGAGCATCGAGACGCGCGGGACGAGCATGCGAGGAGCTTGAGGACACGGCGAGAGGAGCAGCAAAGCAGTACCATGATGCCATCAGGCAGCAGAAAAAGACGCATTGGAACGAGTTTTTAGCCGATAACGCCAACATATGGAAGGCAGCAAAGTATCTCATGTCTGGAGATGATACAGCATTTGGAAAAGTACCCCAACTCACGAGGGTCGACGGCACACGCACGAACAACAACATCGAACAAGCCGAGGAAATGTTAGCAACCTTCTTTCCTCCATTACCGCAGCATATCGAAGAAGAAGGAGATCGACCCCAGCGCGGATCTGCTGTCGTCATGCCAAATATCACTATGGAGGAGGTAGAGCGACAGCTTGTCGCGGCGAAATCATGGAAAGCACCCGGCGAAGATGGGCTACCCGTCGCAGTCTGGAAACAGATCTGGCCTTCTGTCAAGCACCGAGTCTTCTCGCTTTTTCGTGCTTCGCTGGAAGATGGAGTGCTGCCGGATCAATGGAGACATGCCAAGATCATTCCTCTGAAGAAACCAAACAAGGAAAACTATTCGATCGCGAAGGCATGGAGGCCCATCTCGCTTCTATCTACCCTGGGCAAAATACTAGAGGCGGTCGTCGCAGAAAGGATCTCGCATGCTGTTGAAACACACGGATTACTGCCAACAAATCACTTTGGAGCTCGTAAACAACGTTCCGCTGAGCAGGCATTAATGCTACTGCAAGAGCAGATCTACGCCGCCTGGCGAGGTCGATGGATCCTTAGTCTGGTGAGCTTTGACGTCAAAGGAGCTTACAACGGGGTGTGCAAAGAGAGACTCATCCAAAGACTGAGAGCAAGGGGCATACCAGAGAATCTACTTCGCTGGATCGAAGCTTTTTGCTCGGATCGCACAGCGACTATTCAGGTCAACGGACAGACATCCGAGAAGCGAGAGTTACCACAAGCCGGGTTGCCGCAGGGCTCCCCTCTGTCCCCGATCCTGTTCCTCTTCTTCAACGCGGACCTTGTCCAGCAACGCATCGATTGTTATGGGGGAGCGATAGCGTTTGTGGATGACTTCACTGCCTGGGTGACAGGTCCAACCGCAGAAAGTAACCGCGATGGGATCAGAAAGATCATCAGGAAAGCTCTAGACTGGGAGAGGAGAAGTGGCGCGACGTTCGAGACAGAAAAGACGGCGATCATACACTTCACGCGGAAAGAATACAAGTCCGACGCAGAGCCCTTCGCGATCAGGGGACAGCTCGTTCGGCCCAAGACTCAGGTCAAGGTTCTGGGAATGATCATGGATGCCGGCCTCAAATATAAAGAGCACATTGCACGGGCAGCGGCTAAGGGATTGAACGCTGCGATGGAGCTGCAAAGGGTCAGGGGTCTTACTCCGAGGACAGCGAGGCAGTTATTCGCAGCCACGGTGGCCCCGGTCGTGGACTACGCCTCAAACGTATGGATGCACGCATGCAGGTATAGAAGAGCCAGCACTATCAACCGGGTTCAGAGAATTGGGGCAAATGCAATCGTGGGGACGTTCCTCACAGCGGCAACAAGCGTAGCAGAAGCAGAGGCGCATATCGCCAGCGCACATGAACGGTTCTGGAGACGGGCCATCAAGATGTGGACTGATCTACACACCCTTCCGACAACCAACCCTCTCCGAAGCTCTACATCTCGCATTCGAAAGTTCAGAAGATACAATCGCTCGCCATTCTACGAGGTAGCAGCAATGGCTTACGCGTTGAGACACTTACCCGACCTTGAGTATCGAAGCGTGGCACTGTTGGCGAGCAATAAAGCCGCCGTGCTCACAGTCCGAAACCCTCGCCAGCAGTCCGGCCAAGAGTATGTTAAATGCATATATGATTCCATCAATGTATTGAGGGTCAAAGGAAACGTGGTGGCTGTCATATGGACGCCCACCAGTGCTGAACACAGGCTCCTGAAAATGGCTAAGAAAGAGGCGCGAAGTGCGAGCCAAGACGGTGCCGTCCCGGCTCGGAAGTTTCCCCGAATGCGATCGACGACCCTGAATATAGCCCGATCGAGCCAGCGTGCAAGCAAACGGCTACCAGACAATGTTGGGAAGTTTTCGAAGAAGGTTGATGCTGCGCTCCCGGGTAAGCACACTCGATTGCTCTACGATGGCTTGTCACGGAGAGAAGCCAGCGTGCTAGCACAACTTAAGACAGGCATGGTCAGATTAAATGGATACCTCTTCCGGATCAGCATAGCAGCGTCACAGCAATGCGCATGCGGACAAGCGATAGAGACAGTAGAGCACTTTCTCTTTCGATGCAGGAAATGGACAGCGCACAGGACTGATATGCTGCAGTGCACCGAGATATTGAGAGGGAACCTCTCGTTCTACCTAGGAGGAAAGTCACCATCAGATGACGCCAAGTGGACGCCAAACATGCAGGCAGTCCACGCAACTATACGATTTGCAATAGCCACAGGACGACTCGACACACAATATTGAAGCCAGATTGCAAGAATATCACCTACTTACTCTTACTAACCCACTCACACCCGTATACTAAACACCCTGTACCACAGAGGCGGACGCCGCTTCAGCCGCAGTAGATAGGACGCTGGACACTTGAAGAACAGCCTTCAAGCTAGTTCGCCGGTAATACTACTAAAACATGGGAGAAGCAAGGCACGGCAGAAGAGAAAGGAAAAGAACAATCAAGGAGCAGGCGCTATATGGGCTTGAGGACACGAATTTCAGATTGATGGTGTAAAACCAAGGTTCAGTATGGGCTTTAGGAAAATGCGGATACAAATTGAGCAATGTGTGGCACAGCATGGGCTTGGGGAAACGAGGACGAAAAGCAGGCGTTGTATGTAAGCATTAGCGACTAGTGCCCTTTCGGTCAGAACAGGCCGCCGGGCGTAATAAATTGTATTGTATTGTATTGTCGCTTTCCCCCGCAAGGCTTGGAGAAAAAAGAAATTCAGTCATATCACAATTCCTGCCACACCTGGTCTTTTGAGTTCTTGTGTTATTCTTTGGGATGTCAGGAGCAAATTTTATATGAGAATAAAAGTAATCATAGAATGGTAAATTGGATCAAGTTGCAAGTGGGTGCTAATGTATTATCCGAGGTCGCACTCAAGTTTATCATTCCCATCTCTTATACGTGCCGCCCACGTGTCGAAAATCATCGTAAAGCTTGGGAGCTATACGTTTTGATCTGATCTGACGACAGCGGAGTCCAAGCTGATACTGGAACCAAACCACAGTCAAACTGAGTTCCAGCTGGCCCCGCATCCTTCGAATTAGGGTCAGGGTCAGGGGCAGGGGCAGGGGCAGAGCGTGATGCTTTCAGTCTGTCACGGGTTTTAGAGGGAAGAAGATCCTCATAGGCGCAATCTTGTACTTCGTCGTATTGTGTGATTGGGCAACGATTGGGAGAAGTTTCGCATGTCTTGATTGCGTCTTTTACAACGCCACTGTTGTTTCCCTCTTCCAGGTTCCTGGCGTCTGTGCCGTAATGAGGCGCCATGTTGCGCCGCGTTATTGCATAATTCAATGCGCTTGGTTCCCTCCCTCCTGAATTGCATGGACAAAACTTATTCGGACAAGGGCAGCTTTCAGGGCTCACTAGCATTTGGTTCCTAATGCTTCGAAATCAAGCTTTTCCAATGTCTGCCCAAGTGTAGACCTTTCCAAAGAATACTTCGGGAGTCCCGTGTCTCCATTTGATCTATGCAAGTGGCGTTCCAATGATTTCATCAAGGGTTGAAACTCTTCCACCATGTCCAAAGCCAGGGGTTGAACCCCTGATGTTGCCTCAATCGCCTTATCGATGTTTCGAAAGAAGTTTTCCCATGTCCCTGGCGCCCTAATAATAGTCATGGCCGTCGAGAAGCTGGATGCCATCTTGTTGCATGTTTCTTCCATCGAGAGGACCTTTTCAAGAAGTCGTACCCATAAAACATTGTCCCCTTCGGCTGTCACGACCGGATGAAGGGCAAAGACCCCAAGAAAAAGCAAGGTCTTCCAATAGTTACGTACATTTGCGCTGACCTTCAGGCACGCAGTGTACTGAACTTGTATATCATGATCAGGTTCTCTTGCGTCCCTGCTCACTAGTTTAGATTTCAGAACTAATCAGAGACGGGATAGAAGCTTACACTAAGTTATCTCGTTCTCTCTTGATTTCCTGTGTCGTCCTGGCGAGAGGAACGAAAACACAATAAGACATTAAGCCCATGAGACAAAGGATAGCTGTCACAATAGGGGGTACGAGCCACCAAGGGAGAAGGATATTTAAGGTTTGGCCAATTACCACTGCTGTAGGCAAGCCCTTTAAAACAGGGCCCTTGAAGACGGTGTTTAGGGAGGGTGTCTTCCGAACGGCTGACCATGTTGCTTGCTCTCCCTCCATCAAACATAAGTACGACAGGTTTTCAAGTGCTGGTTCTAGATCACGCCACAACTTGTCTTGGAAATAATCGCAAGCAAAGGGGAAAGCTGATCGGAAGATGCAATATACTTGCTGGAAAAAAGAGGGAGGAGACGATCCTGGGCCGGAGCTTAGTTTCAAATCCAGAAAGTCAAAAATGCAAGAGGACATCAATGGTAATATCCCCAGCATGATACAAGCTATGAATTTGGCAAAGAATGGTAAAGAACAATAAAAACCAACCCGAGGGCGGACGCGACCGGTCAAAAGTGGTGTTATTTCACTCATTGCAATCAAAGAGAAGTGCTGAAGGGATATGATAGAAAGGAAAACAGCGGAGTACTCTCCATATATGTAGATAACCTCTTTCTCAAGCGGTTTGTGCGGGGTGAAGCCTCTGTTTGAGATGCACAGTAGACCTAACTTTTCACTTTGCGCCAGGTAGATTGAAGATGTTCTTAGGCCGCATGCATGTAAAACATATCCAGTCAAAGAACGCTCCGCCAAATCTCGCGTTGTGAAGGGCCCGTTACTCCGGCGGTGAGTCTTTGCTACTGAAAACACAAGTGATGTACAAAGAATTCGAATTAGAAGTCAAGAAATTAAACCTATTCGCCCCTTCAAGGTTACTCTTCCTCCTCCTCCCATAAGCTGGTTCATTTTAACGAAGGCTCAAAATTTCAAACGCCAGGCCAGCATGGCGGACATAGTTGGCAAGGCTGAGACAGTGATATTGAACATCGATCTCAGCAGGAATACATTACGAGCCAACGTCTGACTTTATATGAGATATCATAATTCAATCCCAGCGCAAAACAAAGTGGGAGATATGAGCAAGGGTAGAACTTGGTACGGCTTGCTCTGTGTTGCTTCCGCGGGTGGAGTAATTTCCCATGAAATAGACCGACAGCAAATTAGATCTCGTCCCGTCATGAATGTTCTCATTCCAGATCGAGTGAGCAATGACGCTGTAATTTTAGGAATTTTTATGCACCAAGCTCGAAAGACGCTTTGACCAGAGCGCATCACAGAAAAGCCAATGATTAACAGGGTACCCCACTGTTTTGTATTCCTGGAATACAAAATAGTGGGGTACCTGTGCTCATGGTTGCCCACATTCGTCAAATGGACCCAGCGCCGGTTTGTTCGCCTCCCATTTCTTGCTCACCTTTACACTGCGCAACGATGAGCACTAATGAGCTCGAAATCTTGGGACATATCCTCATCGCTGCTGCGAAAACCGAAAACTCACACTATCCATTCATCATTGACGTTGATTTGTTGCAGGGCGACGCTACCTTCACTCGATCATGGAATGGGATCGTGAAAGACTGCAAGCGAATCGCGCACAATATCCCCCAACCCATCAGAGATATCGTTGGGAAACATATTCAAACCAGACGAGACAGCAATCCAGCCTCTCGACTTCCAGAATCGTTCTGTCAGCCCGACAGCCCCATTGCCCAGATATCGCAAACGCCAAGAGAGGTTTCGCAATCCATAAGTGAAGGTATACCCTCAACTATTCGAGCTAGTTCTATTACTGAGGCAGAAAGGGGTTCAGAGGAGTGTGTCTCGAGTTCTTTGAGCCAGAAGCAACTGTTGGCTCGGAACCCAACTCCCGTGAAGAGTACTTCAAAGCGAAAACAGCCTCTGCCGCCCATTCTTCTCAAGGATCTAAAATCTTGGGTTGAATCACCAAAACAGTTTTTAAATCTTGAGGGAATAAAGGTTGATGATTGTGGTATCATCCCTTACATCCGAGCAGTTGAAAATTCTCAGTATTTGAATACCATTAGAAAGCGGTTCGTCCTGCGACAGCTGGCTGAATCAAAACGACTCTGGGCACCTCGAACAACGAAGACCTTCTTTGAAAAACTCGCTACGCCACGTTCGACTCTCAACAATTGGATATACGAGGGTGGTAACTACGCCTCACTCGTTGCAAATAAAGGCCCCGAGGTCCTGTTCTCAGAACTCAAGCCAAGAACCCAGTGAGTTTACTAATCTTCCGTTCCAAGATAAACACTAACAAAGTTCAAGTTGTAGGAAATCTAAGAAGAAAGCCCCGCCACAAGGGAAAAAACGATCCATCGACGACCTCATCACGGGCGGTAACATTGAAACAGATGTCAGAAATCATCATGCCAAAGAAGCAAACAACCCAAGTTTAACATTTACACATGAAGAACTTCAGCTTCCTAAGGTATACTTGGCTGACGAGACTGGTGAGGCTGTCGAGGCTGTCGAGGTTGACGAAAATGGCGTTCCAATCCAGGAGTTATTCAAAGCCGCCGCAAAAGGTATCGTGACATTCTTGGAAGATTTGCATCGGCAAGCAGGACTTCTTGATGACGATGAGTCACAAGATTCACGGAGCGCCACATACTCGTGCCAGTCTGGGTACTGTTCATGCCGGGCTACGAACGACGACACCATGGTCGATGCCGGTCGATCCTTGCGACAGAGTCCCACAGAAAGGGCCACCGATGATGGGATCAGTAGTTGTGGATTTGGATGCACATCGACTAATTCCACTGCTTCTCTACCTGGCGAACAAGTTGCAATACGAGGCTTGCAGGAGCATACAAGCTGGAACGCAACGGGACTCCCTTCGCCGTCGCTTGTGGAACCAGGACAAGAGGGTACTTCATCAGGTATTGGAGATGCATATGATCAGCAACCCGGCAACATGCCAAATACACGCTTCTCACCCACAAATCTGACCCCAAGCCAGTTTCAGCCTCCAAGCAGTCAGCCGGCTTCTGGGCCTCGTGTAGACACCTCAAACTTGCTCAGCCATGGAACTGTCACTGCATCGGCTTTGACGTCTATTTCCTCCACATTGCCATGTTATGTCTCGCCATCTCAACCCTCGAATGGCTATTTGAATTCGCAGGATGAACCAAGAGGGACAGAAACTAGTGGAGACTTACAGCATGATGTTCATGAATACAATGCTGAAGAGGCTTTCTTTGACGAACAATTTGGAAATTTGGGAGATACAGATATTATTTTCAACTTAGGATCGCCATGTTTAGGATTTAACTGAATATCTCAAATAGCGGGCTCGTTTCCTTCTTCCTCTTTCCATCCTCCCTCTCCTGCCACCCCAGAAGATGTGATATGCGTAGTCGAAACCAAGCAAATACTCTGAGCCTTTGAGTTACTCCCGCCATCCACAAGAAGCCTTTCCCCTGCTTCCAGAATGATAACATCGCCAATGTCCAAGCCCGTAAGCGTAAGACGTAGGGAGCTATCGGAATCTGAAGTTATTGTTATGCTAGCAGGCGGAAGAGGACCTGCATTCGTACTCGAAGCTTCAGCTTGGGAGACCAGTGAGGTCTTGGCTGCAGGACCTCTGTAACCATGTTCTTCTTCATCTGCAAACTGATGTTCAGAAGGCTTTGGGATTACGATGGAAAGCAATACTCGATCTTTCCGAACATAAAGTGTCCCGTTGACCTTCAACAAGATGATTTCCGGCCCTCGAAAGACGTCTTTAGTGATCTGCAACCCTTCTTCCCTCGCCCAGTTATATATTTTCTCTTGCTTGGTGCTTTGTTAGACATGATGGCTCGAAGGGAAGACTCAGACGCACATATGAATTGTAGAAGAATTTAACAAACTTTTGAGCCGTCGCTGGGTGTAAATTTCTCGGAAGTAGTAAACCCGCACGCGCTTTTGGCTCTTCGATCATGTCCTCGGAGCTATATTTTATCTGTGTTGCATGCTCTCGTAGCTTCTTGTGACATTCATCTTTGCAGTCGAATAAGTGCATGGTGTAAAGCAGTGGTGATGTCGCTCTTCTTGATGGATCATAATGAAAATGAAAGTTACTGAGACTCGGTACCAAGCCCCTACTTATATATAAGCATTCTGGGGTTTATTTTCTATCGTTCCTGAAAGTGCGATGCCCGAATACTGCTGTCTTTAGGTCAGGCTCGCAAAATGAGTTATTTCGGGGTTCGAGATCTTCCCAGTGGTGGGGTTGAAACTTTTTCAACAGATTGACGTCACTAGTCACGTGCGATAGCAGCTGATTATGAACAGATCCCGCGTCGATTCAGCCTGAACCTGGGGAGTGGAAACATCAACACCAGCGAGAACGAAATTTTTGAAAACAACAGCTATTTACAGCGCCGCAACACCGTTCCAACAGGTTAATTGGATAGCCCAGTGTCGACCGCATTGCCCAGTGCGACTCAGACATCATGGCGACCCCGTGGCCCCAGGACGAAATTTGGCCCACTGATTACCGAGAGCACGCCACAAATTTGAGCAAATATCTTCAAAAGGCACTGTCAGCCATCGACAACGGAGATGGTCTGCCTGTCGCATCCCGTGGAGTTCGAGTTGCACTTATTGGAGCTCTCACCCTCATCGTCAAAATGCAGAGCACACCCGATCTTGGTCACGTTTACGAAGCCGTGAAGAACGGCCAAGCTGAAATAAAAACCGCAGCCGAAAATTTAGCGCAACACATCAACAGCCTCAAAAATGATCTCAATGAAACAAACACCCAAGCTCAACAAACCATGGAAGAAGTCCAGCGCAGTTCGGAGATTACGACAGACGCAAAAGCGGCTGCAAAGGAGGCTACAGAGATCGGTAAAGCAACGATGAAAATGATCAGAGACATGAAGCTCGTAAGCCAGCAGAACCAAGCCAACGCCATGCCTACCTACGCCAACGTGCTGGCGAGGGGAGGGCTAGCGGCAAGCATGCATAACCCACAGAACCAGAAAGCGTCACCTGTTCAGACCCTGCGTGAGATTATCATCAACATCAGAGACCCTGTCACTATAGCCAACATCAGAATGATGAGCCCACGCAGCCTGAAATCACATGTAGACCTCGCAATTGAGCAAAGCAGCAACGAACACATAGAGAACATCAAGGTAGTATCCTCCAATCAGCTTAAGAGCGGCGACCTGAGCATCAAGACGGCCACTACAGCGGACATGGTGGCGCTTAGACAGTTTGCAGAAGACTGGGAACAAAGGATCGGAAACGGCGCCACAGTACGCATTCCGACGTACGGTGTCTTGGTGCATGGCGTACGCACTAGTTCGATGAACATGGACAATTTTGAACTCATCAGAGATGGGATACTTCAGGATAACAAGCCCTTTATACCAAATGCAGAGATCAAGTACATAGGCTGGCTGACGAGATCTTCGTCTACCAAATCAGCATCTTCGGTCGTGGTTGAGTTCACGAGACCAGAAGACGCAAATAAAGTCATCGATGAGGGCCTCATCTGGCAAGGCGAGGTGTTCCAATGCGAGCTCTATGACAGACAGTGCCGTGTGAGACAATGCTTCCAGTGTCACAAATACGGCCGCATAGGAACCCAGTGCAAAGCAACAATAACATGCGGCTACTGCGCGCAAGATCATGCCACCCGGGATTGCCCAACCAAGAGCGACAGGAACGCCCCGCGAAAATGCGCGGCCTGCAACGGCCCGCACGAAGCCTGGAACAACCAATGCCCTACCAGGAAACAGGAGGTGAACAAGGCCAAAGCAGCCTCTAAATCGAGACCCAGGTACCACTTGGAACTAGAAAGCTTCGTCGCCAGGATCACGACCGGAATTAGAACAAGGGATCGGCAAAATGAGTCAAACCCGATCGCCAGGACAGGGCGACCCACCTTGGAACCAGGCCGGCCACGAGACGCCAACTCGTCCCGGAGTAGATCGCCGACGAAGAAGCAACAGAAGAGAGCCAATTCCAGCAACAACCAGATAACACCCGATGATCCCAGAAACGAGATCGTCGTGAACATAGGGAGCCAGCGGCCTAGACGAACATTAGCTCCTTCCAGGAGGGTATTGGAAACACTGGACGCCAACAGACAGATCACACAGCAAAGCCAGCAAATGGAGGTTGACGATCAAGAATGTTAATAGGAAACACTCTTACAATACTACAGTATAACGTTAGAAAATCAAAGGACACAGTCATGGCCACGCTCTTGCGAGATCCCGATATAGGGCGATACGACATCCTCGCCATCCAGGAGCCATGGAAGAACCCATTTGACACGACAACTCACCATCCAGCCAAAGACCAGTTTCACCTATGCTACCCAGACAAGGATCGAAACTTCCCAGCTAGGGTCTGCTTTTTTATCAATAAGAGGCTCGATCACTCCAGGTGGCACTTTAGAGAGGTAAGCAGAGATCTCTGCTCGCTGAACCTAGTACTCGGAACAGAAGAAGAGCAACAGATTGTGATACACAACGTCTATAACCCAACAAAAACTGCAACCGAGAGAGGAAGCACGCTTCCACTCCTGGAGCTGGCCATAGAACGATGGTCCCATCACGAACAAATCATTGTTGGCGACTTCAACCTCCACCACGAGCTATGGGGAGGTGATCGGGTCCAGCGAGCAGACCCTGATGCCGCTGAGCTCACCACAATCATGGAAGACTACTGTCTCACGAGCAACCTTGCTCCAGGCACTATCACATATGAAGAGCGTGACGGAAGAACGACCATAGACCTTTGCCTCACGACGGCAGGCCTTGTGGACAGACTGATTCAGTGCGAAATCGAAACAGATATGGACCATGACTCTGACCACCTACCTATCACCACCTCATTAGACCTAAACACTGTCAAAATGATAGCTAAGCCCCGGCGAAATTGGAAAGCGTTAGACGAAAAGACATTCACTCGCGTGCTGCAACGGGAGCTTCCGCCGCAACGAAGATCAAGAACAAAGACGGCTTTGGACAGACATGTGGAAGAAGTAATGGCAGCCATAACGGCAGCTGTCGATGAAGCAGTACCGAAGACGGCTCCGTCACCGAGATCGAAGCCAGGGTGGAACGAAGAATGCGCTGCAGCCTTGGCAGAATCAAAACGACTCCGTCGGCGACACAGCCTGTATCGTACCGAAGAGACATGGGAAGCATACCGTGCGGCGCGAAATGACAAAGGTAGAGTTATCAAGAAAGCACTCAGACAGAATCATCGAGAGAAGGTAGAAGAAGCTGCACAATCCCCGGCAACCCTCTGGCGGTTAGCAAAATGGGCCCGAAACAGACACAGTCAAACACCGAACGTGACACCCGCGCTAGTCAACCCAGCTACAAAGCAGCAAGCAATAACCCCTAGCGAAAAAGCAGAGCTTCTCAGAAAGACCTTCTTTCCGGTGCCACCTGACACTGATATCGAAGACATAGAGAATGCCAACTACCCTGCTCCCACAGCCATGCCACCGATAACAACGAGGGAAATAGAGGAGGCCATTGAGGAGGCAGCCCCGCTCAAGGCTCCAGGACCGGACGGCATCACGAACAAAGCACTCCAAATCGCCTCTCCCTGGATCAAGCACCATCTCACCAAGATCTTCAATCAGTCCCTCACCCTTGGCTACTATCCGGAACACTTTCGACAATCGACAACGGTGGTCCTCAGGAAGCCAGGGAAAGACAACTATACCGTGCCAAAGGCCTACAGGCCGATCGCTCTATTAAACACTACAGGAAAGATCATGGAAGCGGTCATAGCAAAGAGGCTGAGTTATCTCGCCGAGACTCATAACCTGCTGCCTGATACCCATATGGGTGGAAGAAAACTGCGATCCACTGAGCACGCCCTCCACCTTATCATCGACAAGATATATGACGCCTGGAACACCGGGTCAGGCAAAGTGGCAAGTCTACTGCTTCTGGATGTATCAGGGGCGTTTGACAACATTTCACATGCACGCCTACTACACAATCTGCGGAAGAGAAAGATACATGAAAGAACAGTCAAGTGGATCGGAAGCTTCCTGCGCCCAAGATTCACAACGCTATCAATTGATGGCTTCACATCTGAACCCTACAAATTAGAGACAGGAGAGCCACAAGGATCGAATCTGTCACCGATCCTCTACCTCTTCTACAACGCAGATCTAATCGAAAAGTGCGGAGAGTTAGACGACACGGCCACAACCGGCTTTATAGATGACGTGGCTATACTTACATGGGCAGACTCCACGAAAGAGACATGCAAGAAGCTCCAAGAGGCACTCCATATCGCAGAGCAGTGGGCGGCCACTCATGCGTCTATCTTCGCGCCAGACAAATTCCAGCTTACTCATTTCACACGGACGAGAACAAGAATAGACGTCGAGGAGCCTCTGCAAACAAGATGGGGCACGATCGAACCAAAGAAAACATGCAAATACCTGGGTCTCATCATGGACTCCACCCTCACCTGGAAACAGCACATAGATGAAATACAACGCAAGGTCACCAAGACAGTCAACGCCCTTAGCAGCCTCGGTGGTTCGACTTGGGGAGTGACAATGAGAGAGATGAGAAAGATATACAAAGGAGTGGCTGTGCCGCAGATGATGTACGCCTGTTCTGCCTGGTCGAATGCAAACTGGAGAACCAGGGACAAGCCATACACAGAGCGAACATTGAGCAAGCTTCAAAGCCTACAGGCCAGAGCTTCTAGGGTGATTAGTGGAGCGTACAAAGCAGCATCGATACCTGCCCTTGACGTGGAAACATACCTTCTGCCAGTCGAACAGCAGATCTTCAAGCATAACGTCGACACTCTGGGAAGGGTCGGCCCAGCTGAACGCCGACATACAGAAGAGGAGGCGAGAAGAAACAAGAAGAAAAGCCCGAGACGAGCTATTGAACAAGCCATCAGAGACCGCCAAGGGCCGGATATCCGGAGACAAGAGCACATCGCGCCTTACATTGTACCTCCATGGTGGCAGGGGCCACAGACGTTCATCGAAACAAACACAGAGGAGGCGCAAATCAAACACGAACAGATCATACAATACGAGCCGGACGCCGTACACATCTACACAGACGGTAGCGGCATCGGTGGTCATATCGGTGCTGCCGCAGTCTGCACCACCACCCAAGAAACAAAGAGTGCTTACATGGGAGACGACACGACTTCCACCGTCTACGCCGGTGAACTCCAAGGCATCAGTCTGGCCCTCCAGATCGCACAGGAAGACAGGTCCAGAGGCAACAGTAGAAGCAAGGTCTTGATTTACACCGACAACCAGGCCGCCATCCGATCGACCGCAAAGCCCAAGGGTAAGTCGGGGGCATACCTGCTCAGAAGCATCGCAAAACAGATCGACGAACTCCAATTACAAGGTCTAAACACCGAGATCAGATGGGTCCCAGCGCACATTGGGATCCAAGGTAACGAAGAAGCGGATCGAGCAGCAAAGGAAGCAACAGGTTGGAGAGAAGGCGACCTCACGGGACCAAAAGCAGCAGAACCGCAGCAGCTATACCCACTCCGATCGACCATGAAGACATGGTCTCACAAAGAGACTATCATGTCGTGGGAAAGAGACTGGATATCCGAAACACGCGGCCGAGCATCTTTCAGGCACACGCCCAAACCCTCACGCAAGGTCGTGGACTTGCATGACGGGCTCAGCAAGAAGCACAGCGCGCTGCTCACGCAGCTGCGGACGGAGAAGATAGGACTTAAGGATTTCCTCTATAATCGAAAGGTACCAGGCATCTCCAGCAACAGATGCCCCTGCGGATCGGATCGACAAACGGTAGCGCACGTCCTCCTGCGCTGCCGCCAGCACCGCCAACTCCGGGACCAGGAACTAGGACGACTCCGAGGACGCAACAATCTCCGGAAGTTACTGAACGAGCGCAAAGCAGCCGCCAAGGCAATCAAGTTCATCGAACTGACTCAGATCCTTGGGCAATTTCAGGATCGAGACCTCAACAGACAAAGCTGAGCACTGGGGGGAGACTGTAGGTACACAGTCGCGAAATAGAGGGTCTCATAGCCCGAGAGAGCCTAGAATCAAGGATGCGTCAGTATTAAACCACCGTCTACATGGGCCGCCAAGCATATGTAAATAGTGGTTAGAGAGAGAAAGCGGGAATTTCTGGGGACAGCTGGTCATCGTTGTTCACGATGGCGAAGTGGGGCATCACGGATCAACACTGATCCGCCAGGCTTCGGCTGTTCGCCGGACCCCGTTATCCGGGCATAGTCGTTTAAACGACTACAACCGCGTAGGATAATCAAATCAAATCAAATCAAATCAGCCTGAACCTGGACATGGGATTGAACATAAGCTTTGAGATATACTAGTTAACATGGAAAGTTATAACTCAATATTCATTTTAATACATTACGATAAGTCCTCATAGACTGCCGTCAGGTTTATTCTGAGACAATGTTCCCAGTCGCTGAAGGTTAAGACATAATATCGAAATGATGGTAGTATTAGACTATGCTGGGGGCACATATCAGACCTCATGGCCCATTGAGTAGGTGGCATAGTCTCCCTACCGAAAAACCATCTAGATAGATCAGGGTTGGCAAGTATCTGGAAATCCAGTACCAACCCTGTACCTTCTAGGCTTAGCTAAGCCAGAACCATCTCGACGATTCATCTCTGACCTATTCGTACCCTAAAAGGACTAAATGGTATTAGAACAGATTTATCCAGGGATATGTTTAGATCTTAGTTGGTATACAGAGAATAGGGAACATGAATACCTGGCGGGTTATTTGAATCCAGCACCTTTATCTCCTGGCCCCAGGATCTTGTCCACATCGCCATCTTGCGAAGTGTCCTCACCGTTTATTGGCGAAGGTTGAGGAGCAGGGCCAGGAGCAGGAGGAGTTTTGCCTTTTCCTCTATTCTGAGTTGGCATATTGAATATCAAAAGAGAGAAGAGATTGAAATGGGAGTAGAGAAAGAATATTGCAGATGGTTGCAAAAGGCGTCCGTTGTGTATTATATGCAAAGAGGTGTAGCAGAATGGTTGTAATGAAAGACACTTTAAATGGGAAAGTTGGGCGCTCTTATAGCTTCCGATCGAACAAGCAACGGTAGAGAGCCAAGACCTGTATCATGTAAAGTCTTTGGATATCTTTGTACTAGCATTGTGATGGCTGCCAGGTTGCATGTCTCGTCTCTTCACCTTTGGCCAGGGCAGCATGAATACGTCAGGAACCACTTCTCATGTGCGCCAGCGGGAGACAGTAAGAGGATCTCAGCTTAGTCGTCAACTCGTTCGAGTTGCGTTGACCTGCAGCAACTATTGAACTTGACCGACAACCTGGTTCTTTCAGGGGCAGTAGGCCATACGGAAGTGATTCATGCAGCCGAGTTTCCATAAGCTTGGTTGTAACTACCCTCCAGTTGTCTCATTCCTCGCAATTTGATCACCGCCAACACCACTAATAGAGCATTCTAACCAAACTTCAACGATGATATGCTCAACTAACACAAAATCTCACACTAACCCTGCAGGTGCGGCATCGATTGAAGGTGATGGGTTCATGGCGGCTGCATAAGATGGTCTTACGGGGGCCGCCGTTGTCCAGTTCCCGCAAGATACGGCATCAGAGGTTGCAATATACAGCTCACCTTGCATTCTGTGCCGGGTCAGCTTTGGTGAGCCATCCCAGTAACACTACCCTGTTCGATTGGTACTGACCATTTGGTATTAACCTAGAGCAAGCGAAAGGTGTTCCTGTCGAGTTTTGGCCGTATATGCGGCCACAACGATTAAGCTAGCCTCTTCGCATTCTCCTCAAACTTGGCGTCGACATATTCCAAGTTGTAGAAATCAGTATCCTATTCTAAAAGAGCTATGCGTCATACGAAGATGCTTTGAAGCGTGCGAGGTGTGATCATCAAGGCTTAGATCTGAAATTGGAATGGTCTTACTTGATTCCAAGGTTGATGTTACACATAGTGCGCAATGGTTGTTGTTTGTGGCTTTGTAGACATGCATATAAGAGAACTCAGCCAATGTTGTAGAAGATCTATGCTAGGCGAAATATAGTACGGCCAAATTTTCACCACATGAGGTAAAGATTTTACCTGTCGAAAATATTCATTGTCTGAAAAAGAGATTACACAACATAAAGTTTTTTCCAAAAGTGGGGTGATTAGTCCATTTGCCCACATGCCTGCCCCACATATCATCTGAGATGTGTGCCTAACTCACGCCTAACGCTGCCATCAAGCATTCAAAACTTACTTCTTCAACACGCGATCATTGATTGATATGGACTGGCATACTACACCACAAACACCGTAACCGCTTTCATACAACTCCAGTCTCGTCTCGGTATCCAACACTTCAGCTTGAAAACCATCACATTGCCTTCCAGATTGATCTCATGCCCGAGGTACTTCCGATCCGCCATTCTCAATGCACCTGAACGCTGACATTAGACCAGAAAGACCGGACCAACGACGGAGACTTTGAATACATCGAATACCATCACTTCGAGGCCGTTCCTTATGATCGACTGATGTCCTGGAAAGGGGGCGAAGGAACTATCAATTGGGGTCATGGCGGTGTTATTCGCAAGAGAGCGAGTGAGCCACTTGATGATCAAGATCTTCCCAAAGATACTGGAGTTCTTGTAATGAAGGCAGACTTCAAATTGGTACCTAAATAGGGAAAAGAGAACCAAAGAGCTCTTGGCCTGTTGAGAACCGAAGCATAATAAACAACCTATAATCCTCGTCCTCGGTAGGTACCACTCTCAAAGCTGCTGTCGGCCCTGGGATCCCCAAGTGCTTCTCCTCTTGTTTCCAAAGACTACCGTCCATGCCTTCCGCGAGATAGTCACCAAGCATAATTCTCAATAGCTCTTCATTTCCATCGCGTATTGCGTCAGTGATAGCTCTTGCTATGTGTGTGCTTACGAAAATTTCTAATTTGAAGTCGCCGCCGCTCTCTCCCGCAACGTGGAGACGCACAGCATCGGTCAGATGGTGTTTCTCCTGTGCCCTCTTGAAACTCATGCTCATGCCAATATATAAGAAATTGCTGATCGTAATTTGGAGTCTGGAAACGTCCGGCATTCTCGCTATAAACCAGCTATCTGTGTCCAAAAAAGATGTGAACGCAGTGGGGGATTCCGCACCCAAATGCTCATTTAGGCTCGAACGTAAGCGATGAGTAGGCTGGCCGTCCACGCGAGTGGTTTGTTCGGTGCGGCCTCGTCGCAGAAGCTGCAAGAGCTCACGACTACGAAGTTGCCATAAGTGTTGCCAACTTTGAGGAATTTGTTCTGTGCCAAACTTAATGGCGCCCTCTTCAAATCGTTATGTTAGCAGTGACTATGTTATGTATCAGACCAGAGCAAATATTACCAAGTAAATATTCCGATCGCCTCCCGCGATCACCAATCGTTTTACAAAAGAACTGCCAATCGCGGAACAGATCGCTGTTCTCATCGGACTCGTAAATTCGTAGAACGAGTGGCCACAATTCGGGGTTGCCCCGTGCAAATGTTTTCAGGTGGGTTGGCGTCGAGAAAAAGGCTAAAGATACAAGCTCATCGATAGGAACATCGTTGAATAGTTCATGCCCTTCGCCAACGATATACTTAACATTAGCAGCGTGGTTTTGTTTTCGGCGATAAAAAAACTGAAGTAATGGGTGAGAAGGGGCTGAGTGCTCGCCCACGGGCTTACTGGTGGCCATAATGTGAAAATCTGCGCATGTGTAAAAATTTTACTTGTAAAGATTTTACTACCCGTAAAGTTTTTACTACCCGTGGAAAGATTTCCAAGTTATGGAATGATAGCTACGCAGGCGTGACGAAATCTGCACAGTCTTTGGTGCTAGCCACCGGATCAGAAAAGGTGGGGTACGAACTAATTACGTTGGTTTAGCTAAGCGATTTGCTCTGCGGCTGTCTCTTTAGCGACCGCAAGCGTCCGGGGATCAAAGAGATCAAGCAAAGCAAAAACAAAACCTCGTACACTGACTGTTAATCGTTTATTATGTGTTGAACCGGTTAGGTAAATTATTGTGCATTCAACTTGTTGTGTTCATTGATTGTGTTCTATCTGGCTTCTTACCCCTCATTTTGGGCTTGCCTTGCGCTATTCCGATTTGAGACATGTTTAGTCAGATGACTTTGCCTATTTTGTACCGCTTACTGCATGGCCGCTTCGGTTTAACATTATGCAAGGTCAAGGTTCGCTTTGTGTAAATGAAGTTTCCCTGTCCGTCGATTGCAAGGATGGACAAAATGTATAGGGTAAGAAGTTGAGACTTGCAATTAAGTCACCAAGTAAACTATCGAAGATCTCCCCTCTGCTCAGGGCAACGCTCTGGCAAATCAGTTTACAAAAGGTCATTTATGCATGAGGTTTAATATTGAAATCTTGTGATCTTTAGCGTAAAGAGTGCACGACTTTACGCGCATTTTACGCGAAAGGACGCGACCTGGAGGGTCAGTATTGAGGTTCACCAGCTTTTTAGAACAGCATTCTGAGGTCTCGCGTAGTCTGGTAATTCGCATCCTCGTCAGCAAGTGGTCCCTGCTCATTCTCAGTCCACTAAAAGGTCTTGTTTCTGTTTAAAGCTCTAATTACACACTTCTACTTGATCTGGCTCATAAAGAAACCCGGTCCGCGTCGTAGTCAAGATGTCGTTGCAATCCGCCTACTCATAAGCCCTCTGGCTGAATGCACTATGAATAGCTCGAGTCTACTAGCCTTATTTGAGCTGAGCGAGTCGCTCTAAGCTGAAGTGACATCTCTGTCGGGGTCGCCTCCAGTCCGTCCGATGTCAAACTTGAGTTGCCGTTGATGCGTCTGAGCGTTTGGCAGCTGAGGGTAGTGGCCAGGGAGAGAAAACAGCGCTAAGAAAAGAAAGTACCGGTCCGCCGCCATGGCTCCCAATGGTGTGCATACCAGTCTCCCCATTCGGCATGATGGGGAAGATCGCCATACGTAACGCCGGACGTGGGGGCGGCCCGCATTGAGTTCAAAAGTCCAGTCCCGCTATTTCGGACCCTGTTGAAGACCGTTACTGCTCGTTATTTACGCCACGACGCCATTTGGGAAATGAACAGAACGGCGCACCGATAAATGGGGAGAGATTGCGTATCATTGTGTGCGCATATCTTGTATACTGTGCCGACTTCAACACTCCATATCCAGCTGGGCCGAGGCCCTGTTGGTTCCATTGCTCAATGCGAATCCAGTCAATCACCCTTGATGCCGTTTGGCGGCTACTTTATGCAGGGATGCGCCGAGAGATCGAGACTGGTTCCTGCTCTCGCTGGCGGCATGGAGATGGTGTCACACGGGCGGGAAGCCTACCCGGTAGGTCCATGTCGATTCAAGCGCCAGCCCTCGTCTGGCTTTGCTCAGCGAGAAATATGATTGAGCAATTGAGGATGCATTGTCTTGCAAGGGGCGACATCTAACATCTTCTTCATCCTGGCTTCTGATGATTTGTACCCACGTGTCTTGGCATGCCTGTTAGGCCGAATTGAAAGGGATTGATAGATCGGTAAAATATTTGCCGACTGGACTTGACGATCGTAAGCATAGGGGACCCACCAAATCTGGCAAACTAAGGTGAATACGGCATGCTGGAAATCTTATGTTTGCTTTTGCTAAAATCTGCTGACTTTCGTACCGCAAAGAGCTAGAGGTAAGGAAGTCGCCCCAAGGAGATAAGCCATGATTCGGGGTCAGGGTCTTGGACGGGGAGGGAAGCGCCCTGTCTGTTCTTGCACTCATAGCCTATCACCTGAAGCCTCAGTCTTCAAATACAGATTATTTTCCCGCCTTTGCCAGTGCATCATCACCTCCAGTCTCCTACTCAATGCCACCCTTTTTTCTGTCATGAGAGTCACAACCGAAATCGACACGGACGGCCAGGTCAAGCAACCATTACCACAAGCACCCCATGATATCCAGGTGGCTTTTGGAAGCAAGCTCCGCATTGTAACTTGGAATAAGGGGGATGACATTGAAGGTGTTGATCGGCCGCTGCTCGAGTCTATCAGTCGCTCCGAGATACATCTTGGCGTATTCTTTACTTCCATGGCCCCGAAATCCTTTGAAATGGTTTTGAGGGTTGACAGCATTTACACGTACTTCCGGAAGGTCTCACTGGAAGACTGTGACGAGCATGAGAAGAAACTTGACGGCTACACTCTGATTTTCGCTGCACGATGTTCCGGTCGTCTTGGCTATGCATTCCCATCCAATGTTTGTCTTGATGAGGTTTTAAGCTTTGTCTACGGTCTCATCTGCGTCCGTCGAGGCAATGCCACGAATGGTGCTGCCAGATGCCTGAATTTGGCATCAAGGCTCAAGTCAGACGCTGCAGACTGGCTGCAACACAAGCCTGGAGGCGCAGCCATCCAATTCATCATCAAGTGCTACAGGGCTTCGGGGTGCCGGGCTTTGGAGAACGAAATGAAAATGGAGAACCCAAAAAGGTTACTGTTCAATATTTACATCATGTGTAATGAGAAAAGGGCGGCACCTGGTCAATATATCCAACCCAAGACTCCACCATCCTTGAAAGGCAGATGCAGAATTGAAGAGACGCACGATCTGAAGCGATCCGGTACTGAAACTCCTGTCAAACAAAAGGAGGATTATACAGCGGATGATTCGACTTTGCACAAATGTGAACACATCAGAGCCGCTACGTGTCGGAACCTGACCTCCATTGCGTTGGCCTACTGGAGAAAGGTGGAAGGTTCCCCCGGTTATAAGATCGTTCAACACAATACTGCGTTACGAGCCTGTCACCTTTTATTTCGTGCAAAGGAATATAAGGCTAGTCATGACAAGACGCTGCCTGAGCCATGTATCGAATGCATTTCGGAGACCTTTATGAGGAAGCAGCTCAAGGGCGGATTGGAATGGGCTATTTCGGAAACCGAATCACTTCTGTCGCTGCCTCTCTCGCCTCAGCTTGAAATCTATGATCGGATGAGTTACTGCGAAGGAAAACTAAATATTCAGCAGTTTGACCTTGGTGGGAAATCTCTGTTTAAATCTCCTAAGCAGATCATTGCCGCTTTGCAATTTAAGCGCGATTTCCAATTGGAGGAGAAGGACTATGGTGTTGTACGTGATGATTCTGATGCACAGGTTATCTATGCTGTTGCTTGCCTGTTGGAGTCGAATTTTAGTCCCCCAAACGGCCTGCAGCAGGATGGCCTCCTTGAGGTTTTTGATCAATTCATAAGGCGGTTAGACCATCAGAGCACTAGTTGACTGACTGCTTGGTTTGTCTGGACCTTCACAATCTGCTGCGGAAAGATTTGTTATCTTTTTCTCTTTGTATTGCCATTTTTCTTCTTTTCTCTTTAGTGCAGGCTGATGGAATCGACCATTATTTGCTACGTTGTTCAGGAGACGACACCCAAGTGAGTTTCTGCCATCCGGTGTAGATTGTGAATGCTCCCCTTGCCGCTTGCCGTCCTCGTGTATGTTATGGCGCGTTGTAAGCAACCCAGGATCAAACAATTTCAATCAGAGTTCAGCACAGAGCTGCCACTTTACAGCAAGATCATACTCACAGCCGCAGTCATCTATGTGAGGAGAGGAGGGCCACACGTGTTAAAGGAATGACGATAATTAGCGACCCTCATTTCCAAGGTCATTCGAAACTCCCGATCAGTGCCGCCAGTCACCGAGAAACTCCAGGTTCTCCTTACAATCAGAAGATTTTGTGCTCACCAACGATGGAGACCTGTGGCTTTTCGAACCTCTCCATCTGCACAAAGCAAATAGCACATCGTTCGTTATAATATTTGCCTATTTAGTGATATAAATCCTAATGGTAATGTGAATATAATCACCGAAAATATGATCACCCACAATGATCACCCAAAATACGATCACCCAAAATATGATCATCCAAAATATGATCACCCACAATGATCACCCAAAATATGATCACCCAAAATACGATCATCCAAAATATGATCACCCAAAATATGATCACCCAAAATATCCCACAATGATCACCAAGAGTATGATTCAATACACTATCGCCATCATCTACTCTTCGCAAACTCAGCACAAGACTGCTTGATATGGGCCAAATCTTGCTCGGTTTCCAACATAGCCTTTAATTCCTTTTCATGCGAAGGAATCTGGTCCTCTAGTTGCTTCACCTCCTTGCGAATATCGTCGCATTCCGCTTCAACAGTTCCCAGCTTTTCGCGGAGACACTTACTTTCTTCCCTCATTGACTTCTTTCTTGACGCGGCATCAGATTTCATCTCGTTGATCCATTCTTTCATAATACCAACGCCCTCGGGACATTCGTTTATCCAAGCCTCAATTTTAACCAAAACGGCCTCGGTGGTTTCTGGGTCGCTAACTTGCCCTCGTAGAATAGACGCCATATCTTCCCTTTCCTTAAGCTTTTGTCGACGGGAGCCAAGCCCTTGCTTCATGCTCAACAATTGAACCTCCTTCTTCGCTATTACCGGTCGTCCTATTTCCAATCTCTCCTCTTCCCTTCTCAGATCCTCAAAAAAGCCATGGGATTTGATCGATATAGATTGTGAAGACCTGGAGGTGGCGGGCAGACTAGTGCTGCGGATGACGGGACGGATCGGTGAAAGCGAGGAATCCAGATCCGGTGGTGTCAATTGCTGAGTGGACTCAATGCGTTCAGCAAAATAGCTGCGAAGCTCTTCGGTGTTTACCTGCGACGGAATGCTTTTCTTCTCGACCAGGCACTGTGCAACAGCTAGTGCAAAAATTCCACAATTGAAACCATCTCGTTGTTGGGGACATTCCTGTCGCGCGTCAGACAAACTTATTCAAGGGAAACAAGCGCATACCTTCTCCCAAATAGTGATCTCAGTAGTGGTTCTAATTGTCGGCTCTTTTGATACCCATGATCGTAGACGATTAACTGACATATCGATGCCTCTTAAAGAGTTGTAATGATGGAGGTGGCCAGTGGTTGTGTTAAGGTGACAAAGCGACCAGTGATTGGACTTGCTGAGAAAAAATATAAGGTCGGTTGCAGAGACACGTTTCCTACGCGTAATAGACTCCTTTAAAGGATACCCAGGCTCAAAAATATACCAGCCGTGAGGAATGTTTTGAAGCACTTCTGTGCATCGTTGTATATCAACACTTTGAAGCCATTCATCACCCTTCAAGCGAGATATAGTACTGCTCACAGGCTCTGTTGGAATGTCATGAGACGTCGCATCGCTAGCAACAGAAATAATACTAGGCGGTATATCGTGATCCGTGTTGTGAGAGCCGGAGCTGCAGTGGTCCATCGTCGTGTGGCTAGTGCTCGGAGCCGATTCACCCGTATGGTTTTGGTAAGATGAGTAGTGAGCAGTTACAGGAGCATCTGTTGCCTTATCACAGGTGTTATTTTCAATAACACTCTTGGCATTTTGTTTCTGTTTTTCCTCCCGGAGTTGCTTGAGGCACTCGGCAACATCATCAGGAAGTTTGACTTTAGCGAATATTCTTTGCGTAACTCTTTTCACTTTAGAGCCTTTGACTGCCTTGGTCATACACCCGTCTGCTTCCCACATCTCTGCAGGTTCTCGACCTGCCTTCATGTAGGCTTTAATGATCGGATTCATTTGCCTTTGGATATGCGGGCAACTCTTGTTCTTGGGTGCATAGTTTTCCGGCCACCATCCTGTCTGTTTTCCATCTGTCGCTTGGATCCTTCGTTTTTTATGGCCGCCGCCGCTGACTTTATTTTTTGAAACTTCTCCATATTTTTCTGAGTCACAGAACACATCCGAGGGCTTTTTATCATCGCTGGTTGTTCCATGATTCGAAAATTCGGGCTGACATCGTGCATGGATAAGGTCCCCTGAGACTTCTGCTTGCCTCTTCCGCTGGGACATCCTGGGAAATACGATGACTCGAGAACCTTAAAACGCAAGAACACTCTCAAGAGCCGGTCAGATTACTGAGCTTGGCTGTTGGTCGAGACTCGGCTGATCAATTGATCTCAGCCAAATGGAGGCGGCACAAATCGAGATTTTGAGGAAAGACGAAGCAGAAAAAATACCGAAACCCCCCAGGTGTTGTAGTGCTTGGGTGTGATGATATAGATCGAGCGGGATGGCGGCTTTATTGGTTTAGGCGTCAATGATTTATTTCGTGTCGTTTGTCTTGACCAGGTAGGCGTCGAGTCCGACAAAGAGTTTAGCAGCTACTTTAGCTCGCGATGGCTGGCGACACGTGCGCAGCATTTGGGCATATATCGCGCTACGCGTCCGATGCAGAACACGTCCAGGTCAAGGCGCACCAAGCGGGGTTGTAAGGAGGAGCCGTCCTGTAATAGAGGATCCAAGATCGCCCCGCATCAGCATCACCTCAACCATGATTCTTGCCTACGTACCCTATAGAGCTGTTTCTTCAGGCGACATTTTTTCCGCTTCCAAAACAACAGCAATAGTTAGCGGGGCGCCAGGAGAAAAAGATTTAGGAAGTCAAACTTTCTTTATGACGCATGTCGCCATAGCGCTGAATTTCGCATTTGTTCTCAAATGTTTTTATTTTTTTAAAACCTATTGCGGGAACAAATTCTTCGTCTTGGCATGGTCTCGTTTGCATTTTGCCGCCCTCGCAAACTTGGTTGGCATTATTATGAGCATAAAACAACATGAAGAATGAGGCAAGGTTAATATGGATTAGAATCTCTTGTTGGCGAGACCATTCATGCTCAAGAAGTGGCCGGGCCTCACTTGATTGGAGGCTGGGGGGTAATGTGGCTTTGAGTAGTGGCTGTGGCTGTCGGCGTAAGTGCAGGAGACGAAGACAAAAGGCCCGAAAAATTAGTCCCGCCCATCTCGCCCCAAACTCGTCCATCATCTTGAAGCACGAAGAAGCTGATAAATTTTTCGCGTACAGCCACCTAATGGCTTCGTTATGTTGAGTGCACAGAATGTGTTCGAGAGATAGCGATATCGGAAACTGTCTTTCATCCCATCATGACGACTTGAATTATGAGCCCCGCCCGAGCAGCTTCAAAGGTCAGGGGTACAAGCGACAGAAAGTCAGACATCATCACCCACGGCCTCTATCGCCACCGCTTTCGACCGCGGTCACCATGCATTTATCGTCGAGGAAGCGATTGCGAGATCATGATGGCCCTATGCGCCAAGACGAAGCCCCCGAAGCCCCCTAAGGAGACCACTCCACGCCTCAGCCGCTCCCAACACTCTCGAACTACAGCACAGATTCCATCCTCAGCTGGCCCAAGCCATGGAAATTAGCCGCAGGTATCGAGCGCTTCCGGTCATTCATGTTGACTGGGACTGGTGGGTGGCAAATGCCATCGAAAAGCGCGACGGCTGACCTTTCAAGTGCGTTCAGTGCTTCCCTGTAGAACAGAAGATTCTCGGGTGCGCAGACTGCGTGAGACACCTGGGAAGAGGTGCGTTATCGGCAGCAGCGCGGCTGCACACGCAGTTGGGATGCGAGCACATGTTTCCTGACGAGCTGAAGGATCTCACGCCGGTCGAGGAGAAGCTGATTGCGCTGAACTCGTGCTACGGCTTCATCACCAAGCACAGCGTCTCAGATGGACACAGACAAGGCGCGACATACCCGAGACATGTGAAGGGACATATCACGGTATTTCCAAACAACGTGCAGGAGCTAGCAACGAATGTCCTCCCACATCCGCTCTTGAAGGTCATGGATGATGTCCATATATCATGGCAGGGGCAGGAGAAACCAGCGCCGAGTGACCTGTCAACGTTACTATCGGTGCGACGTAACGCCGTTGAGAAGGCATTGCTGTGGCTCAAAAGGTACAATCCGTTGTATGCCGACATCGAAATTGACGAGGCGGAATTGGATAGTTGGGATGCGCCGTCACACGGAGTGCCTTCCCAAGTCTTTGATCGACTGGAACGGAATGAGCCTTCGGCGAGGGAGAAGATGCAGACGGCGCACATTGTCCCACCCACAGAGCGCGATATCGACGATCATGAACCGGTAGATATCCAAGAGATCATGGCATCGTTAGCCGAGGGCCTAATCACATCAGGAGAACCAGAAGTTGATGGCTTCGCCTCTAGTGAGGATGGTGACGATTGGGTCGGTAATAACAGAGATCGAGTGGACGAAACAGAATCATCCGGCATGTTCAACTTGGACGGGCGCCCAGACATCCCAGATGCGGAGAAGCTACGGTATCTCGTCAAGTCCATGGGTGAGGTGGGGCCCGGGGAGCATACACACCGAAGTACCTGGAAAGGGTCAGCCAAGGTGAGGCACGGGGGCGCCGTCGAGCCTTACATCGTAGTTTCCCGTGGTGAAGTCTTTGCAGATTCCTTTGACACCTGGTTTCTAGCCAAAACATTTCCCAGCTTGTTCCCGCTGGGCAAAGGCGGTCCCCGGCAGGCCGAAGAGCACTCCAAGGATGCGACAGGGCAAGTGCATCCTATTTTCGAGCTGGAAGCCGCTGCGCAACACCTCGTATCGTCCCGGAACATGAGCTTGGAGGCTTGGGTGAAAATGGTGATCCAGCGACACGGCGGCCGCTTTGCAACGCATCCTGTCTTTCCCTTTCTCGTTTTCAATATAGGGGTGCGGTCTAGAAACCGCCGCGTGAGCATGGCAAGCATGCGGAGGAGTGATTTCCCGGACGTAGAACGTACCATCCAAGAGTTGACCGCGTCAAGGCTTGAGAAGGCGAGGGGAGAGCTAGAGGCTTGCGGTAAGACTGCCGATCCAGACGTCAACCGGCTGCTGAGGAACCTGTCACTTTACGGCTACCGTCAGACGATGTCAAGGGAGAGCCGGCTGACGATGCGGCGGAAGATCAAGTCCCTCATAATTCGGTACGGCATCCCCGCCATCTGGTTCACGCTCAACCCAAACGATATCACGAACCCGATAAAGCTCAAGCTGGCTGCATACCGTACCCGCGAGACAGGCGGAGCCGAGGAATATCTAAGAAGTCTTGATCAGGCGTACAAGAGGGCTCGACTCGCGATATCGGATCCCCTCAGCTCGGCAATCTTCTTCCATCGGGAGATCTCCATGTTCTTCCAGTACTACGTGATGGTTGGGAAGGATTCGGTATTCGGGCGGGTCAGCCAGTACTATGGGGCAGTAGAGACCAATGAAAGGGGCGCGCTCCACCTCCACGGCCTCCTCTGGCTGCAGGGTAATATGTATCTGAGTTCCCTTCTCAGCGACGTTCAAGGAGAGGAGCAAGCGGCATATCGGCAGCGAGTGACCGAGTATGTTGACAGTGTCTTTACGGAGGTTCGTTTATGCCACACCCGGAGCTGGCATGTTGGTGGATAAACGCTCACATGTCTGACAGGATCTCGATGAGGAGTCTTTCGCGAGAGTGCGAGCAGGGAGATCGGTGACGTCTGACGTGTCGTCACTATTGGAGAGAGCATTCCAATTTCCCCCGACTTTCGAAGAAGAAGCGAACTTCTGCGCAGGTGCCACACAAATTCACACGCATAGCCCTACATGCGTCAAGTACGCGATCGGGAGACGCGGAACGAAGCAGAATCCTTGCCGATTCGGGGCGCCTTGGAAACCAGTGGAGAAGACTTACTTTGACGAAGACGGGCTATTGCGGCTTCGACGCAGCCACAGCCTGGTGAACCGATGGAACAAGGTAATGGCAGTGGGGCTGCGACACAACCACGATATATCCTTCATTGTGACAAAATGCAAGGGTCTGGCGCTCGTTTACTACGTGACCAACTACGCCACCAAAGTGGAGGATCCGGTGTGGAAGCGTGTGGTGGCAGCCAAAGAACTAATTCGGCTCCTGGGCGATGATGGTACTGGGGATCAGTCGAGCAATGGGCGAGGTCGAACCGAGGACGACAACCGTCACAGCCAAGCGCGCCGATTTCTGCTGCGAATGGCCAACAGAATCTTCACGGAACGGGCGTTGTCGCAGGTCGAGGTGTTGGCCCATTTTCAGGGATACGAGACAGAACTTACAAACAGCACCGCCTGGACGTTTCTGAACGTCTGCACTCTCTACTGGCATATCTTCCGGCGATGGCCCCTCCTGCGCCGTGCGGCCGGCGAGGGCGAGCTGGACGAGTCGATCGGGGAGACGGTGCTGCTGGGAAAAGCCGGACAGAGGATCTCGCTGTTGCAAGCTTACCCGTACCGCGGTCAGCGACTGGAAGGGTTAGCTCTTTACGACTATATGTCGGTCGTCAAATTGAAGCGGAAGGGGGGATGCGTCCGCTCGGGTGAAGTGGAACTAGACAGGGCCTGGCCATTGTCGGCATCGTGGATCCAGACACTGCGGCATCCAAACCAGCTTGCGGCGGTCTGCTTAGATGGCTATTTAGGCATGGATTTTACTGAGGAGGATGATTCCTACTACAGGAGGTACGTCCACCCCGACCGACAAACTGCAATGGTGCGACTCTTCGGGCCAAGCGTATATCCGAAAATTGTATGAGACGCCAACACAGAGCGCTGACAATTGTCATGACCGGTTTTAGAGCAGCAGTACAACACCTTGGCCTCTTCATTCCTTGGCATGCTTTCCTGTGCGAGTCATCTGGCGAGATAAACAGGATTTGGGAGACACAGAAGACATGCCTCTCCAAGCGCATGACGTGGCTAGCGGACAACATCCAGTTGCTGCGGCGTTCGGCCGAGGACGTGGCGCGGGATGCCAGGCAGTGGGCGGCATTGTCCGGCGAAGGAGATCCCACTGCCGACGCAGTCGGATCAGGCAGTACGGAAGGGCACGACGCACAGGGCGTAGAGCACCGGCCTGGTGGTGTCGGTTTGGCGACCCGCCTGATAGACGTGCTAAGGAATGCGATGACGAGAAAAGAGATCACAGCCGGCTCAAAAGAGATCTCTTCTATGGTTGAGCAAATGTACCGCTTCCAAGCGACTGCCCTCGACTCCACCGACGACCTTCGCGCTACGGTCATCCCTGATCATGATGCGCACATCCTAGGAGGTTCAATCTCGCGGGCAGAGATCCCCCGGCAGGAGCAGCTGAGATCCATCAAGTCGCAGCAAAACGGTCTCTCCCGCGAACGGGAGAATATGATCCAGGGACTGCAGAATCAGTTGGGCGGCACAGCAGCCGCCGACGGAGTCGCGGCGCACAGCGGGTCCGACAGGCCCGGCCAGCAAGACGATCCTACCACGCATGCCGATCAAAGGGGCCCATCTCGGGATACGGGTCCATCGACGGGCGTTATGTTCGGCCCATCCACATCCTTTTGCGAGACCGGAAGGCAAGTGGCCGAGTCCTTCACACTGAACCAAAGACAAAGCATAGCGTTGCAGTTGATATGTCGCCAACTTGACCGGATGCGGCACGACGACAACGAAACCCCCCAACTCTGCCAATTCATTGGAGGTGAGGGAGGCACCGGCAAGTCTCGCGTCATTGCTGCCATCGCGGAATTGTTCGTTCGTACGGGACAATCCCATCGCCTGCTATTGACGGCGACGTCCGGCACAGCGGCCGCGAACATCAATGGAATCACTATCCATTCCGCTTGCAGATTCTCTAAAGACACAGTCACGAGAGTAGGCCGCGCCGGTGACCCAGACGGCTTCGCATCGTCTGGCTCGGCAGCTCTCCGCATCGACGGGCAGACCAAGATGGACTGGCAGGAGAAACAGGTCTTGATCATAGACGAAGTCAGCATGCTGGGCGCTCGGACGCTGCACGCCGTCAACGAACAGCTCTGCAGATTGAGAGAGTCTGCTCGAGACTTCGGTGGGATTCCGATAGTCATCTTTTGCGGCGACTTCCATCAGTTCCGTCCCGTGCAGGAGCGATCGATCCTCCTCCCCAGCGCCTCTACTACCTGGGAAGGAGATAATGGCTTCGGCATAGAACAGAGGCGGCAACATGACACGGCTCACGCCCTGTGGAGGAAGTTCACCACAGTGTGTCAGATATTAAGGTGAATCGTGTATATTTCTTGATTCTGTCGCAATCGAAGGACTATTGAGACCTTATATCTTCGACTGGTTCCTTCTAGGACTTGAGTCCTAGAAAGTCCTAGATGAAAGTCCTACGATCTAAGTTTAGGACTTCAAACTTTAATCCTGAACCTTAATCCTGAAGTTGAGGGTGAACCCTCCAACATTCAACACGTACTCATTCTCCCGGATGTTGAAGTACCAATTGACTGCTTTCGGGGTAAACCCATTGAACCTAGCGGCTTCTTGGCGTCTCCCAAGCTTCGTAGATAGTGTTGAATGACCCTTGACAAATCTTGAGATCCAGTTCTTGCCTAGGACCTTGCTATCTCCCTGCTGACAGAGCAGGGCTTCGACGCAACTTCGAAGCTGGCTATGCGTGAGAGCGTATCCAAGAGACTCTTGCCGCAGAATCCAACGACTTAGACGGTCCTCCTGACTCGAAGAAATACGTTGATGAGGGTGGGTAAACTCTCTTCTGCTCTTCTGCCCAGAAAGTCTCTTGGAGAGGACTGGTTGAGGCACCCCATGCTTCTCGGAGGCTTGATGTTATGACAGAGAGCCGTCCGTTATATCGAATATCGCATCAATGACATCCTTATCGGTGTAAACATAGCGGCCCATTTTGGAGACAAATCACAGCCATGGGCTATACAGAAAGCCTTCCTCCCTCTGTGGGAGGCCAAAGGCGGAAGAGCCAGATTTGCAAAATTTTCAATGTCTTAAAACCTACGGAACGTCGTAAGGCCGGGTAAAAAAGGACCGGGGTAAGACAAGACCCAAAGAATAATGAGTTACTATGTTATTCCCAGGAAATCATCTCGTCGTGCCGTAAGGTGGTTCACAAAAGAAAGCAGAATTTGTATGGCGCGATGGTTTTTTTTGGTTATGCTTTAAGTGGTGTGATTCTCGAAGTGGTGGGGATGGTAAGTTATGCTTTGTCAAATCGATCATAGCGAGGAATCGCCGGTAATTGCTACGCGTGAACAAAAGATCACATACTCTATACGTGATGAATGTCCATGGACGATGTCTAAAACTCGCTCGACCTTGGAACTAGATAGAACAGAACTCAAGAATAACTGATATCTCGAGTTAGTAAGTACATGAAAGCACGGTAGTGACCGACACCGTCTAAGAGAAAATTGAATCGGTCAAGACCAGATCTCAAATCGAGCTCGTCAGGACCGGGGATCCTATCGCCGTGAAGATGAACAAGCCTACGACTGAGATGACATAACAGTTATCACAAGTCTCACGCCAGATTACTCAAGTCTGCAGGAGCTGAAGCAGAGAGTTTATAGGTAGATACGCTAACACAAGATGTAGACACTACGTTGTCCCAGTTGCGCTTGCGCAGCTAGAAAGGCAACTAGCGATATGGTCACTGAGTCTATATTCATGGCCCGCTCGATGAGTTCAGATCAAGCTTTTGCACAGTTGATGCGTCCAGACCTCTGTGAAGACACTATATTGATAGCGATCCGCGGGGCTGTCCAACGAGGGGTACGAAGGTTGAGTGGGCAATTTCACAGGCAATGGTTTACTGTGACTAAAGAAGGGTCGAACAAACCGCCTGGGGATTCTTTGATGAAAACGAAGAAGAATGGCAATAGATCAGAATGGTCCCTTAGACCACCTATACGCTGTCAAAGTTGATATCATGACGGCTCATGGCATCTCAAATGTCTCTACAGGAGCGACGGAGACCCTGAGTCAGAATAATGACGCCCAGATTGCAAGGAGTCAAAATGAGTATACAACGCCCGAACATTCACTACGGGGATCTTGACAGCACAGAGCATGATCAGCCACCTTGGAACCCGATGTCATCCTGTTGGAAGCGCCATCTTCCAATAACTATGTCGCAGGTACGAAGAACCTACCCTTGACTCTTCTGATTCGGTCATGGAATAGGCAAATAAGCTTTGGGAAGTCAGGGCCGAACTCTTAAAGACGTATGAAGTCTGGAAGAATGGGGAACCGCATGTTGTCAACACGTTTCTCTGTGGAGTCGGGCCAGAGTATGAAGTATTTTTTTGCTTCCTCCAATCAGAACCACAACATTCACCCTATCCGAGACCCAAACAACCGTAGCGCTATCCTCAAAGAGGGAAATATACATTGGATAACATGACATAACATATCCTCAAAGAGGGTATCACGTTCGAAACCGCCATCTTTACAGCATCTCAAGAAGAGGACAGACAAAGTGGCATGGCCAAGACTACACATAGAGCCATGTTAGCACGGGGCGCGTCAAGCTGTGGATACTGTGGAGAAAAAGGACACGAGAAGTCGGAGTGCTGGAAACTCCCCCAAACTCAGAAGAGAGAGTAGCAAAGCCGGTTACTGGAGACGACATCGTGGAATGTAGAGTCGAGACAAGGGGAGGGAGAAGGCTCATAATGAACTGTAATTAGCCACATATGTGAGGCTGGTATACCTTCAGCATGACCAAGCTGGACTGGCACTCTGGCAGAATGACTTCCAGGGTCACCGTAGGTTGATCGGCTCATTGTCTGGATCATTGGGTCTCCGGGTATCCCTCCGAGCTCGAGGCCTCGAACCAATGCACGTCTTAGATAGTGGCGCATCCTCACATATTTCCGCCAGCACGAGAGATTTACAGCTCTTCACAAGTACTATGGACTCTCAGTCAACGGTATTGCGGTTGCCAAAGCCATGCCAGAACGGGGTGGAACGCACTACCTCCGTGATCAAGGATCTAAGGGTCACAGAAGGCCACTCTTGATAACGCTCTCTATGTTCCAGAAAGACGTTTGAACGTCCTGTCTATGCCAGTACTAGAAAAGAAGGGGGCAAAAGTCGTCTTTCGAAAGGGAAAGGCAGTGGTCACGAACATGGGAAAGGCCGTCCTCGCCGCAACAAGGATCTCAGGCGTCTATGTGGTCGACGAAGCTCAAGAAGAAGGTCAGTCCAAGACTACTTTGGCCTCCTTTTCGGTGGCAAACCCTTGACTATACCTCTGGCACGGAAGACTTACACATCTGGGTGAAAGGAGCAGTAAATGACTGGTGAAGATTTCCATTGAACTTTGGCTGGAAGATCTTCAGCAAACCTATGTGGAGCTTGTGTGTACGGCAAGCTCAGAGAATGCCCACACGTCTGACCGACCAAGAATGGCACTTGCCCTCTGGGCTGTGTTCATGAAGACATTACCGGAACATTCCCAGAAATGGTAGCTGATACTGGGCCTGTTCTATTGATGACTTCACTCAAATGTCTTGGGTGTATACAGTCAAAGAAAGATCAGAGTTCGAAGAGTGTTTTCGGTATGCATTGGAACAGTCTGAAAGATCGAAAAGACGATGCCACGTCCTGCATCTCGATCAAGGCGGGGAAAATCGACGCAACATCCTGGTCAGGTTCTGCCAGGACACAGGCATCAAACTCTTTTACACAGGAATTGAGCAACACGAACGAAATGCATTGGCTGAAGCTCTTAATCGAATCATTCTGGAAAAGCTCACGTCAACACTTCCTAAATTTGGACCTGTGTTCAAACGATGGTATTACTTTCTAGAGGCATTGCACCGCATTCGAAACCCCTATGCTATAGTAGGTATTTCCACTACTCCGTACTGAGTCTGGCACTTATGATCCGGATGTCAGCCGTCTACGAGTTCTCGGCCTATGAGGATAGGCTCTACTTCCGTCCTCTAAACTAATGAAGACACAGTAGAAAAGGGTTCCCTGCCAGCTTCTTGGCTATGAAGGCAGTACAAACTACACACTCCTCGTCGAAAGGTGACGAGTATTTATGACCAACAATATTGTCTTCTCCGAGGTCATCGAAGATGTTGAACTGACACTCGACAATCTCTCGCATCAGATGAGTAACCAGAGAGTATCATAGCGACGACAAGTAGCCCAAGGGGATAGCGATGCAGGAAAACCCATAGTTCTAGAGCCTTCACCCCTCCCCGTAGCGCCCAGAAAGGCAAATAGAAGTAGCTAGAGCTGCTGTGGATAGACGATGTCTGATGAGCCTCCAGTGGGAGATGCGGCATAGGATCTAGACCGAGAGTCAGCTAGATCAAGTATTCGTCTTGTCATAGACGAGCCCGAGGCATCGCTAGAGGCGATAAAGGAGCACAAAGAAGCTCGGCTGCCGGGAAGATCGGCCAGCAGATAGCTGGCATCGAGTTACATACCGGCCAGCGCAAACTTCGCCTTTCTAGGTTGGAGGACAACTGCACCTAGTCGCCCGAATTATGGATCAGTGCGAGTCCAGAGCTTTCGAGGAAGCTAGAAAGAGTGGAGATGGTAAATTCTGGTGGAGAGGATTGGAGGATGAATACGAATCTCTGGTCAACAATGGTATCTGGACCCTGGTGGCGCTTCCCCCAGGACGAAAGCCCCTTCGGGGTAAATGGGTGTTCAAGCTCAAAAAAAGGAAGATGGACAAGTTCTACGGTACAAAGCTCGCTCGATATGTTATGGAAGGGTTGGTGCAGAGAGAAAGAATTGACTTCAACGACACCTTTGCCTTTGTTGTCAAGCCGATGAGCCATGAGATGGTATTTGCCATCGCGGCAGCACCCGATCTTCGACTGAACAAACGACATCAAGACAACGCTCCTCTTTGACCTTATGGTTGGGGAGCTACATGTTCAGCAACTCCAAATACTCCACGGCGGTAGTGAGAGAGTCTGCAAGCTCTTGAAAGCATTGTATGGACTGAAGCAAGCACTGAGGGTGTGGTGCACGGTTCTATGACCTTCCTTGACACGCCAGGGTTCAAGTCCTAACTATCTGATACAGTGATCTTTGTCAAAGGTCACGCGTTCATTGCAGTGTATGTGGACGACCTACTCATCGCTAGACCTTCCAGAGACGGAATCGTGGCAGTCAAACAAGCTTTGTGTGATAAGACTCCCAATGTGGGGGCCACGATCAGTCCCTAGTCTCATCCCTGCACTTTTCCTACACGTGTGTCTGTCACTCATACCAGAACCATGTCTTGACGATGTTGAGCATGGGCTTGACGACATCCTTCAAGGAGTATGAGCAGTGATATGCGGGTTTTTCTTGATATAAGTCCTCGATATAATTACCTTGCCGGCATTGTCTGCGATTTTACAATCGTCGTATCTCTGCATATACTCAGCTATGTTCTCCCAACGTGGGCACCCTGCACCAGTGTGAAGCATATGTGCAATAGATTTCGCGTTCTATACTGCTAAAATAACAGATTTGTTGACATTGGACGAGAAGCCAACCTTGGACGTCACTGTATTATCTTGATACCCTCCAGCTTCCTTTCCACGATGACATCCCATCGTCGAGGAGCTTCGCCGGACTTCCCAGCAAAGTGTTTTTGACCAGACCCATTCAAGTCATCTTATCATAGTGCCCACTCTGGGACGCAAGATCGCCTAAGGCTTATTCTCTAATTCGTCCCTTGTTGTAGGACGGTCTCGTCTTTTTAACATGTATTTCTCAACTCCTACCAATTAAATCGGACTTGTAAAACTGCCTTTCATGGCGCTTCATGTTGCTGTGTCCGCTGAAAGCCTTATCGCAATCACCGTGGGGCACTTGAAGGTCTTCTCTCTAGTACGGGTGTAGCTATGGATCTGAAGTTCGCTGGGTCGGTAGAAGCATCATTGGTGGCAAAAGACGATACGGGCGCACGACCATCCTCATCTTCCACTGACGGCTCCAGCTTGGGCTCTGATGTCGCCAAATGCTTGGTTAATATCGCTTCCACCGCGGTCAATCTCTGATCTAATTGCCCTATACATGCTGAAAAACCGGCTTGAGCTTTATTGGTACTGTTTATAATATTTAGTTATCACTTCAACTCAACGAGATTCTCCTCAACATACGTCTTCGGTGCTGGGTCACCGTACTTGCATTCATGACCTTTTTCCTTGCAACTTTTACATGGTTTTGTCTCGTCGCACTTGACCTTCAGCTGCCGACAACTGTCACACGCCTATCTCCTGTTAGTACTTGCGCACTTCCAGATCACACGAGGTTCATACCTGGGAGGCTCGTGTATTGCTTTTTTTTGCCGGAACTAACGACGAAGAATAATTATTAACGGGCCCGTTACCGCCTAATGCATTGTCTTCAGGTAGGCGAGGGCGTTTGTTGGATAGCTTCATCACCGGTACCTGAGCGGCAGGAGACGCCCGTGCTAGCGATGAGTTGGCGTATGCTGCGGGATGTAGTTGTTGATGATAGACACGGGGAAGTGTTGCTGGAGGAACAGCCGTTTCCACTGCTTGACGGCGCGTATCGACTTCGAGTGGTCGGGTGGTCTCTCTGGAGCCATGGAAAGAAGCATCTATGCTCATGGGACATGTGGGAGTAAATAGAAGCGATGGCGGCTTGGCCCAATCTGAGCCAGCTCGGCCAAGACTCTGTGAAGAGGAAGCAGCTATAAGAATATAAGCGAATCATCCATGTATTGAGCTAGTAAAGTCTGTGACCTTTGATGAAAGGAGTATCTTTTGAAGTCGGAGAGGGCTCGCTCGTAGGTGTGTTTGTATCGGCCGAACGCAGGAAGTCCGACAATGGGGGCAGAGTGCAACCTTGTTCCTCCATTTGAGACGAAAGGCACTGATTCAGATTGATCGAGCGATAGAGTATCTTCCTTGTTGTTGAGCTTAGCGGCCAGATATGATAGATATAATTACTGCATCTATTTGTGGCTGGTTCCGGGATTGATCAGAGTTTTGAAGCAATCAAGGCAAGGGACTCTTATATTCAGACAAAGTAAGAGTTCGTGTCGAGAGCTGTTCGCTAAAGCTATCGGGTGAGAAAAGAAAAAATGTGCTTCTCTATTAACATGCCATCTTGATTCTTCAAGTCGTATTCGATGGTTGCGAATAGGGTCTTAGCACATGGTGCCGAGCATTTGGGTGCTGTGGACGTTGAAGAGTCTGGCTGAAGGGATGACAGTTCAGGCGAGTTTTGTTAAATTACAGAAACCGCTAGGAATCGTAGGTTTTAACAAGACACGTGCATGCTAGGTTCACGGGTCAAGTCAGCTCGTCGCACCTCACAAATTAGCACCGTGCCTTAATTAAGGGATGGACACAAAGCCCCTACTTTCTCGGTGGCAGAGTTTTCGTCCTCAGCTTACCGAATGGTTACCCAACCATATAGGGGCCTGGAACAAGGGACGTTGAGTATGGGCGACAAAAGCACTGCTGCCTGGATGTGAGCGGCTAGAAATAGAAAGATGGATCTTATCGCCAACATGTCCAAGCTCGCGTCGCAGGTGACTAAGCCACGGTGCCAGCTGAGGGAGCCCAGGCATATGCACCTGCCAGAAGACGCTAAAGTCCTTTGAGTCAATCACCATGCATCGCTAGCAAAGATTGCATGTCCTCGGTTGAGTGTGCATTGTCGATCAATAAGAGATCGGCTCACTTTGTGCGCCCGCCTACGTTAGCTCGGATCCCTGTCTTGTCAGCTTTCAACTCCCCTGCGGACCTAGCGCCCTGTTTGCGCCTTCAGAGTGGAGTTGCAAGAATCAATGGAAATAGTGCCACAAACAAAAGACTCCGAACCTAAATTGCCAAGCCATACTGTTAAATTATTTTCAACCATCAGTTGCAAATGGGCTCCCTGTACATTTCAAATTCAACTCGTGTGACCCGAAATAGCCGGCTACTCCATGCCTTCCTCATGTTTGACACGAACCTACTGTCAGAATTGTCATATCATGGAGTTGGTATGACTGACCGCTTGTAGTGTCTTTCTAGTAGGTCCTTGCGATGAAAACGCCTTTGACATACCGGACATTCGAACTGAGGCTCTTGGTGTGAAGCCTGATGCCGTCTGCCAATTGGTGAGCTCTTCATCTTTGTTATATCTCTATAAGTTGTACCTCGGATGTTCAGCTCGAGTGTATACCTGATTGTGTTCGTAATTAATTACCTGCCGTAGTTCGATTAGATAAATGTACCTTTTGGCATTCACTACAAACATGGACTGGCTTTCTTGGCCTTTGATATCTTGCCAGTAGGCCTCACTTTGGTGTCGGTTTTGCTCATTTCAAAAAGTCGCTTGCAAAGTGGACGGGAAAACAGACGGAAACAACAGAAAGCTATCACATACCTAGTAATTTTCAATCCCCTTGTTCCGTACTGAGTCAGGGGTATGCCTGTTCACAAGCTACTAGAGTGTATACTGTGTGATCGCTGTAGGGTACCTCATTACTATTCGTGAATGAGATTTTCGGCTCATCCTTGCCCAAAGACTTCGAGCCGCAGGACGAACCTATCGGGTTTCACCCCTCGAGTTTGCTGAGGTTAGTCTCACACGGACCACCACATAATCTGGCGCGGCTGGACGTCGCCTACCCGCTGCAGGCTGCGTAGACAAAGATTCAGGGGTACAGTTCCACATCGCGCTAACCTCCCATGCAACAGGAGCTAATTGAATTACCAGGCCATCAATGTTGAACATCAGTGCGTCTTGGTCCAGGTTCAGTCAACTTTCAACCCCCCTGCAGCTGATATAGTACGACTGTCAAGACGAGGCTGGGAGGTGGTAATATTCGCATGTTGTTGCTGTTCGCTGTTACAGCTGTGGCGATTGACGCTCCTCCTTTGCATGAGAAGGACATTTGGCCCGCCAAGCATGTCGTTAGGGGTATCGCTATGACTCAGTGGCTCCCAGGCTTATACATGGTCGACAAGTTGTGCACGGCTGTCCTGGCTTCCGGACCCGTTTGCCCATTGACTGTAGCAACCCTCTACGTCAGACGAAGGAAACGGTAGAACACGACCTCTTTTGGTGCGAGAAGTGAATGAAACTGTTCAAGGATATGATACTGCAATACGTAGAAGAAAGGCGCGACAACTTCGTTTCACCTGGAGGCAAAGCTGCATCAGACATACAAAAACGGACACCAGGCATGGACGTGGTACGAGCAACAATTCAATTCGCGATCACTACATGCCACCTGGAACAGAGATGACAACGGCAACACTGACGCATCGGCCATGGCCTGTACCTACCAACAACTATAACCCTATACAACCATTTCCCCCCCTCTAAAGAGGGGGCGCCGTATGGGAACCTAAACCCGCCGGGTATGTCGCGTGTTACCGACACTTCATATGCCAGCCCGCGTCCTCATGGAAAGAGGAGCTCGTTCGATCAATGTACCAGCAGTCACCAGGAGCGCCATTTTGCATGTGTAGTTCGTTGCATCACATCCACACCCAATGATCTGCGCATTGCGTGTCGGTGCGGGCCGCGTCTAATCCGGCGCGTCTACAAAACATATCAAGTGGAGGGGTTCAAGTGACCGTGGGATGAAATCAGTAGATAGTCTATCCAGCCGTTCCTGTGAGGGCTGAAAAATCAACCGCTTGTCTGATGACTAGGGCGTACCTCGTTACCCCGAGCACCAAATGCAGGTGTTGTATTTTCCTCTCAATGGATCGCGGGCAAAAGCAGACTTCTTGGCTACGTCATGTTGCTCCCATTGCCCCGCACAACCCCACGTCCAGTCTTTTGGACGCAGGGTTCTGAAGCAGGGGACGAAAAGTAATAAGTACGAATGTACACATTAGGAGTAACCATAAACAATACGTACTGGGACTGCTATGCTCCATCGCTAGGCTGAATTATCCTGAGCATTTCTCCACTTGTATGCGAGATGTGAGCTCAAACCACTCATGAGGTAAGAGCTGAGTTCAACGCGCCGTAAGGCCGTTCCTAACCCTATTTCGTGGTGAGGGATCCAGAGGCCGGTACCAATCAGGTAGCCTGTTCATTTCTATTGATGCTTGAAAGGCACACGGTTCTTGTATTATATATGAAGCAATAGTAATGCCTATTCGTAAACACGCAGTTAATTCAGTCGCTGGCCAGATGTTATCGATACAGTCTGATCAGGTCACATATGTTCTCGATATAGCTCAAGCCATGGTGAACAGGAAGACACAATCTGAGTTCAATTCCAGGCAGGTCACTGCAACGCACCAGACGGCAAATGGTGCATGATCATCGCAATCCAGATTGAGTACTGGCTTGATGCTTGTAGCAGCCTGCTAGGCTAATTATGCGTTGGCTTCGCCAATAGAATCTCGAACCACTGAAAGGTAATGTCGGAATCACGCCGTCTTCTCAAGATCTTTTCTGTCGGTTTCGCTTGCTTGACAAGGCATGATGGAAAGGGGCAAGTCGAACCAAACATTGATACGGCAATCACATTTTGAGAGCGTAGGCCTGGCCATGTTGACCAGCGACCCGAACGCACAAACAACCAAGTTGGGTTATAACTGCAATCCTGAAACGAAACGTTTTGCATCGTGAAGGTCTAAACACTTCTCGTCAGTGACAGGATGACGTGGGTGGGCGAGATCACAGCTCTTCGCGTGACATGTCATGGTCGGGCGTTCTGAATCGAGAAGACTACCCTTGACCATCCCGAGAACGCATTTCTGCCTACAATACCACCAACAGACCTTGCGCCTTGGTCTTCGGACCTTGACGCCCCTTAACCCTAGTCCTTCGCGCCGTTCCGTCGAATTGGCGTGTATGTGTCTGGTGGACCAGGCGCCGACTCATCGTCCTCCTCAGCGGCCGCTTGTCAATCTGGCTTGTGGCAATTTGGCGTGTCCTTCTACGAGGCAGAGCGTTGCCAGATGGATGCTCCATACTGATCACCGACCCCTTTCGTGTGAAAACAAGTAACGCGGCTGTGTGCCGAGTCTCGTGAGCTAACTTGCCGACTTTGCCTCCGCCAATTCACTTGCAACATTCTCCTTCGTCATTGGTGAAACAGGAGGCCACGACTGCCAGTGGAACGATCGCCGACATCAGATATGGAAGCACGCCCGAGAGACCAAAAAAAAACCACGAGAGTCGACTTTCTTTGACTCTCATAGCGAACTCAGTCGGTACCCAAGTCGGTATCGTTGTTGTATTGCCGATGATCTACGTATTGTGGCCGGTCAAACATCATCACTAGGTTTGCGATGGAACCGGGTATGAAAAGCATTGATTCGAACTGCTCAAGGACTTGGCCAAGTGCAGCCAGAGCCGTGTCGGTGTGTTCTACAGGCTCAGGGTTCTGGTGCTGACGATCTCCGTTATTTCAGTATCAGGCATCAGATACCTTTCTACCATCATTGGTATTAGACTCTCAAGTGGACTTGATAAAACGTTACGATTCCATCTTGGAGCGCTCGATGTTTCTAACAGCGTAAACTCACGAGCAAAAACCCATCTGATACGGCGTGATGGTGCTTTATCGACTCATGCCTGTAGGTGTAATGGTTACCATGAAACGTGGACGTTCAGTTGAAGACGTCTCAGAACTACTGCAACTCTACGCACTGCTGTTGCCACTTGCAACTAACTTGAAAATTGAGGAGATTATTAGGCAAGTGCATCGTGGAGATGGGCGGTTAGGGGTGTGTAGCGGCGCGGCTGGCAAAGAAACATGCGAGTCGAAATGAAAAGTCGTCATGATGGTGGTGAATTGGGTGACTGATTCAATACAGGCCAATAAGCTTTCGATCCCTTGCCAAACCGTATGAATCCTGTTTCTGTTCGATACCGCCAACTAGCAAAGCCTCCCATCCAATACCACCCGAATCACAGTATGCCATCTCCCAAAACTCTCCTGCTACGCCAAGTCAATCGCAAGATTCCTTATGAATCGAGGCGGTGCCTCTGAGGAATCGGTATGACAGGGTGAATCCTTGCAGGCTTGCCAACTCCCACAATCAGATTCTGTGCCGCCATCGAGGTGGTAGAAGTACTCCACTATCGTGGTGACAATCTCTGCGAGTTGCTTTGAGTGGTGGAGTGCTCCAGCAAGACTAAAGTACCGTGCGATATCAATGTCACGAACCTCGTCCCAGAGTGACACCAGATCATCAGCTGGGGCGCCTTTCCGATGCTGTTGTAGGGGAGCAGGCCATCTCCTTGTATTGTCTCGGGGAAGAGTGGGCGTCGCGCCAGGTGCCAATGCAATCATGATCAGGCGCCTTCGGTCTTGGGCAGAGCACAGATGTAGAGCCTGACAACCTGCCAGCGCCCTGAGTACCCTTGCGTCAAGTCACCGATGGAGCCGTTGAAAGGCTCACTGTGACGTTTCCTTGCGAGACCGAGTGTCTGCCCAACAGGGACAATCCCAGAGCGAATGGAGAGTACTGGCAGGGCTGGGAAGGTTTGTCTAGTAGGTGACCCAAACCTCTTGCACCTATTCAACCACATACAGCCAGCCATGGGGACCTCTCGCGACACCCCACCAGTACCCGAGTAAGTGTCGAGCATTGCGTACTGCTGTCAAGAGCTCCGGCATCCGTGGCTGATTATCGAGCATTCCAGGTTGATGAAATCCCTGTCGATAGAAGAGCCTACTAGCTCCCTTGACCGTAGCTCCTCACCAACTGCCACGGAGGGCTTGCACTGCGGATGTTGGACTTCAGCGGCATCCACTTTAACCAGGAACTCTTCCATCTCCTTCCCTCGGCCGCCCAGCTCCCGGCGGCAGATCAAACGGCCTGGTCGGTAGAAGTCGAGGCATGTTGGTGATGGTGAGTGGCAGGTGACGTCGCAAAGGTCGGCATCTATGAAATCTTATTTTCCTCGGTCGGCATCTCGGTGGATGAGCATGCATGCCTCATCTGGTATCTCGTGGAGCTTGGTCACGCCGTCACGGGCTCGTATGGCAGATGTGCCGCGGATGGTAATTGCGTCGGTCGATTGGCACCGAAGCACGACCTGGACCAGGACAAGCTCGACAAGTTAGCTGCCAAGGGATACGCACAACTGTTGGAACGAGCCTGCCTAAGTGTCGACGCTGAGCAGCCGGATCGATGTCAGGGCCAGCTGGCCACGGTCGACAAGACCAGTGTCGACAGTGAGGTCAGTGATGTCAACTGTAAGATCGATAACATCCTGGTCATTGTCGACTGTGCAGGAGAATAGATGCCTGAAATTCTCTGGAAGTCTAACGGATCTCTCGGTCAAAGCCTCGGCGTCGACTGGGAAGGCGAATCGGAGGCTGCTGAAGTCAGACGGGCTTAAGAGGGCGCGAGATGCGTCGTAGGTTTGGGGCGCTTTGCTGGAAATTGGAAGCAGGTCAGCAGGAGCACCAAGCCGCTGCCCAGTATGCACAAACCTAAAGGGGCCTCCGTCTTGAAGCCTAGCCAGGACGTTCCACTCCTCCGGCACAATCCTGCTTCTTGTCGCTATTGTTGGGCGAATGTCTTCATCGGGAGCGATTCCTTGGGTGCTTGCCGTTGAGCGAAACAAGAGTGGTAATTTGCGTAACTCGTTAAGCGGAATGTTGGGCCAAGGGCGGCGGCTGCGCTGCTGTCACGCGTAACTTTGTTCTCATACAGCCTCTCTCCCAGGCTGATCATCAAGGACAGGTTCGTCATCTACAGAGGGTTTCTTAAGAGCGGAACCTCTGAGCGAGAGCGGCATCTTGGGAGCTCATCGTTGAGCGCAATCTCGTCGCGGTTGGTCCCTTGGAAAATTGCCGTGGGCTCTTCTTCGAAGCGATTCGAAGCTCGTCGTGGAGCGCTCAAGTCCGTTACTGAGGAACTGTTTGTCGGAAGCTCATCGCCGAGCCAGTGCTCGTCTTTGGGGGAGGGCTTGGAGCACTAGAGGCCTGGTTGGTCCGTCAGTCAACAAAACATAGCCGGAGCCAAGTCCATGACATACCGATTGCCTCAGACCTAGACGAGAGAGTTACTCTAGCTGCTGCTACCGGTATGCTTATTGGTGGAAGCAAAACGGAACAGAGTATGTATTGACATGGAAGAGTTGCCTTGAAAAGCGAAGGGGAAATTTGCTAAAGCGGTAGGGGTTGGGAAGGTAGTTAGGTAACGCGCCATGCGGGGTGCTGCGCGCTAAAGGTCTACAGTCAGCCCCGTTCGCTCCTCGACTTACGCTGCAGTAAACATGAGCACGGCAATGTAGATACCGACGACCCAGAGAATAGCGTCCATAGCCAACCAAAGATCAATGCCATAAGGCAAAGATTAGTGTCATCAGGACTGACAAACTCCCTCCCAGCCGCTCCCGAAACCGTACATCGACTCAATCATAGCCCAAAGCCTAAACTCATTGCGACTCCTCCCTCTTCGTCGATCTCTTCCGCTCTTCACAGAGGAACTACTCTTGACTCCGTTCCTGCTGCGCAATTCCCACCTAGCACCGCTTCAAAGGCCAGCGTGGCCCGTCTACTGATAGTCCCCGCGGTAGTCAATTCGTTCTGTGCCAAAGGCTGAAAAACTACAACTCAACTTGTTCGATTGGCCATGGGTTGGTTTCGCGCTCGAGGAATCTGATGGCCCCACGGCCTCATCCATCTGCCCCTCCACGAACATCTCCGAGATGTGGCCAAGTCCTGCTCGGAAGGGCTCATCGAAGAGACGCAGATCGAAAAACAAGCAGAACTCGGACTTGGAGTCTTCGAAAACAACCGAGAAGAGCTCGTCCTCCGTCGTGGCGATCTGGAGGATCGGCTTCGACTTAGGGTAGAAGATCTTCTCGTCGATCGGGCCGTTGGACTTGTTGTAGTCCGTGCAGTCTCTCGTGCCGACGACCCATTAGAGTTGTCTCCTCCAACTCGACCTTGATTCTGTCCATGAACGACCACACATGGACGAACGTGCTGACCTTGGAGACGTCCTAGTTGATCGTATGTGGTTGACGTCGTACTCGTCCACGATGGGGAACACACAAACAAGAACGTCCTTTCCGTGGAGGACGGCTCGGGGCGATTCGACCAGGTCTTGCTTACTAAGTGGGAGATGATAGCGAAGATATCGGAGAGCTTGGTTCTGCTGACGGATACCAACGCGATATAGTCACTTTTCATATCGTCCAAGACCAACAAACCAAATATTCTGCTCCGCCAAAGCCTTCGTCGGGCAAGACAATCCACTCGGCATAATGTCGAGCAGACTGCCGATGGCACGGAGACAATTGATCTTGTCGTCTATTCCTCGAAAATACTTTACCAGCCAGTGTCTGTCTATCATGTTGTCCTGTTCAATATGCCGTTGGGGCACCGAATCTCGCCTTTACGGCGGGTATCCCCCTAGGCCGTCACCTTAAGCCGAAGCTGAGCGATCTCGCGCTTGCATCCTTCCATCTCAATATATTTTTCATCGCCCGAATTATGCTGGTGCGATCGAGGGCCGTTCCGTCATTGTGCTGCTCGAAGAACGCCTTGCCGTCCTCAAACGAGTTCTTGTGGAAGTTGGAGCTCTTGGTGGCGAGGGTCGCGATGGTGTTCCCGAAGGAGGCCTGAGACGGGGACTCTCGATTCATGGAGATGCGGCTAGTGGGTTCATCGATCCTGGTGCTGTAGCTCAAAGCTTCATTTCCACTCTCCACGAAGGCGGAGCGGATCGGATATGGGGGGCCGAGCGATTGGGGACTAGCGCAACAGCTACCTATGAACAAAATTCAGTGATGAGATGAGAGTTGATGATGCTAACGTACAAGAGTCGGACCGAGAAGTTGCGTGGTGATGCAGCGAGGGCAGCTTGGGTTGTTGAGCATGAAGCTGCTTCCGCCTTGACAATCGACAGTCTGCGAACGATTACGCGCTGGAACAGAGAGAAGTGGCAAGTCAACGCGTTCCACAAGCGCATTCTCGCTGGATGCTTCAGACTGACCAAACTCGAGAACTTGAGTTGAAGGACGGAGTTCATTACGCGAATACTCTTTATCGCTGTTGACCGCGTGACCACTTGCAGGATCATGATTCGCAGTATCGGTTCCGTGTCGCGGCTGTCGATGCCTGAGAGCTCTCTCCCTAACCCGGCATACCGTGCATCGTCGACTTTCAACCGTGAATTGTCCTGGTCGCGATAACAAGCACTTTTGAGGAGAAGTTGGCGGATTTGCCCCTTGTGCACGCGGTGGCAGCTTCATTGGCGTCGGGCTGACAGTGTCCACCTTTATCAGGGAGCGATCGTCTCGTAGGACGCGGGTTCCGGTGTTCTTTCGGTTCTTAAGTACGGCTCGGCATCGTCACATGGAATGATCCAGTTTGGCCCAAGTTTGATTCTCCACTGTCGCTCGAATCGTCCCGACCAAGCGCCTGGTATCATCATCTTGTATCCGCAAAGCATCAATCGCGCAGTAGAGTGTGTCAACCGTGGGGACGAGAGGATCGGTCGAGGTCGCGGTTTTGGGAGCGGCTTGTGGCATAAATGTTGAGGGTGGTGTGACGGCAGCACATGATCGTTGGGATTCGGCCGTTGCGCTCATTGCGGTGGTTTTGAGCTGCTCGTGGACCAGCTGTTATTCTTCGGTCATCTGTTCCTACATCTCGTCCATTGTCTCTTCCAATTTTGCAACAGCCTCCGACAGCCCCTTGTTATCTCCATCTGTCTATTCGACGCTTCCTGCAATCCTCGAGTCTCCATGTGCGGCTCCCCTGGGAAACCCAGCGACTTATGTAGCATTACCCTTCCATCGCTGTTACTGCTGCTGCCGCCACTACTCTTGTGAGCTTCGGTCGATACGTTTCACGTCGTCTTCCGATTCGCGTCGCCTTCCGGGTAGTCGTTCGCATTTCTATCGCGCTATCTTTTAGTTGCCCGGTAGTGTCTCGACTTTGCTCGTCGGTCTCAACTCAACTCGATCATTTTGAGGCCGAAAAGGGGTGTCATCATGCTCCACCCGATCTCGGCTCCTATTGGATCCGCCATAGCGGCAATATGTTATGTTATGTTATGTATATTTTTCGTCCGGGGGGCCGTAGGCCCCGAAAGTCCCCTACTGGGGCACAGGACGTGCTGAGCTAGAGAAATTGGGACCTATCTACACACTAATTACAGAATACTATGACTTCCTCTCGAATTCCAATTCTGCAGACGCGTCGATAGACCTCACACTATCCAGCATATCAACGGCACAAATGGCGCATCTTATCTAGCCTGTTACCCGTCAGCGGGATGATCAGGCGCGGCTGATGAACGACAGCCGCAAGGTAAGCCCGTTGTTAGGCGATCGTGAGCCTCTGGGCGCGGTAGCCTCAGGGCTGCCTTCAAGTGGTCACGATCAGATAGAGGGCGTGCTAGCGCCCTTCATCTGGCCGAGAACAGGTAAGAGAGAAAGGTAAGAAAAAGGAAATGTATAAGGGTAAAAGAGGGGAGGAAGGATGCGAGTGCGTCCCGGGTCGTGCTCGTCTAATAACGAGGACAGATCTTTCCAAAGAAAACGCTGGCTTTAGACAGTTCGGTGAACTTGGTGAAGTCTCTTCCTGTTGCCAGGTTGACTGCTGCATTCGGTGAGGGTGCCAACCTCATCCGATGACGCGGCGGTACCTTTCTGCAGTAGAAGATGTGGTCCGGTGCTTTGCGTCGGTTGCATGAGCAGACCAGGCGTGCATCACTATGGTCGAATCTCTCGTGATATGCGGCGAAGTCCCCATGAAGCGACCTTGCTGCCAGCAGATGGTGCAAGGCTGCACGCGGGAGCGACAGCTCCGGCGGACAGCCTGTAGTCGCCTTGAGATTGAGTCTTTTGTACTGCTCAGGAGCGGAGGTGGACCACCACGCCTGGAACGCTTCTTTCGGCTTCTGTCTTGCGATTCTTCGTAGGTAAGCCAGCGTCGGTTGAGCGCCTTCGGGCTCGGGGAGCGATGACGCTGCCTTTGCCAGCTTGTCGGCCTGTTCGTTGCCAGGGATGTTGGAGTGCCCTGGCACCCAGCGAACTTGGATGGCTCCATGCGATGTCGTCAGAGCTTGGAACTCGAGAAAGACGTTTTGAGAGGATTCAGAAGGAGTGCCTCGTAGACACGTGGCGGCTGCCAGGTTATCTAGGCAGATGAATATATTCTGTGTTGCTAATTCTCGCAGGTTTAGAGCAGCCTTCAGGCCCTCTAAAGCCCCGGTAGCTTCAGCATCGAAAACCTCAGCAGGTCCGAGGCGACCTGATCCGTCAAAGATGGGGATATTGTTCTGATGGATGGTGAAGCCATAGCTGGCAGCCCCTTCTGAGGAAAGAGAGCCATCCGAGTATACGACCAAGGTGAGCGGGTCGAGAGACTCGACCCAGCGGGAAAAGGCGTCAGCCGATTTCTCTTTAGACGCTGTCTGCAGTGGGGGCAACTGTTCTTGATGGAAGCATCGATAGACGAGTTTCGGCCGCGTGCAGGGTGCAAAGAGTTCGTTTGCACGTCGAAGGCGCGTCCTGAAGCTGCTCTCTGCCTGTATTTGATATCTTCGTTTGATGAGGTCGTGGTAAGTAGGCTGTCGGGGCGGGCGCGTTCGGATCGCCAGAGGATGAGCCTCATCCAGCGATTTGAGTCGTGCGGAGAACCTAAGTCGCCTCGCGTCAAGCAATTGATCGACTGGTGGTATCCCGCTTTCTCTGTGGAGGACGGTGATGGGTGTCGTCTTCCAGACGGGAAGAATGGCCTTCATAGCCTGTTTCATGGCTTTTGTCATTATTTGCACGAGATGCTGGTTACTCGATGGTAGATCTTTCGTAGGATGGGTCCACCGCGGCCTGGTCTTGCCCGGGTACCACGCCTCTGAGCCGTGGAGCAGCACTGGCTCGACACATGCTCTGACGGCGCCTCGCACGGCGCTCGGTAGAGGGCCGTGTACCGTGTTGGTGAGCCCCCGCAAATGATAAGCCACTGCCTTTGCTTTGGCCGCCCACTTTTCGACATGAAGTCGAAAAGATAGTCTGCTATCCAACCAGATACCAAGCCAGCGTAGAGCTGGTTCAGGGTATTTCTCGACATCGCCGTGGCGCACTGCCGGCGCAGTCCTGAGTTTGCTGCGGGAGAAATGCATGACTTCGGTCTTCTTCGTGTCGAAGGACACGCCATTCTCCGCGCCCCATCGCACCATCTCGGCGATGGAACTAGATGCCATGGCAGAAGTCTCGTCTACTGTGTCGCCTATGGACAGGATGGCCGTGTCGTCTGCATAGCCGAAGCGACCCTGAGGGTTCCCTAATCGATAGATTGGCTCAGTGTAGAGCAGAAAGAGGATTGGCGATACCGGCGACCCCTGAGGGAGGCCGCACTGAAGGGGAGAAGAGGGCGTGACTGTGTCTTGGTACCTGACACGCGCCGACCGGCCGCCCATGAAGGAGCCGGCCCAGCGAGCCAGATGATTAGGCCAGCCTTGCTCACGAAGACGCAGGACGAGCCTGTTGCGCATGACGGTGTCGAAAGCACCTTGGACGTCCATTGTGACTAGAGTCGCCACCTTCTTGCGTGCAAACGCTTCTTCAATATCATGGACCAGAGCAGTTACCAAGTCTGTTGCCGACCTCTTGGGGAGCGCCCCAGCTTGCTGCGGATGAAGGACGCTGTAGTGAACGGCTGCCCAGGCTAGGCGGCGCGCGATCAGTCGTTCTAGTCCCTTACCAAGACAGGAGAGCAGTGAGATGGGTCGCCATGCTCGTGGTTCGGTAAGGTCTCTCCGTCCCGGTTTCGCGATCATGACCACCTCCGCCTCCTTGAATGGTTTTGGATGATGGCCTATGGTAAGGCATCTTTCGAAGAGACGCCGGACGTGTGTACCGATGGTATGCCATACTGCTTCAAGAAGTTTGACTGTGATGTTGTCTGACCCTGGGGATGTATTGCCTGTGTGACAAGTCGCATATTGCGCCTCCTCCAGAGAGATTTCGGGAGAGAATGGGATCGATCTAGGTGGGAATACTGGCGTCCATGCGTTTGCGATGTCGTCCTCCGCAGTTCTTCGTTCAAGCGTGGCCTGTCGGAGTGCGTTGGCTTTATCCATCTGGCTTTCGTACACGACGTTATCGACCTGTAGAGGTGGCGGCTGGAAGGCTCCTGGGGACTTTAGCCACCGGACAGCTTTGAAAACGTCGCTACTGCTGGAGAAGCCATCGATGAGGTTACGCCAATAGCGCCTCTTGGCCCGACGGACCACACGATGAAAGCCTCTTTTGGCGATCTGAACGTCCTGGTTGAAGCCGAGTGGGTAGCTTCTTCTGATGGCTCGAAAAGCAGCCGCGGCGTCGGCGCACTCCTCCGTCCACCAGGGAGCCGGGCGTCCGCCTTTCCGCGCGGGCCTCCCAGACGCTTTTGCTGCTGATGTTAGTAGACTCACGAGTGAAGACGCAAGCTCGTCCAGCTCCTCGGGGGTCGAATCTGTGAGGGGGATTCCTGTAGCGCCAAGCTCTACGATCTCGACGAATCGTTTAAGCTCGTCTTCCGTCGTCACTCGAATCTTGCCTGGCTGCACCGGAGTCGATCTGACGTCTGGGAAGGTCAGGCTGAGCGTGAAGTGGTCAGAGCTGGTGGCGAGATGGTCCTCGACGATAGCTTCAGCAAGTGGTAGGTTAGTAAAGGCAAGATCGATTGTGTTGCCGTACGGGTTTGTTGGGATATCTAAAGTGTTGAGAAGGCTGAGGTCATTCTCAGACACCCATCCTGCTATCTCTTGCCCCCGGTTCGTAGTTTGGCCTGTTTGCCAGCTACGATGTCTGGCATTGAAATCGCCAGCTACGAGGCAACGTTCCGGGACAGACCATTGAAATAGCGTGTCTAGGGCGTCCCTCTCGTCGTTCTGACGATAGAAGTTGACTATGGTCATGCCGTTGATCGCGAGCCAGAGAATGTCTCGGGTCTGGAAGGGCCGAATTTGGTCGGCAAGGAGTCTGGGGTCTCGCCGGACATATGTCATCACTCTAGGCCGAGTATCGTTGCTATTCCACATGTCGACCGGCGTGAATGTGTCGTATGCAGGGTGAGTCTTGGTTAGACAGCGGGTCTCTGTGTGAGCCGTCCACGGCTCTTGCAAGAGCACAATGTCATATCGTTCCGAGTCGGCCAGCGCCAGGGCGCAGTCGTGGGCCGGAGGGATCTTGCCGACGTTGGCCTGGAAGATCTTGAGCGGCTTCCTGTCGTTCTTTCGTGTTTGAGAATATCTATTCCCGGTCATGAGGACGAGTGATGAGTACGATTCGGCGCTTTCGCGGTGAGCCTGGTCTGGGCTGTTCGGGTTCTTCCTCTGCTTCATAGCCAGCATGAGGGGTCGTGGCCACCATGATGCACGAGGGTGCTCCTGATACAGCTGGGCTGGGAGCACGATGGTTAGGCTGTTCTTGTGATGTGACATCCACGCTTCGTCGCTCAGCCATGCCCTGCTGCGTTTCCTGATGCGATTCCAGATGCCGTTCTCGATGTCGTTGTCGGTATGTCTCCGCACCTACGGTCCGGACATGCTTTCGTTGCTCTTTAGTGAGTCGGCGGAGCACGCCGTGCACTGTCTTTGGCCGAGCTGGGCACCTACGGAAGTTGGCCTGGTGGGGGCCTAAGCAGTTGATGCACTGTTCTCGTGCGATGCAATCGTCTACAAGATGGCCAGTCTCACCACAGCGTCGGCAAACTGGCTGTCTGTGACAGTTGCGGGCAAAGTGGTAGCCCCAGCACGTCTCACACTGTCTGGGTCGGTCGGTTTTGTCAACAAGCCTGGCTGCGCTGCTGCCGAAAAGAGACCAGAATCTCTTTGTGGGCTTCAGAAAGGACACGAGCAGGGCCTTGGTCAAGGGGTTATCCGAGAATTGTCTTCCGGTACGTACATCAATGGGCTTGATCCCAGTCTGGACTTCTATCTCGTCGCTAACGACGCTGTCACTATCCACCTCATTACCGTAAAAGTCAGTCAGCCTTGCGGGAACGTCTGAGACCACATAGGTGAACCATTCCTTGTTCGTTTCTACTGCTGTAGCTCCCAGTTCAGCGGCCCACTCAGCTTGTTTATCTACCAGAAAGTCGCGTGTGACAGAGTCGGCGGCCAGGACGGCCCATCCCGATCTGACCGGGAACACCTGTCGAATTTTGTCCGAGACGGCGCCGAGTTTTTCCCGGATCAGAGTCCGGATGGCATAGCTACTGTGGGCCCTGGCCGGAGCTCCGGCTTCTAGACGGATGAAGACACGGAGGTCTTGTCGGGGTGGGGCGATAGTCGTCTGTTGCCCTTGGCGATGAGGTGGATCTGTTTGTCGGCGTCCATGTTGTTGTTGTTGTCTGTGGGTCAGACGGTCATGGTCAGTGGGAGGCGCGGCAGCAGCGACGCTGCTGTATGTAGGCTTTGGGGTCGCAGGTCCGGAGCAGGAGAGCTCTCGTTTCCAAAAGCCGAGGAAATCATCGGCAAATTGCTGAGCGAAACGTCGTTGCGGTCCGGTGACGAATTGCTGGGCCGCTTCTTCAAATTTGGCACAAAAGGCCTGGAAAACCCCCAGCTTGATGTTGTACTCTTCCACGTATTCTCGCGCGAGATCGTTGGCTGATTCAACGATAGAGATCGGTCGTTGTTCAAAAATGGATGCGGGACTGGCACGCTCAGCTCCTTCCGTAACTGCGGCGATGGTGGCGGGGTTGAGTGGTGAGGATGGTGTCTGAGCCATCCGCCTGGGACCGGGTGAAACACCAATGGTGCCGTTGACGGCTGCCGGACTGTTCTGCAAGAGGGCTGCACGGGCTCCCCGGTTCAGGTTGACGGGAGTGTGGATCCCCAGATCGAAGGGATCCAAGGCAGCGGGCGGGATCGTCGTAGACGAGGCCATCGCCGCGGTTTGCGACTGCGCAAAGCGCAGATTGGAATGTTTGTTGTGCACTTGTTAAGGATTTAGGTGTAGACAGGGCCACTTTCTTAACACTTGTATGCTAAGAAAGTGTGATGACAAAGGAAGGTGCGCCATAGCGGCAAGCTAACCAGCCTCCACACCTATAGGTTAGGTAGGTACCAACCTCTCACCTACGGAGCTTTGTAGATGCATCTGATAATATGTTGGTGAACAATTATTGCAAAAATACCTATAAGAGGCGCTTCCGACCAGTGTTGACATAAGAACTCTTAGAGCGACATCAAATAAGCACGAGAATGAGGCGCAAGTCGCGCTAGGGGGCCCTCCTCCGAACTTGACATCGAGATTGCTATTCGTGATGGCAGCAGTATTCTTGCCGATGTTTATTCTTCATAAGATGTCGTCCTAGGAGATGAGCTTCCTATCTTTTTATTCTCCCATGGTGGTGGATTTTGCCTAGGCACTGATGCAGCTGACAAGTAGGATATTACACGATCCATTTCAGCATTCCTTTTGTTCCTAGCAAATCTCCTCCATTGTGAAGGTCGAGGAGCGCTCTTGGCTAGGTTCAACAAGTGGGGATGTATTATCACATATTATTAAATATTATTAAATATCCTTTAGTATCCCATATGCAATCCGAATAAAATCCATCATCAATGTCGTTGGACTTGTGATCTCAGCTGCATATGATGGATCGCTTTGACCTCCCCACGGTTCTTCAGCTCTTCATCTTCAAGCATCTGACCAAACATAACCCGGTCCGCTAACTTTGATTCCATAGCGGCTTCATAGCTCAAAGAGCACAGAAGAGCATGAGGCTCTGTCCAAGAAGATCCAAAGTCTACCAGTCGTCCATCGCGGAAGTTGTCGATACGTATGTCCATATTATATATCCCCGCTTTGTTCATTGAAACGACTTTGCCTAGAATCTTTCTCATGTTCGTCGAGGTGATACCACTTTTTGAAGACGCAACGTCTTTAACGATAGCTCTGGCTCTCAGCCCTCCGATCGTGGACCTTTGATAATTGATGTCGACCGATTCCAGTCCGAGGTCAATATTACGATTCTGTAAAGCTTCCTGGTCTTTTGATTCCAGGAAGAAGAATCCATGGCTGGCAACAGCCACATCTGATTTGAGAATCTTCCTGTCCGTAGCTTCGCATATGCGACCATATGCTCGGCATTCTGCGTAAAACGGATCGGTATAGTAGGCAGCAGTGTCAAGAGATGTGTCTTCGCTTAATAGTGGCCCCCAGAAGTACTCGGTACTCATCGGGTCAAAGAACTTGAACTGTCATTTAAGCCGCTATCAGAAATGAAGATCTTCCAAAAGGAGAGAAGTAGTAAGAGATTCTGATCGTAACATACTACTTTTACTGCGTACTCGCGGCCTCGAATGAGAGCCCGGAACACATAACCTTGGCTTGAGGTCACGTCGTCATCTTCATCAAGTCTCTCAAGCCATCGAATGCCCGATTTATGATATGGAAAGATATTGAGCTTTGGCCCGTCGCACGGTGGTAGCTTCTGAGGAAATGATAGAACACGTCGTTTTCTCGGCATACTGGAGGAGCTAGAGGGAAGAAGACGAGGTGTTTGTGGTAATGTGGGCATACCATTAACCCTTGCCCACTCTCATCCTTATAGCTGGCGGCCATCATCCGTATGCGCGCCGGGCCGCTTTTAGCGACAATCAGCTTTTCATGCAGCACTGCAGCATCTGTGGAGGGGTTGCGTGGTCTGTGAATGGCTGACATGTGTGGCTGACATGGGTGGCAATGCTGCAGAGATATCACCAACATCAATATGCAAACTTCAGCTCCGAGGTAGGGGAATGGACAAGATGAAATAAACCGAAATGTCCACAGCCTGGTCTGTCTGTCTAAACACTTTAAAAGCGCGGAATGTGCCCTTCAATGAGAATGAACAGACTCTGTTCGAGCATGGTGCATTACGGCATTCCAGCTGTGCCACGTATAGCAATCACATCATGATGGCCCTGTCGTCCCTGCGACGTCAATACTTGAGCTACTTACGCACCCAAATCCATCTGTCAGCCATAATACCTAAGAGCAAGACAAAAACGGGTTTCGACAACGAGGGACTTCTTGTAGTCGAAAAGCTGGGACACAGCGGCGTCGAAGTATTCGTCAGGGGAAACCCCAGTCCAAGGCTCCTCCAGAATGGCCAGGTGGGTGTATCAAAAATGAGACGATTGGTATCATGCAATGGCAATACGGTTGCTCCATCGTGGTAACTCGAGGTTTCTCGTGACGTGTCCCACGCGCAAGCCAGATACATTCTGACTGGTCAGAAACGCGAAGGCAAAAACGCGCTGTGAATGACAGGTGGGGCTAGGTACCTACGCGACGCACCCCATTCTTGAACAGGGCTTGAGCAAGGGTTCTAGGGCGTAACAGGCTGCTGATACGGTCTGCAACTCGGTAACTGTCAAAGACCTACAACTCGATATTATCCTGTTGAAAATAGCCTTCTTTCTCACTGACCAGCTGGCCATGGTCAACAAACTGATATCAAGATGTAGGTCTTTAACAGTCAGCAGGTTACTGTCCGTATCAGCAGCCTGTCAATTAGGTCAACAGGTCTGACCCGTCTAACAGGTTACTATTTAGCGCAACAGCTGTTGGTCGGTCACTTACAGAGGCACCTGCCTGGGCACCCACGTACGTGCCTTCTGATATATACCAAAATAACTGATTCCTCTTGCAACAGCAACTAGATCACCTGGCCAATGGTCTAGCGGCATAACTGATCAATTGATCAGATCAATCCCTCGGCCTCAAGGCTGCAGATAACTGCAGCCATCACTTCTTGAAATCTTGAAAAAAGAGGCCTTGAAAAGAGGTCTCGCGATATCTCTTTTTTGCCCTTTTTGGCACCTATTGCAATTGCCTTTTGACACCCCTGTAAGCCACTTTGGGCCACTTTGACCGGCTGCTGGGGTCGGGCTGCTGATAGCTGATTGGTTGAGGCAGCTGTCGCCTTGAACAGCCTTGTAACTGTTGTTGAGACTGTCATTGGGTAAGGATAAAAGGGAAATAACTGATAGGCCATTGTAGCCTGCTCAAAATCGCTGAAAACCTGGCCACGGACCTGTTCAAAGTCCCGGCTTGCATTGATTTGTTGCGAGCGTTGTCGCCATGTGGCAATGTCGTCTTCAGCAGGCTTGAGCATGAAACAGGGATCAGTATTAACGCGTAGAGGTAAGGCATCAGTGTCCGTGCATGGAAGGCTAACAAAAGGATGTACCCTCTGGTGGTTGCAGAGTACCGTACGGAGTAGACACTCTGTTATTGGGACGGGGCTGTGGGGAACTTTCTGACTAAGTATAGTATCAGATTCAGATCGCTAAAAAAGGTAAGAGATGTCGGTTTTTACACTAAAATGGCTCCACAGCCCCGTCCCAAATACCAGGTAGGGTACTCCATCTCCAGGTGACAGGGTTTATCTGGAGGCTGGGGTTAACGGCCGGAAAGTGCTTCCGCGCTGCAAGGGGCTGTCAATCACCAGGCCCACGGAACACAGTCCTAAGAAATCAGGGCTCTGTGGTGGAGAAGCTGAAACTTTAGGGTGATGGATGCATTCGAGCACGTGGGGCATCATGATCAAAGTTGTCTTGTGGGATCTGGATGGACGAGATTGAGCTGTTGAATCACGATGTTAACGCCGGCTGTTTCCAGCAGATAAATGAGGATGGGGATGAGGCGCGTGAGCATCAGACTTCTGAGAATGAGATTTCAGACGACGGTATACAAATGGAGATAGACTACCTTCGCTCTACATTGGCGTACAACAAGATACAGCCAGACAATTACTCACGAGCCGCACCAACACTGGTTTGTTGACGCAGCTCCCTTTCACATTATATGCCTCCCTTCAGCGCCGTTGTCTTACAATTCACCATTCGGCCACTCCACGTAACACAGACCTCAGCTACACCGAAATGGGATGTCACGCTCATTTCCATATTGTGCTGCCAGTAATCCTTGGCGTTACGATTCCCTTGCCTGTACCTTTTGTTGGTTGTATTTCACGGAGAAATGAGGCTTCTATAATGATCCCGGGTCAGACGAGAAGTCCCTCAATCATTCGGCCCACGTGACAGTTCGAAAGCACCATGAATCAGACGGTGGGAACCGATGAAACCTCTCCCGCCTCAGCTATCTCCCCTCAAAAGCTCTCAACCCACAAACGACTGGGAAGTCCTTCTCACCTCGAAGGATGTCCTTAATGTAACTAAAGAAAAAAAGGCATTTACTTTCGAATTCAGCTGTCCCAGAGAATGGTACAAGTTCATATAACCACAGAAATGCTTAGTAACGTACTATGGGACGAGTTCATAGACCTCTTCAATTCCTTCAGGATGTACTGTGTGGTAACGGCCGCTCCAATATCCTGTACTTCCCCAGGTCGTAATCGTGAAGCCAGCTGACTAGCCCTGGGGCGATTTGTGGTTCTTTCTGAGGCATTGTAGGATATGCTTTCATGTCAGTCATATGGTGGGTCATTGATCAAAGAAGATGTTGCGCTAGAGGAGGACTGTGAAAACTGAGGTTTGAGGGAAATACACCTCTACTTATAGCAATTGCTTAACAGCACCATAACGATTGAATCTTACTAGTTTTGCGGAAGCTGATACAGGGAGCCCAATACCACGATGGGTCTTCGATATTACCTATCACACTGTACGGCTTCAATTGGAGATACAAAAAGCTCGCTGAACCGTCATGATACAATCTTACTGTGCTGTATATTTGCAACAGAAAGGCAATTCCCTCGGTAAGCTTCTTCGTGCGTCATGGTTTCAATTGACCGCTCGACAAATCTAGCGCACCACTGGACCGGCGGCGGCCTGGTGACAAGAAGATTGTGATGTCAGCACACCACTTCGAAAGTTTGGGTGTACCTAAGGACTCAAGGATCTGCATTCTGTTTGACTCTTCGGACTCACCTTCGTCCTTGGGCGTGAAAACGCAACGAAGGACCCGAACAAGTACCTGCAAACTGTTGTCATTGACGGTCTTCTCTAGGTCGCACTTGTCATAGAGAGCATGTGTCAGGTGATCAGCAAATTCCAGCAGTCCATAGACCAGTGATACTTCGCGCCTCTCTTCGTCGGGATTCCCGACTACTTTTGCAGTTGCCAAGGATTTCTTCTCCAAGTAGTTCTCCCACCCATCTTTAAGTACTTGCGGCACGTTCTCGCCGTTGACGTTGACATATTGCCCGAGATATACTGCAAGATGCACGGATAACAACGCAAACTTCTCGCGGACCTCGGATTTTGACCGCTGTGCGGTGTTAGCAATGGAATGATTCCACAGGCCATGCACTTACTTGTAGTTTATAACCTAACCGTGCCCACTCAACTTGCAGTGGGCCGGACTTGTCGGGGACGATTTCCCGAAGATTCGAACTCTCCTCATTCCAGCGGATGATGTGGTCGTGCCCAGTGTGCTCGTGTGTTGGGAGTTGCTTCGGATGAGGAACGCCATTCTGGTAACAATAAGCCACTTGTCAGACGGACCATGCAATCAGTGCAACTCACCAAGGTTCCTTTTTCCACACATCCGACTGGCCCATCGAACGGTAAAGTGTCCTCCTCCATTGTGCTCGGTAAGGAATATCAAACCGGATACTGGAGTTCAACCAGAATGCGATTGGTATGCAGTTGCGCGGGGGGCAACGCGGAAAAGGTAACGGAATGTGACTGGCAAAGTGCAATTATGTGGAAAGCTAGTGGGTTTATGTATTTTCTAGGCCCGTCACCCTTGGCTAACGGTCAAAACTGCATAGTACGTGCACCTACAAAGAGGTGTACCTGTACTTGACTTTTGTGGAACCGGCAGCTAATAGAGATAAGTACTGCCGCATATGAACTTCACTACAAGGACCGTGACATCACAGCTTATGAGACAACCCTGTCACCTCCCTGTTCGCAATTTCCACATCATGAAACTAATTACCCACTTTTGTTTCTGGGCAGCTGACAGGTCGAGCTGACCGTACGTGGAAATCTGGGCAAGGTTCATGTGCCGTGCGATCTCAAGGCAGACACGATGTCGCGTCCTGGAATAGCCGGCAAGAAGGCAACTCGATTGTCAGGATATCCGTCGGAGCTTGACCAGGTAGCAGGCGACGAAACTGATGAGAAGGGCTGTGGTCGTGGTCGTGGTTGGAAGGAGGAAAAGATATCGAAGTTTTTCTAGGCGTCGGTCAGTACAGTCGAAATGGTGGGGCAGAAGGTTAGGCATACTGTCGTAACAGATACTTATCTCTAATTAGTAAAGGCGTAAAGGAGGGACTGGGAGATCGCGCGAACGATTTTACATGTAGAGTCAAAAGCGCGTCGCTAATAAATTGACGCGACGTGAAGAAGCTAGGAAAGTCACTCAACAAGGGGCACCACGGGCTGGGAAGATCTATCTCCATCCCCGAGAGAGGGTTTTGAGCTATTCCGTATCTGTATAGGTTTTGTGGATCCGTAACTGCACCTCAAAGCAACGTTCCCAATAATTCAATTCAAGTCGCAGATCAAGTCTAAAAAAGCAATGTTTTTCTGTTTTTTCTTATTTTTATTGGTTAAAATATATTACTATGCCTAAGTACTAGGGTAAAGAGTGCCTTTATTTGCTTTCTTTTAGACTTGAATTGCGACCTCAATTGAATTATTGGGAACTTTGCCTCAAAGGGGTTCGACAGGGCTTTGTCTTTCATCCCGGTACCTGTGTACATGACACCACTTGCACCGTCCGTGCATAATAGATCCCTGTCCATCTTGGTACTGGCATTTCGCTTTCCTATTTGGGATGCCAAAAAGGGTCTGAGAGCAGCTCACTTAACTTCAGATCCGATTTCGTCCCGATCGAGTACTGTATTGTTATCTGCAGCAAACCAATGATGTCCCTTCTCAAGTCCCGTTTTTTTTTTTTAAAAAAAAGAAAACAAAAATTTCTGTCATACGCCACAATATAAGTAATTATTTAGAGACTTGTACAGGATGTAAACTAAAAGAAAACTCCAAGAAAAAAAAACCACTATTATCGCTTTCTCCTGGTGAATCACCCTCAAAAGCTCTGAACTATCATGAGTCATGTGGCATATAGCACTACCGCCGATGCCAAGGCTAAGTTAACACTCTCAGCTACGATCACTTGGTTTAGTTTAAGAAGAAACCCCCCCAAATGGAGCACATTGGCCGCGATTGGACGCTCTTCTTTTGGGAGTGGCAGCAGAAACAGTAATAACAGGCTTGCATGGACCGGCGGTGATTCGGATATGTGTGGCAATTGGGATGGTCCAACCGCGACAAGCGGTTGGCTTGGCGTTTAACAGCATTAGATAGCGTCATGAAATCAAGCCATTTCACTACCCATTGGCCACCTGCAGATTTCGCGATCTTTGTCGGACTCTGTCGCCCGAGGAGACCTTGAGGGTCATGAGACCCTGCGACGCTGCCTTTTGGCTAAGTCTCGTCTAAAATACCAGAGTTGCCTTCTATTCTTGTACACACTAGCGAAAGTATCCACGATGCAAAAACATCAATTCAAGAGGCAGCTTTGTATCACTGACACAGACTTTGCATCGTCTTCATCCACATGACCTGACTGAATCGGCGGTGAAACTTAAAGCTTATCACGTACATATACAAGTCTATCACGCCCAGTAAGCCAACGCCTAGAGGGCTCTATGAGCTAATAATACATGCGTTTCGCTACGAATTGCATCTCCCTGGGCCCACGCGGTTCTTCTATTGTTCCTTCCAGTCCTGTCATTGCTCCTCTTCTTTCTGAGTCTCCGTGATTGTCAGTAGTAGCAGGTCAGCTTGACGAAAGGAGACGTTGCCGCATGTTTCGTTCGCACAGTTGGACAGCATATCTTTGCGCAGTGTTTAATTAAGTATATTTACCTCATAAGATAATAATTAATATACAGGTAATAAATAGTAATTTTAATGGTCACTTTAATAAAGATATTTAATATATATTTCTAAGATAATTTATTATCTTAAGGAATACAATACTAAGTTATTTTCTTAAATTATATAAATGTAAAGATTTATATTAAAATTAAAAGATATTAAAAGTACTTATAGTTTAGGTTCTATAAATTTATTAAACGTTATAAAAATAATAAAATTAAACTTATTACATATTATAAAAGATATAAAAAAGAATTATTAAAAAATTAAATAAAAAAAAGTAAAAAGTAAAAATAAAGAGTAAAAATTAAATTAAAAATATATAAATTAAAAAAGTTATTTAAAATAAAGAGAAACAAAAAAGAGATATTAAAAAGAAAAAGAGATTAAATAGTTATTATAAAGAAAGAATTAAAGGCCTTATAGAAGCTTAAAGAATTAAAAGTATAAACTATAAGTTAAAGAGTTTAAATTATATAAAACTATAACATACTATAACGTGTTTTATAAGCGAGTGACCCATATAAGCGAGTGACCCAAAAATCTCAACCTTCTCAATTAAATCGGCAATAAAAATACCACAAATTATCAGATCAATTAAAACTAATCGCTATATTCTTCTAAATTAACCTCAATTTCCTCCTGACAGGTCCTTGTATTATGCCCGGCCCTGCCGCATTTGCTACAATGTAAAACCCTCGGTCCCTTAGACCTTCCGCGACCACCACTTCTCGACGATTCGGCTGCTACCTGCGTATCAACATCCATCTGATCAATTGCTTGTGATGCCTCTTCTATAGTCAAAGGCCCTCCTTTCTGTAGTCTAGTCCTTTTCCCCCTCCGGCGTCGCTTTACTATCCGATTCTCTTGTTCAACTTGTTGAAGCCTATCCTCTAGTAGGACTATCTTATGGATAAGGACGCTTGTTGCCTTCTCAAAATGCTTAACAGCCTCAATAATTGACTCTGGGGAGCTGCTCTTATGGTTTCTAACCCTTCCCTGTAGATATTTAGAATGCGATTGGGCCTCTAGTAGTGTCTTTGGGGTCCTTGCAGTCCAAGGGGTTGAAGGTATCGTGACCTCTGCGGGAGGTGTCGGGGTCCGTAATTGCACATCAAGCTTTGAGATGACATTTTCTGGGTCAAAGGGAGCAAGCCCAGCTCCTCTAAAACCTCCTTTGATATTACTTTCTGTAATAGTAGCTCGGTGGGCGGCATGAAAGGCAGGAAAGAACTCGATCTTGGTGATGTGGTTTATAGAGCATCCCATTAGACGCTCTATTTCTCGCCCATAGGCCTTTTTCAGCGGCCCAAAGCACCCTACATCAAGAGGCTGGAGTAGATGAGAGGCATGAGCAGGCATACAGAGGGTAATAATCTTATTCTCCTCACAATATCTCTCGAATTCGATAGAGTGGTGGCTTTCATGACCATCGAGGATTAAGAGACGATAAGAACCAACTGATCGGTCCTTTGTTGATCGATCAAAGTGCTGTAGCCAGTCAAGACCTAGCTGGTTATTGGTCCATCCATTTTCGCTCAATGCAATGACCCAATCGGCGGGGAGGTTGCATTCTCGGTACCAATTGGCAAGATGATATTGGCCTGAACCAATGATGAATGGTGCGATCGATTGACCTTCTGCATTGACCGCTTGAATCACAGTAATCCATTCACGATTTCCAGGCTGTATCTTCTTTGGTATCCCTCGCCTTTCTGAGCTTGTGACGACCATTCCGGGCTCAATCATACCCATCATAAAGCCGGTCTCATCAAAGTTCCAGATATCAGCTAATTGGATACCGTATTTCGCGATCGTATTCTCTACGAGGCGAAACCAGCCCTGAATAATAGTCGGATCTTCGCATTTAGCTCTCTTATAGTCATATCTCCGAAATCGACATGCCTTTAGCTCTGGTTGTCGTTGGATAAAGTTATGAACCCAGAGCTTGCCGACTGGTAATGCCTCGCGATCGGCAAGTAGAGAATTGGCCATTTTTTCCACAAAATCGCGCCGAGGGGGGAAACCTCGGGAATCTAGGTCAAGGATAAATTGAACTATCGTCTGTTCCTCTAGATCAGATAGGTTCCGTGATTTTGTGGTTATATCACGCTTTGAATGAATGCCATTCCGGCGGCGACCTAAGGTGCGGTGATTGACCTGATATACAGTCGCCGCCTTTCGGATACTTAATTTCGGGTCATTTTGAAGGGCCTGAAGGGCAAGAAGTATCCTAGCTTCATATGAAGGCTGTGGCATATCGGGTTGTTGAAAGATATTGAATTGAATGATGATAATGTAAGTTGAGGGATTTTTGGGTCACTCGCTTATATGGGTCACTCGCTTATAAAACACGTTAATATAAATTAAATAATTAAAGTAAGATTTTTTATTAATATAAAAGTATATTTAATTAATTATAAGAAATAAATCTTTAACTATAAAAGACTATTAATAGCTATTAAACTTTAGTATAATACTATATTATTTAAAAATAACTAAATAGATAAAGTCAGATAATTATAATAGTAGCTTTATTACTATTTTTACTTAGCTTTATTTTTAGTCTATATAATTATATAATCTTAAAGATATTTGTATAAAAACCCTTTAGATATATTAAATTTTTACTTCTTTAAGTTTTAGTTAATATAATATTATTATATTTATTTAACTTTAGTATTAATTACTTATAATAATTAAAAACTTTAAGCTTAAGGATAAAAAGAAGAAGTTGATACTTTAATTTATTAACTTATTTAAAATTATTAAATGTATTAAACTATAAGTATACTATTTAATTTTATTAAATTAATATAATTAAATATATAATAATTTTTATATAAGCTTTCTTAAAGTATATTAGAAAAGAAATTAAAAAAATAATTTTTTTTATTAATATTTAATTTAAAAGAAGAAAATAAGTAATAAAA